CAGTTGTTACCGGGCGTAGGGCGGTGACCGGTAGAGTTTTTGCGAATTCCGAAGTCGTGCATTTCTTTCCGTTTCCGGAAGTAAATCATTAACACCGCTCGTAGGTGGCCGGGGCAGGGGACGGCAGCGGATGCTGCGAAAAACAGCCTACAGGGTGGGCAAAAAAAATAACGCAAAATCAAAATGTTGGTGGGTAAAAAAATTTCCAGAGTTTGGGTCGAAACAACTCGCGAACGGTAGAGAATCGAAGGTACGTAACCATGCCAGAATGCTTAAATATGCTGGGTATGAAGATTTAACCCAACTTGATTTTTTCGATTTTTGGGTACGCAACTGTACAATTGACGCTGGTTACGACCGAAAATTGTGCGTTCTTGAACGGGTGGTGGGAAAATTCGGATTTTTGGCCTAAAAATAGTATAAATTTGTAAAAATATAATGACAAAATCTTAGAATTTTTCGAGGCCTATTCCATTTTCTAAAAACAAAACAATTTTCGCGATTTTTTGTTATTTTTACTCTTTGAGTCATAACTCACTTCTAACTCACTGCCCATGGCTGCTTTTTTGCCAATGAATTATCCAAATAATAATCTTGGATCCCACACCAGAACCCAACACAATCTATGGTATTTTTGTACTGCTTGCTAAAACGTGCCCCAGCGGGGGTACTGTAGGTTTCGTTTTTCCCGCTTTTCTCGGCTCCCCTAGCTTCGATCCGACTGAAATTTTCAGGGCGGTTAGGCAATCGGTTGTGGCACATAGCTGCCGAATACGAGAACGTACTATCCACAAACTTTCATGAAAAAGACTAAAAACTGATTTTTTAATTCTGCCACAGAATCTTGTAAATTTTTTGATCAGTTGCACCAAAAACTGTTAATATTGCTTTTACCGAAAGATCGAAACGATTCCATGGCAAAAATACCACGAAAATCGCGAATTTCGGTTTTCTACAGTAACCCCCGTGGAGCGCGTTTTAGCATGTCATCACAAAATTCCATAAAGTGACGATTTTTCAATTCGAGGACCTTCTAGAGATGATTGTAAGATAGCCTGTCAAAAATTACTGATTTTGGGTGGTAAATAACAAAGTTACGAGGCCAAGTGCAAAACAAGGCCATAGAGCCGATTTTTGGTCCGAGTAGCCGAGTCAATTTTCGAATTTTTAAAAATAAAAAAAGCCAGCCGGGTCTTATGGATACGATTATAGCTTTGATGTTATTATCTACGCTTGTCAAATTCAGGAGCGATCTGATTCAAAATTATGGTGACTTTCAGCTCAAGCCCAAGAATCACCCTGTTCCAAAATCGAAGTTTAAAATTCTTCTTAAAATTTCGTAATAAATCGAAAATTTATTTTCGATTTATTACGAAATTTTAAGAAGAATTTAAATTAAATAATTTTGAAATTAATAATATAATTAATTTAAAAATTTAAATAATTAATAATATAAATAATAAATAATTTAAATTAATAATTTCGAAATTATTTTCGTCTTTGCATAGTTTTATTTAACTGATAAGACAGATTTATTGGTAAAAATATCCCGGCGTCTTTACCTTCCAAAATTTTTTTACGCCCCTTCAGATTCGGTTTATTTCGGTTTTTGATGAATTTTCTTGGCGCCAACGGCTGGTTAAAAAAATTCATGAACAGGGCTTTAGGATGCGCTATTTAAATGGTATCAGAAAAAATCAAACGATAATTTTCAAGGCGCGACTAATTTTTATAAAATGGTGACAAGGTTTAGAAAAAAGCACGCACGAACCGTTTTGGAGGCCCTGAAAGACGCCCTTCCAAAGGGGTACGGTGGCTCGAAATTTTGTAGATAATAGATAAGCCCCAGTATTACATAGTTAAGCAAAGAAAATAGCTGAGTCCCCTTTGGCAATTTAGAAATATTTTTCTAAAGTTCGGTTTCGAGACCTCGAAAAATCCATGACCAGGGGGTCGTTGAAAAACTCGAAAATTCGTCGATCTCAAAAAATTCCTTAATATGTTTATGCGATTGTGTCAAGCCCGTAGGTATTCCACAACAACTGATTTTGAGGTTTTCGCCATAGGTTTTTTCAATATTAAAAATTTTCGAAATTTCTCCATACAAAATTTCATTCCTCTCTAACTTTTCAACCAGACCCTCAAAAATTCTTAAATTTTGTAGGTACATATCTGCTGCCGAAATTAACTTACTTGATAAAAACTAGATGCCAGCCACCACACAAAACTGAGAAAAATACAAATGAAGTTTCCCCGAACGCACAGTTTTCGGGTGTAATTTGTATGGGTACGTCGCCAAAAATCGAAAAAATCAAGTTGTGTTAAATTTTCATGCCCAGCATATTTAAGCATTCTGGCATGGTAACGTACCTTCGATTCTCTATCGTTTGCGAGTTATTTCGACCCAAATTCTGTACTTTTTTTTTTGCCCACCCTGTAAAGGTATTGTGACCAGACATCGTTGCAGCCGCGAGTTGAAGGGGCGATGGCTGATGCCGCGGAGGATGCTGCTGATAGGCATTGACGGGCATCATGCAAACAACGACGCCGACGATGAGCAGGTGACATTGCCATTGCCGTTTTCAATTAGAGTTGTTATTCGACCCGGGTCGAAATGGTCGAAACTTTTGTAGGCTCCCGCAGCGAAAACTTTGTAAAATTCATAACTTTTTTCTGAAGTAGAATTCCGCGATTTCGTCTTCATTTTTGATTCTGTGAGATCATTTCCTACATTTTGAGTCCTTAAACTATAAGTTTTCATGCTAGAATCATCAAGAACGGCCTGCTTGCCTTGTTCCGCGCGCGGCCATTTCCCCCTGCCATGGTGTGCCATAGCGATATAGTTATGTATTCCGGGCATTACAAATGACGCGCGAATTTTGTGCGACAATGGGGCGCCATTGCCGCACAAAATTCGGCCTCCTTTCCCTCTTATGGCGTTCCGATCCGACCCTATGGCTTGCCACTATGGCCTAATGGATAGCATCCAGGCCTACCAAACGGGGGTCCCGGGTTCGACCCCCGCTCGCGACATGGTTTTTGCTTTTTGAGCCCCAAAGAGGTTGGGTATCCCTTTAAAAGTCGGGCCGGGGGCGGCGAAAGCGGGTTCGCGGGCCAGCCCGGCCCCCGTCGAGGCCTGTGTGCAGGCCCGTACGAGGGGGGGGGCACCGGGGGCACGGTGCCCCCCCCGAAATCGGTCGAGGTCCGAAAAGTTCATAAGGGGGGACCCTTATGATTTTTTTCGCAAAAATTTTTCTGCCTGCGGCGCTGTTTATCACTGTTTCGAAACGATTTTTACTTCTAAAAAACCTATTTTTCTACAATTTTTTGCCTGCGGCGCTCGTTTTCATTAGTGGACCATGTTTGCTGAACAAAATTTCGCTTGCGCGCGCCGTTTCCGATGTGTTTTCACACGAATTTAAGCGTTAGAAACGCGGTTTTTTTAATGTTTTCGCCTGCGGCGCTGTTATTGTCGCTATTTTCGAATGTTTTGAAAGTGGCGACCGGGGGGGGAGGTCGCCAAAAAATTTTTGGGTGGGTGCCCCCCCGAAATCTCGGCTCCCGTACGGGCCTGCCTGTGTGGTGCCCATGAATTTTGATCGATTTTTTGTTCATCCGATAAAAAAATTTCAATTACATTATTTCGGGCTGAAATTGATTCTCCTAGTAAATTTTTCGACGTTCTATCGAATGGCGCTCGCGAAAGCCACAGTCATTGCAAATTTGATAGTAATGAGTGCCCCCGTTATCCCCCCCGTTACCCTATGAGCAGGGCCGAAATTTCGGGGGGACAGGACCGGAAAAAATTTTGACGACCTCCCCCCTCCCCCCGGTCGACGCTTTTGTAAAATGGCGGAGAAACGGTGTAAAAACTCTAAAAACAGCGCCGCAGGCAAAATTTTTGCAAAATTGGTTAAGAAAAACCCTGGGATTGAGCCAAATCGCGGCAAAAAAAGCACTTTTGAACCGAAATTGCGATTCAATGAATGAAAAAATAAAAATTTTCGAAAAATGGTGTTTCTAACACTAAAAACCGACTTGTGAACAGCTATAAAAAGCGCCGCAGGCAGAAAAATTTTCCGGAAAAAGATCATAAGGGTCCCCCTTATGAACTTTTCGGCCTTCGCGCGATTGCGGGGCGGGGGGCGGGGGGGGCGGCTCGCCTGGGGCGGCCTGAGAGCGCCCCAGGCAGCAAACTTAGCGAAAATTGCGATAAATTTACTGAAAAACAGCGCCGCAGGCTGAAATTTTTGAAAAACGGTGCCTATAGGATAAAAAAATGGTGTTAAAGAGCGAGGAAAAAGGCGCCGCAGGCAGAAAATTTTTTGAAAAAAAAACTGTCTATGTTATAAAAATAATAGCGTTTAAAAGGCCGTTTGCGAGCCACCCGAACAAGGCTTGGCACAGTTTTTTTTCGAAAATTTTTGCGAAAAAAATCTAAAGGGCCTTATGCGCTTTCCGGGCTCGGTCGATTTTCGGGGGGAGGTCTATTTCTCCTCACTCTTTATTGTTGTCGAGGGTGCCGTGAACAGGCAAGCGCTCTGCCGCGCTAAGTCACCGTTAGTAACCGGAATAAAGTGCTCTAGCAATACGGGTTTTCTGCTTTACATCGCCCTGTATTCTGCCTACTCTGGGCTTTCTATCGCTATATCAATAATCCCGATCCGTTACTTCTCCATGGAGTTATCGCCGTATCATTATTGGCTATTTTGGGCCTTTCCTCCAAATATTAGCCCATTAATGATGCCAAAAATAATCCCCTAACAACACCCAACCCCATCTGCGACCCTAACATTAGTGCAAAAAAAATGCGGGAAAATTCAAACTTCTAGGTCCCCTGCCCCCTCCATGGGGGCAGCAAAAATGATGAAAAAAAAACATAAGGGTACTACCTTATGTACTTTTCGGCCCCCCGAGGATTTCGGGGGGGGGCAGGCTGCCCCCCCCCCCCCCTCGTACGGGCCTGCCTATGAGCACCGAAAATCTGCTACTAGATATGGATGAACCACTGGACAATTTACACGAAGGATCGAGACGAGTGGCGCATGAACTACAACAACCAGACGCTCCAAATCTACAAAGAATCTGACCACCCGGCCAAGCGGATGACTTACAGGTAGAGTGGTTATTCGACCCGGGTCGGTCGAAATGGTCGAAACTTTTGTAGGCTCCCGCAGCGAAAACTTTGACCTAAAACCTAAACTTTTTAAATCGAGCTATTTAGCAAACATGGCAAACATATTCGGAATCAGCGCAAAATCCTGCACAAAATAGGCCTAGTTTCTCGGCCCTCAAAACGCCATTCACACTAAACAGCGCCTCCTTGTTGGTGGCCACGGAGGCAATTGTCGCGGCGCAATTGTCGCCGTCGTATATATATTTGAAAAATGCGAGATTATGAAATTAATGAAAATTGGCGTATTGAAATGCGGTGTAATGATGGGGAATCCACTTCTATGGTTGCCGTTTTCAGCGTTTCCGACGCGTGCTTTCAACGATACATCGACTACTTGATGACCTCGCCTGTTTGCACAATTGATCTGGACGTTAAGCTGTGGGGGCCACTGGTAGGTTCATCGATTATCGATTAACCGGGGGAGACACCGTTTATAAAGGAACGCGGGCTAAAGTCTAGTTTACCCCCCTCCCCAGCCGTAACGTTTCAGCCATGCGTCCTATTAATGCGTGGAGTATCTCAAAATGTTCGCCGTGGTCGAATTAATTTGGCCAAGTGGTTTCCTTGCTTCAAAATCGTTAGAAAAATTTTTTACAAGCTTTTGAAAGTTGAAACGATTAAGCCGCTATACTTCGATGTACCAGGAGCCTAAAACTCTATGCTTTCCACCGTGCAATGCCTATGCCGAAAATCGGTTACCAATATTTTGCGATAAATTAGGCAAATAGCTTTAAATTTCAATAAATGCACGGCCTGGTATCCTGTTGAACGCGCTTTTTGCAGAAAAATGCAAGCAAAAAAGTTTCTCAGATACCTCATCCGAAAGCGCGTTTTTTGCTCAGCAAATGCTCAGCTTTTTGCACGTGAACCCGCGATCCGTGGTATCGCTTCAGAATAAATTGGAGAAGTTCGAACCAAATTCGGCTCTTCTTGCAAACGCTAATAAACGCGCATGCTTTCCGATCCCATAAGAAACTTCAGCATGACCGGACGAACAAAGAAACCACAGGAAGAGTTCGGAAATGACCAGTCAACACTTTAGTTGGCCCAAAAACGCTAGGTTTACACCAGAAAAAAAAATAGCCAGCAAAAAAGTCGAGGTGACGCGCCGCCCCGTTTGCCTTAAAGGTTTTGCCTTGGAGGAGCCCTAAAAACCGCGAGATGATTATAGTCAAAGACTAGAGGCATAAACTTTTGACGGTAACGACGGTAACGGACAAGCTATTTAAATTAAGCTAACTGTGATTTTTGAGGAGCTTGAGCACGAGCAAGCATCGAAACACTTTTGGACGGATGGAAATCGGTATTAAACGGGAAAAATGACCATTAACATGTTCGAATCTTGGCGTAGTTAGGTCCGTTTTGCCAGAAAACGTCATTTCTTGCCCCCACAAAAACCTCTGAACACATTCTGAAAGTTTACCCCCGTTTTTATGTTATTTAAGAGGCGAATAATGGAACATGCTCTTCGCTCGATTCTGGCGCTATTTTGGGCTCTCCAAAAATTTTTCTTTTGCACGGTGCATCAAAAATGCCTCAAAAAATATTATGAAATACAATGCGGGGGGTCGAAAACAGCGGAAAAATTGAAAAACTCAGTTTCCAGTTGCAGAAGTTTTTCATTCAATTACTGCTTTCAGTCGGAATTCTGGCCCGTCGACGACAACGCACGCCCACGCATTAATGTAAGTCAATGTTCGCGTCTGTACCACCACAGACGCCTCGTGCACCCGTTCGCGCTGCCAGTGTCTGAACCGGGGTTTACAGGGTGTGTCAAAAACGAGCCGGAATGTCGTCGAAAATCGAAAAAATCAAGTTGACTTTTTCCCTATTCCCAGCCCTGGCAACGGGCCCGGCGCCCCCGGGCTTTTTCGGCCCCAAAAATTTGCATGCGGCCGGCTCGACGGGGGCTCGGCCTCGTTCGGCTCGTTGCCCCCCCCCGCCGCGCCACGCAGGTAGACATGTCCGATTTTGACGATTTCCGTATCTATCGAAAGCTCTCGACAAGCTTAGCAGATATACAGGGTGTCCCAAACCCCCCCTTCCCTCGGCATTTGGCCGTCTTCTAACAGATCGAGGCCAAATTTTCACCAGCGATGGGGACTCATAAAAACTATGTGCAACCCAATTTTCTAAGCAAAATACTGTCAAACAAAAAAGTGGTACACATAGGATAACGGGGGGGGAATAAAATAACGGGGGGGGCACTCATTATTATGAAATTTGCAATTACTGAGGGATTTTGCGAGTGCCATTCGATAGAGCGTCAAAAAATATACTAAGAGAATTAATTTCAGCCCGAAATAATGTAATAGAAATTTTTTATTGAATAAACAAAAATTGAGGAAAATCTATGGGCAGCACATAGGATAACGGGGGGGGAAAGTCAAATTTTCGAAATTTTCGACATTTTCGGTATTTTGAAAACGTCATTCGATAAAGCGTCGAAAACTGCCCTAGGAAAATTAATTTCAGCCCGAAATAATGTCAATGAAATTTTTTATCGAATAAACAAAAATTGATCAAAATCCATGGGCAGCACATAGGATAACGGGGGGGGAAAGCCAAATTTTTGAGATTTTCGATATTTTGAAAACGCGAATCGATAGAACATCAAAAAATATACTAAGAGATTTTTTTACAACGCGAAAAAATGTATTATAAAAGTTTTATAGCCTAAAAACTATTTTTGAAAACTATGGGCAGCACATAGGATAACAGGGGGGGAAAAAATTTTCGGCGTTTTGAATATTTTCGAAATTTTGAAAATGCCATTCGATACAGGACCGAAAAATATACTAAGAGTTTTTTTTACAGCCCGAAAAAAGCTTATTTAAAAATACTTTTATCATATAAAAAGTTTGAGTGCCCCCCCGTTATTTTTTCCCCCCGTTATCCTATGTGTACCAATTTTCTAAGCAAAATACTGTCAAACAAAAAAGTTATATCGAAAGCAAGGTTTATTTTGCCGATTTCACTAGGATTTTGACGGATTTGGGCCTCGAAATGCGGGTAAAGTCACTACCCCGAAATAATTTGCATGATTTTTATAGGGAAATCCGAATGAAAACTGGACATTTCCGGGAAAAACAATGCTATCATTTTTCGGGGTAAACGGCTCTGGGATGACTGCCTACTTCTCAGAATTATCAAAATAAGCTATTTTAGATATTAAAAATCAGTTTTTCTAAAATTTTCGGGTACTTTCTTTGTTAGGCAACAATTAGCATATACCGGAAGTAGAAGAACCCTATAGAAAGGGACGGAAGGAAATATTTTCATTTTTTCGGAGCTTGATTGAGGCGGAATTATGCAAAGTTTACAATTTCATTTGTTCAGACGGGGCCGTCGCGAAGCGGCTTTTCAACCCTGGTTATGTCTAGACCAGCCGATGCTGGCCTTCGGGCTACCCACCATATTCTACACCACCAAATTACATCTCTATCTTCATCAATACCCACACCAAGCGCTTCAGATACCCCCCTATAGCCAACCCCCTGCAAAAAATTAGATACCTAAACTACTTCGATACCTCCCCCTAGGCGAAATCCCCTTAAAAACTACTTCGATGGCTTCCTGATGGCTTTAGATACCTCCCATAGCCGAAATCCCCTTCAAAAACTACCTAAATACCTTTCTGATGGCTTCAGATACATCCCCTAGCCGAAATGGAACGCGGGCAAGGGCCTGGTCACGGCCAATCAAACAGGCCAAAAACGGCAATTTGCCGGGAGGGGGCAAAAGCGTCAATTGGAGCCGGGCGTAGCGCGCGTCAAAAGGTTTAAACTCTTATAACCTTTCCAAACCGACTCACTATTGAAAAGCCAATATTAATTATTGTAGAGTAAAATTTTACGGTTCGAATGATACCAAATACAGCCAGTTAGCCCTCCGAAATCCCACTTTTCACAAAGTCCCCCACCAAAACCGCCTTCGTTAGCATACTTTCTAAATTCAGTTTTGTTAGTGCTTAGTATCATTAGTATCGCCATGTTCCCTTCTACAAGACTGGAATTCGCGTTTTTTAAGATCGGCCATATCTTTCAAGATATAAGCCTCCAAAGTTTTGGCCCCATATATTTTTGAGTTGATAGGAGCGCCGCGTCGCCTAGCCCTTAGACCGCCGCGATTTCGGGGCGTGTGGTGAAGAGGGGCCGGGAAAGGGGGTGTGGCCAGCCCGGAGAGGGGCCCCCCCCCACTCGTTTTATTAAGGCGCGACTTTCAAAGTTTCAAGTTTCAAGTTAATTTTAATAATTTAAACGCAAACTTTTTCATAATTTTTTTATCAGTTTGGGGGTTTCTGACCACGCTCTATCCGAATCCGAAGAGACCTAAGCTCGAGCTCCTTTCCCCTTCGAGTTGAATTCGGCTTCAGACAGACACACACACACAGACGGACGTCTCTACTTTTTTATTATAGTTGACCAGCGCCCAAAACCCGCTTCGCGGGCCTTGGGCGCTGGAATGCGGCCTTTGCATGAGAAATTTGACTTTCCAATAGCTTGGGTCCTGCGGACCCCCCCTCATCCACGGCATACCAAAAACACAGGCAGGTACTATCGGCCGCGGCGTAATTTATGAAGAACTACTACTTAATAAACGTCTTATAATATTATTTAATGCGTTGTAATATACTATAATAGATTCTACATATTTATCGGACTTAGTTATATAGTTTTTATTTAAATTGTTTGCGATATATGCCAAAAGAGTGCGTATGACCATCCGCGGCCGATAGTACCTGCCTGTGCATGTGGTATGCAGTCCCTCATCCGGCCACACCCGCGCGTGCAACTTGCAAGAATGAGGAAATTTGTATTTTTTGGAATTATGCAAAGTAGCCCTCCCTGGCGCCGGACACACACACACACAAAGATACGCGACCAAATTATATAAGGTAGGATGATTGGGCCTTTTGATCACTTTTTATTATTATCAAAGAGAGCCGAAATCGAGCCGAAATGACGATTTTCCGGAAAATTACTCAAAAATGGCATGCTAATTGCGAAAACATATCCAAAAATGAGTACCAGGTTTTCCCAAATATCGGTTGTTTAGCGATAACTTTTTTGTTTGACAATAGTTTGCTTAGAAAATTCGGCTGCACATCGTTTTTATGAGTCCCCATCGCTGGTGAAAATTTGGCCTCGATCTGTTAGACGACGGCCAAATGCCGATTCCCTGTATTCTTGCCGGTTTTGTCAAATTCCGAAAAATTCCGGTTTTGCATTGAATTACTAACATTTTGAATGTTACGAAGGGGAGGGGGGGGGCGGTATTTCCGATGCTTCTCCGAGGAAAGGGTTTTGTTTACAACGTCACAATTTATGGATTTTCGAGGCTTCTGCCATAGCCCTACGACCGCTTTTTGAAAGCCATTGAAAACATACAGCTGGGATGGCGCGTAGGTTTGTTCAACTGAGTTGTTTTTAACAACAACAAAAACCCTGTAATTTTGCATGAAAAATGTTGAAAGTCGAGCTAAAACATCCGGAATATCTGCTCAGCTCGTCGAGAGCTTTCGAACAGATGATTTTCGTACAGATGATTGGCCAATTTTTGTAATGCCCTGCCCATGTCATTTTCAGGCTACCCCGCTGTTCCGGTCGTTCCGTGCGGTACGCTCGCTGAGCCTTTCCCTACCCAACCACACCACCCTCCGCACTTTCCAGGCCAACTCTCGATGTGGTGCCGATGTTCTCCTGATTCAGGACGGGGTACGAACCCACTCTCCAGCCGTTATTTTCTCGTCTCGTATTACAGCTGACGCCTAGGGGAAGAGGCTTGCCGTCTCTAGGGGGGAAAATGCTAAGCGGGTCAGCAAAACAAAACTTTGCCGATAGTAATACCCGCAAAAACGCCACATTTTAGGTCGGAGACATGAGTGACATTGTGCGTTGTCGAAGATGTCGCATGGTACGGGCGTGAGAGAGAGAGAGAGAGAGAGAGAGAGAGAGAGAGGAGAGAGAGAGAGAGCGAAAAAGAGAGAGAGTGAGAGCGAGAGAAAGAGAGCGAGAGAGTGAGAGAGAGGGAGATAAAGAGCGAGAGAGAGAAAGAGAGAGAGAGAGAGAGAGTGAAAGCGAGAGAAAGAGAGTGAGGGAGAGTGAGAGACAGAAAGTGCGGAGAGAGAGAGAGAGAGAGAGAGAGAGGGGAGAGAGAATCGGACCTGTTTCCAGGAGCCGTGGGCGGAGAATCTGTGGAGCTGTACTAGTTGTTCAGCAATGTGGAATGATGAATGGCTGCATCGTGAGCGTAGAAGTGAACCCTTGCGCGAAGTTCACCTTCACTGCCATCGACGGCTGAAAGCATCCGATTTTCTCAAGATCGTTGACGTAAGCTTGTCGATCTGTCTTTTTTTTATTGCGACTGCTGTACTGTCTTCAGGCTACCGTCGCTCATCTCTCTCCCTCTCGCTCTCTTTCTCTCTCTCTCTCTCTCTCTCTCTCTCTCTCGCGCTCTCTCTCCCTCTCTCTGGCTTTGCCCCGTCAAGCGGCCTTTAGAGCGTGTTTACAGCTTGGTCTGTGCCCGACAAGGTATCAACAGCGCGGAATGGTACACATGTTTGGGCTGCATATTAACTACGTTAACGCAGAGGATCCTCATCCCATCAATATTGATCGTTTCTTGGTGGGGAATCTTGTTGTTTTCGTTTTGGAACGACTTCTCTTATCCCGCTGCTAAAAACGACGGTTTTTAAGCAAAGTCTTCAACGGCGAATCGAAACGATTTTTGATGGGACGATGGTTTTGGTGGATGAGTCGACCGAGGAATCACAAGTACTCAAAGAGCTGTTCAGGAAAATGGTGGTTCAGATCTTTCAATCCCTCACTCTCTCTCTCTCTCCCTCCTCTCTCTCTCTCTCTCTCTCTCTCTCTCTCTCTCTTTCTCTCTCTCTTTCTCTCTCTCTTACTCGTTGAATGTTTATAATATTCCAGCATAAGGATGCAACCATCGATATCCAATGCTACTTCCAAATACACGTGGCCGACAAATGTAAGTCAGGATTTACTATCATATTTCCAAAATTCCGCTTTTCATATGGCCGCTTTTCATATCGCCGCTTTTTCAAAATGCCGCTCTATCAGAATATCGCTTTTTTACCGGGATAGGAGTTCCCATAATAGCAAATTTTTTTATATGGCTTTTGTTTTGTAGAAAGAGAATGGTTTGTAACTACAGTAGCGACCAAAAGTTTGTACCCACCCTGCCCCACATTCTAAAAATTGCCCCCCCAGAATCTCGGAGAAGGGCTCCAAAATTCTATTGTTTTGGGGAATTATATCTTCTAAGGCTGCGATTTCATAAAGCGAAACTCCTATGGAACACGAAACTGTATCCTACTATATATAAAAAAATAGTGTTTGTGTGTGTGTGTGTGTGTCTGTGTGTGCCACTTTGCATCCACTTCCGTCTGTCTGTTCGGAGGATATCTCAAGAAGGAACGGGTATTAGGCTACGTATGATACGTCATTAGGTGCGTAATGGTCTAGGGATGACTGCACACATATAAGATTTTTAAAAATTAGCCATTTTCGCCATTAAATTTAGGTTTTTGTAAAAACCTTTTTGTTAGGAATAATTAGCATACATCGGAAGTGGGCCGTCGCCTATATAAAGAGGCAGAAACGGTTGTTTTTCATTTTTTTTTGTCTTCTGAATGGAGGACAATTATGCAAAGGGCAGAATAGTATGGGGTCGAGACGGGGTCAGGGTTGACTTTAAAAGTGGAATCTTGGAGCAGGGGAAAAAAGAAGTTATGTCAAAAATTTGTACCCACCATCCTTCAAAATGCGATAAGAGGCTAAATAAGGTCGTTTAGGGTCCAGTTCTGCTACTCACGGATATTATTTGCCAGCATCTGCCGTTTCGCATTCATAGAACAGCCCAAAAAAAACTTTAAGGAAATTTTTGAAAAATTCGATTTTAATATGGGACTGTTGAGCCGACTGTGCTGTTTATATAATACAGGGTGTTCGAAAAGTTTTGGCAAAATGCTATGGCTTGCACGCATGCGATCCTGTCACCTTTATGGGTTATTTGTCATGTTTAGCTAACGGTATCGTAACCAATTTGCCAAAAAAAGTTCGGTTGGATCGATATAATGACGAGCACGGCATCGATTTACAATCCGTTTTTGGTAAGCTATGTTGTAAGCAAGGGGCTAACTTCACACCCCCGATTTCCATTCAGAATCGAAACGTGAGTTGTTGGTCGCTTTTGCTACTGATGCCAGGCAATGGGGGAAAACCAAAAGCATGCCAATTACACAAATATTTTTTCCCCCAAACACTTGACAAATGAAGCCCAACTGGAGAATTCCGGTGCGTGCCGTGCGTTTATCGAATGTTTGGCTATTTAAAAAAATCAGTTAAACGGTTGGATCGTTTTAAGTGGTGTTTTATGGGAATACTAGCGCCCATATTTGTTATGCCTAGGCTTATGGAAGCGGCCCGGCCTTCATGCATACCAATTTGGATCGCCAGCAAAATTGGCAATCCTCGGGTTTGGGCGAAGGCTGTTTTTGGCCAGAAGTTAAACGCGGGCTGACTTGCGCATCCGTGGTAACACTTTTTTTTCTGACTATGGATAACGTAGGTGGTGCGCCGAACTACCTGTTATTCAAATATGATACGAATCGGAAGCATGGCTGGGTAGCTCCGGGGTGATATGTCACCAAAGGGGCCGTGCCGTGGCCATTTTGAATCAGAGATATTATACCCCCTACCAAATTCAAAAGTGAATTTTTAAAAACCGATTTTTGACACATTGAAGTGTGGATCGTAACCAATTAGGTACAACAGTTTCATTGGCTTCCGAGGTTTCTCAGCCATTTGACGACCAAAACATTTTGCCAGAACTTTTCGAACACCCTGTAGTTCTTAAACACTCCGTTTTACACACATCCTACTATATATCTTACTAAAATAATTTTGCTGTGGTGTCTGTCCGTCATGTCCCGAATTCAACTCCGAGGGGAAAGGAGCTAGCGCTTAGGTCTCTTCGGATTCGGATAGAGCGTGCTCAGAAACCCCCAAACTGATAAAAAATTATGAAAAAGTTTAGTTTAAATTATTAAAATTAACTTTGAAAGCTTTTTCCTTAGTAAAAGGGGTGGGGGACGGAGGTTGGGGTGATTTTGGACATAGTGGGCCAGGTGGCTCGCGTTTCGTGGATGAAAATTTTCACGGGAGCCATTTCATTTCTTTTTGTTTTCCCAAGTATCGGGTTGGTCGTTATTTTCGTTTTTAAAGGGATTTCGGCTATGGAAGGTATCTAAAGCCCTCAGGAAGGTATCGAAGTCGTTTTTAAGCGGATTTCGCCTAGGGAAGGTAGCTAAAGCCCTCAGGAAGGTATCGAAGGAGTTTTTAAGCGGATTTTGGCTTGGGGGATCTGCGGAGATCAGAAAGGTATCCAAAGAGCTTTTTTAAGGCCGTTGCGGTTATGGGAGGCATGCGTAGCCATTAGGTGGGTTTGGTGAAGGTACGGATGGATGTGATGGTGTATTAAAAGAAGGATAGCCCTGAAGGCCAGATGGTTACAGTCGCGAAGCGAGTGGAACCATCTGGTAAATAGTGAGATCTGTGTATGTGTGTATGTGCCACCTTGCATCAACTTCCGTCACCATGTCCGGGGGATATCTCGATAGGGGGATGAATTTTATGGCACGTATGATACGTCATTAGGTGCGTAATGGCTCTGGGATGACTGCACGATTTTTAGATTTTACAAAATAAGCTATTTTCGACATTAAATTTAAGTTTTTGTAAAATTTTCGGCAACCTTTTTTGTTAGGAAAAATCAAGCATAAAGCGGAAGCGGCAAGAGCCTATATAATCAGCTAGAGAGCGTCGTTTCTCATGTTTCGCGTCGAAATTCGAGAGACAAATGCAAAGTGAGGAATATTCAGGGGTTAGACGGGGCCAGGGTCGAAAAGCCGCGAAGTGGCTTTTCAATCCTGGTAATTGATATTTCAGCTCTGCTCGGCGCCGTCATCTTCGAGACGATATGGGGAGCACGTACCTTTGCGTTGTTCTGGTCGATGAATAAAATATTGTCGAATCTATTCCGCGTTCTTTTCGTTTTCTTTTTCCGATACCAGAAGCGTTTCCCAATAAAGCTGCTTCATTAACAGGCCATAATATTTTCCCTGAGGCTCAATTCTGTCCGTTCGTGTGCTGCAGAATACAATCTCGAAGGGTGCGACCAGGGGGAGAGGGAGGTCAACGGTGCTGTTCCTTGCGTTCAATTCGACCTTGCTGACTAAGGGCCTACCTGAACTTGTCATCGAACTTTGGGAAATGCCATTTACTAGCGCTATACCGAAAATTCGGATCTGTACCGATAGCACGGAGCATTGACAACGGAACAACAGAACGGGGCAAAGCCAGCAGAACAGATTTGTCAAAAAAAAAAACGTATTTTGATGGTCCATACCCTATTCTAGATTTTTTGATTTGCAGAAGTGTTTGTCAACCAGGCCGAACGTTTCCTAGAGAAAGTCTATGTCTAATTCCGATACACGTTACCTCCTCAACATCAGCAAACTGTAAAAAAACGCACCGTGTTTACTAAAGATCATAGGCCAACTCGCACTTGACGCAATTTTCAAAGGGTTAAAAGCACCTGCATAATTTCGCTTGGGCGAACTGGCGGATGAATACTTTTTTCTTGACATAGAGCTCTGCATCATTTGGTCAGCTGGGGCCTTTTTTGACTGGGCGGAAGCCCATTTTTCGACACCGCTGCTGGCATTTGATCGATAGATAAATCAACAGTTTTTCCGTCTATCACACTATGTCTCTCACTATCCATTTATCCCTCCCTCGCTCTCTCTCTCACTCTCTCACTGTCTTTTTCTCTCTCTCTCTCTCTCTCTCTCTCTCTGTCTGTCTCTCTCCGTCTCTCTCTCTCGCCCGATCATTAAATTTTAGCCGAGGAATGGCCATGGGTTAAGTTTTCTCCTCGAATGCGCCAATTCGCCGCCTACCGTCTGCTGCTGCTCCTCTCACTCCTATCAGCATCCCTCCTTCTCCTCATCCGTTGGGGCTCAACCCCATTTCTGGTACATTCCTCCTCTCCACCACCAACTCCCCTTCCAGACCCTAATCGCCGACCTGTACGCCCTCGACGCTTATCAGATCGAAATCCTGCTCCGTGCCCTCGCCGACCATCAAAGACCCGCGGCGCTGCAGCGCGCCTTTCCGCGCCGAGCACGCGCGCGGGCGCATTTGCTGCCCCCGCTGAGGAGCTACGCGCCCGCCGGCAGGGTTTGTAGCTTAGAGTATAGCACCAAAAGTGTTTGGAAGAATGGGTACTGGACTGTTATCGGGGGGGACTATTTTTAACAGGGGAAATCCACTTTCTTTTTTCCACATATGCCTAATTTTTGATGATCTATTATGTATGTTTATAGAAATTTCGAAAATTTGGAGCTTTTTAGTCATTTTTGATACATTTTGACCAAAACCTCAAAATTTTCAAAATCCTATTTTGCTTTTTATCTAGAAACTATGTAAAATTGCATAAAAATGGTATATATTTCGTTATTGGGCCGTAGAGAATCACAGGGGAACAAAATTTAAGCTTTCTTGGTTCTTGACTCTTAGCGGGGAGAACCAAATTTTTCCCTGTAATTCGCTATAATACAAAAATATAAACCATATCGTTTACATAGCTTATTTTCAAAATGTCGAAATTCATAATGTCGAAACTCATAATCTCGAAATTCATAATGTCGAAATTTCATAATGTCGAAATGATAATGTCGAAATTTCATAATGTCGAAATGTCAGAATGTCGAAATTTACATAAGCTAAAATTCCCGGTAAAGTCCCCGAATTCTAGGCAAAAAAAAAATGTTGTCGTGAAATAAGATAAAAAAATAGAATGTGGAAAAAATTTTTTTGGGCTAGGGATTGGGGGTTTCACCGGTAATATTAGCCTATGTAAATTTCGACATTATGAAATTTCGACATTATGAAATTTCGACATTATGAAATTTCGACATTATGATTTTCGACATTATGATACCAATTCAGCTTTTAGATATAGAAACAATACAAAAATAATCAAACTCATCGAAAATTTTTGAATTTTTGGCCAAAAACGTATGAAAAGTGAGCTAAAGGGTCAAAATTTTCGAATTTTCAAAATTAAAAAAATTGTTCTTGATAACTTTCCTAGCAATGAAAAGCGTTTAAAAACACTATAAAAATACAGAATTTATCAACAGGTAGGTGGAAAACAAAAGTGGTTTACCACCTGCTAAAAATCCCCCGCTAACAGTCCAGCCCCTTTCCTTTAGTTGGCCGGCCCGTATGGCTCGATGGTATGCCCGGTGGAAAAGGTGATGTCGACGAAGCTGGGTTCTCTATTCTGTCTCCTCGACGATCCACAGCGCTATGCGGGCAATTTAACACTTTATGCTAATGAGGATCACGATCACAGGTCAGCAGAGGCTATAAACCCGCCCCGCCTCAGTTATCCGGTACTGGACTGTTAGCGGGGGGGGATTTTCCCCATAATCCTGTACGGCCGTATGGCGAAATATAAGCCACTTTTTGCACAGTTTTTGGAGATACAACAACGCATAAAAATTATCATAATTTTCGAAAATTTCTTGTTTTTTGGTGAAAAATCAAAAAAACTACCGAAAACGTTCGAGTTTTTCAATTTTTTCGAAAAATTTTGTGTATTTTCATAACTATCTAGCAGTCAAAAACTACCCAAAACACTGGAAAAATCCATGAAAAAGTGTTAATAGAGAGAAAACCACAAAAGACGGGCCTTTTGGACTAGCTGTGGTTTTTCAGGGCGATTTCTCGACCGGTCATTTCAGACAATGCGACCAATCGCACGACATTGCCCGTCTGGCGGCCTTTCAGAATGCGGAAAGAAGGCTTGTGGTGGTGCGCGAGCCAGTCGACCGCTTCGTTTCCGGCTTTGTGCATCTTTGCCTGTGCGTAAGCCTAAGCCTGAACTAAGCCTAAGTTAAGCCCAAGTCTATTCCTAAGCCTAAGTCTGTCTAAAGTAAGCCTAAGCCTAAGTGAAGTTACGCCTATAAGCAGAAACCAAACCTAAGTCGCAGTCGAAGTCAAGCTTATTCTTAACCTAAGCCTAAGCCAAGCCAACCCTAAGCTGAAGCCTAAACGAGCCTAGGCCCAAGTCGAAGCCTAAGCCCTATGCCTACCCTACGTCTAAGTATAAGTTAAAAGGCTAAGCCTAAGCCTAATAAGCCTACACCTAAGCCTGAGTTAAGCTGAAGCCTAAGCTCAATTTCAAGCCGCTATATTCTTGCTTTCAGAAAATTGCACACCTGCATCACCACCGATTTGTATGGTTTTCTCGGTGAAGTGCTGAGGTTCGATGCGGAATTTGCGGAATCTGGAAATGAACACCGTGATAATGGACTCTATTGGCATACCATGCGCCATTTCCACCCGCAAAACTGGTACGTTTCCGCCACTGGACGGCTAGAAAATCAATGGAAGCTAGCCGAAGCATATGACAAGCTTGGGCCCTAAGGTAAGTCTAAGCTAAGCATAAGCCCAAGCTAAGCCTAAGCCTAAGCCAAATATTAAGCCGCAACGCAAGCATAAGCCAAGTCTAAATCGAAGCCCAAGCCCAAGCTACTCTAAACCTAACAGGCTGCACCCTAGCCTAAGCCAAAACTTAAGCGGTAACGTCTAAGCATAAACATAAACCAAGTCTAAACCTAAGCTAATCCTAAGCCTGAATCTAAGCCCAAGTCAAGCTGAGCCAAACCCAAACCAAGCCTACCGTTTCAGGCGTTGCCACTTCACCGAGCTATACCATCAATATTCCCTTTTTCACTACGAGGATCAGGATCTCGTGGATCGATTGGGGCAATGGCTAGAAGATGCCGGTGTTCCACCCGACTTGCTCCACTTCGTAAGCCCGTTTTCCTGTAATTTGACGAACATTTGCCTAGGCGCTTCGCGGTCTTGCCGCGACGCGTGGCCCCCATTCGACGCACGACCACCCTCAACGCCAAGCCGTTCACCACCAGCTGACCGGAAATTCGACAATTTTCCGGCGGTTTCTCGAGATCTATTTTTTCGATTATCTCCTTTTCGGGTATCCCTTGCCGCAGAATGAATAAATCAGTTTTAGTAGGAGCTCTGGACTACTACTATCCTACTTATATAATTTGGTCGCGTATCTTTGTGTGTGTGTGTGTGTGTGTGTGTGGATGTCACTTTCGAGGCTCGATTTGAGGGCCTTCCCGTGTATAAAAGGCTCTAATTTTCCGTCGCTAGGGGTCTGTTTCCGATGGCGTTCTCAGAATTACGATAAAATACAAGTTTACAAAGTTAAAGCCGGTTTTATTCATTTTTGGGGGTACCCTGAGGGCTAATTTGCATAGTGCAAAAAATACAAATTTCCTCATTCTTGCGAATTGCACGCGCGCATGTGGTCTGGGGGGTCCGAAGGACCCGGGCTATCGGAAAGGCGAATTTCTCATGCAAAGACAGCATTCCAGCGCCCAAGGCCCGCGAAGCGGTTTTGGGCGCTGGTATGTATATAAACAGTGTGTGTGTGCCACTTTGCATCCACTTCCGTCTGTCTGTGCGGAGGATTTGTTCTTTTGTCGAAACTTCTTTGTTAGGAAACAATTAGCATCAACCCGAAGTGGGGCCCGACTAAATAAAGACAGAGAGAGAGAAGGAGAGAGAGAGAGAAGGACTTTTTCATTTTTTTGCGATCTGAATGCAGGATGATGATGCACAGTCAAGGATAGAAATGGGGCCCAGACGGGGCCAAGGTTGAAAAGTCGCAAAGCGGATTTTCAACCTTGGTTATTCTAAGTAGGGAGACCCGACAGTAGGTAGGGTCGGAGTCGATTCCCCGGGGCCCATTCATTATATACCAGCAGGGGCGTACGGAGGGGGGGGCAACAGGGGCAAATTGCCCCCAAATCGGCCGAAGGCCGAAAAGTTCATAAGGGGACCCTTATGATTTTTTCAATAAAAATTTTTCTGTTTGCGGGCGGCGCTGCTCATTACTGTTTTAAGACGGTTTTTACTTCTATGAAGCCTATTTTTCCAAAATTTTTCAAAAATTTTGCCTTTTTGCCTGCCGCGCCTTTTCTGTGATGTTTTTACATGAATTTGAGCGTGTCTAAATTCCTAATTTTGTTGTGGCCTGCGGCGCTATTATAGCTAAGATTTTGAATGTTTTGGAAATGGTGACCGGGGCGAGGGGGGTCGACAAAAAATCGGGTTCTTGTACGCCAAACAAAAACCTGGCCCCCTGGCCTCGTCCAATCCTATGATATCCCTCGCTTTGCATAATTCTTCCGCATTGTTATGTCAAAATGAAAACCGCGTCCTCTCCCGATTACTCCCTCTTCCGGCGTATGCTAATTTTTGCCTAACAAAGAGGGTGTCCGATTTTTCAAGAAAAACTTAACTTTAATGTCGAAAACAATAGATTTTGCATAATCTGATATGCGTGCAGTCATCTACAGGCCATTACGCGTCTAATGACGTATCATACGCCCCTTAATCCCTTCCCCTCTTGAAGATATCCTCCGGACACGCCGACGGAAGTTGCATGCAAAGTGTCATACACACACAGACACTATTGTTTTATAGATAGCAGGATATTCCGTCGGCCCGTCGATTGATAGGGTAATCCCCCACCCCCTTTCCCCCCCAAGGAGAAACAAAAAGATTTCTTGGGGAAGAGCTGAATTCCGCCTGGCCACCCGGGGCACCCCTAAAACTTTATGGTGTCCCGGGATGTGTTGGTGGGGGCTGCGCACAAAGCCGTGAAAAACGATCCGCGCGAGCAAATGGTGGTGCTGGTGGTCAGCTGGCCGAATAGCCTGGAGGGGGGCACTACCCAGAAATACGAATGTTGTTTTGTTTCTGTCTCTCGCTCTCTCTCTCTCTCTCTCTCCTCCTAGTCGTGCTAATTGGCCAAAGAAACTACTCAGAGCGATTCTTAGGCCCCCCCAAGCAAATGGCCCACCTCCCCCGGTGGCTGTTCTCCCCCGATTTTTATGGGCGCCAATTCCGCGCCCAAACTGTCGACGCATCGCCGGGTTTGAACTAACAAACCCGAGCTTTTTAGTGAGGGCCTTTCAGCCTCACAGATCAAAAACAAGCCGCAAATGCACTATGCTACCGACAATTCCCGTAGGAATCACTGCTGGTTGGACAAAATTTCGGATAACAGCAAGAGTGCCGCAAGGATCTCCGTTAGACTGCCGGCATCTGCTAGCGAAGAGCTGCTAGACTTTTCGTACATGCCGCCCTTCTCCTCCTTTCCTCCCCTCTAGCTGTCAACAACCCATCCTTCACGCACCCTTTAATGAGAATCGTGCCCCATGGAGTACTCCTCGCTAGCCCCGCCCCCTTTTGCTAGCCCCGCCCACTCGCTAGTGGCCCTTTCGATACAAAGCTAGGGGAGGGCCCTTTTTCGGTAACGATTGTTCGAACGTCGATTCTATGTTGCTGCTGGATTTTAATGAATCTTGTATTCTCTCTCGCTCTCTCTCTCTCTCTCTCTCTCTCTCTCTCTATCTCCCTAGCTCTCTATCTCGCTCTCTCTCCCTCGCTCTCTATCGCTCTCTCTCTCGCTATCACTCACTCTCTCGCTCTCTCTATCTCTCTCTCGCTATTTCTCTCTGTCTCTATTTCGCTCTCTCTGTCTCTCTCTGTCTCTGTCTCTATCTCTATCTCCCTCTCTCTCTATCTCGCTGTCTCTCGCTCTCTCTCTCTCTCTGTTCCCCTCTCTATCTCTTCCGACCGATTACGTTCCTTCAATCGACGGGCTTCCAGCTGGATTTCCTCAATAATTTCTGCCGACCTGCCTCAAAAGCCCAGCCCCCAATTTCCATTTTCGAAATGATACCCGCCCGCACCCCCACCCCAGTCTTTTCGCGATTTTATTGTGCGTGACGGGGCGTGAGCACCAGCCTGTCAACCCCAAAAATGCCCAGCAAAAACCCATTTTCCTGCCCTGTCCATTTCCTCAAGCAATCTCTGCTCGTCTGCCGCGATTTTTTCGATAGCTGTTGCAGCGTTCCCAATTTTCCCAGGCTTGTCTCCTCGCACGTCTTCTTCTTCTTTTCGACCTTTGCGGTCTCACCCTGACAAACATTTAGCTGTTAGGGGGAGTGTCCTGGACAGGGGTGAGACAGGGCTTAATCCTCTTCTCTAGGCTTCTCCCCTTCTAAGCCTTCGCTCCAGGGGTTGATGACCACGCTGAATCGCCACAAACGCTTTGGAGCAGCTTCTTGAGGCTAGCAGAGATTCTTGCGTAATTTGGGGGCTGGGCTGCTACGGCAATGTAATACCCCTCTTGCCTTCTCGGCGCCTTTAATGGCCGCAAATTGGGGTGCCGCGTAGTGGCATTGGGGGGAGGGGTGAAAAACTGGGGAGTCCCGTCGGCTAAATTACGCATGCATAGCACGCGTGAAGTCAAGTCAAGCCAACTGCTCTCACTCCAATACGGCCAGAACGGGGCCGTTTTTAGACTGACAGGCCAGCCGGGATTGGTCGAGGAGATAGGGGGGGGGGGGCGGGCTAGCAGAGGTTCTTTGAATAATCTAGCGAAAACAGGCCAGCAAAGATCTTTCCATCTAGCCCATCGTAATCGACTACGCGACCGAAATCCGGGATCTGCGCGTTGCGTGTAGTGTCGTGGCCCATTCCATAAGCTATCCCCCAACCACCCCATGCCTTCCCTAGTCCCTTTAAAGCCGTTCCCCCTTCCCCCTACGTCCCTTTCTCCGTTCCGTTGGGGTCCTAGCAACGCGCGAATTAGCTCGCATTTCCCTTTCTAGTAGCGAGCAGCCCCCCAGAAGCCACAGGCTTCCGCTCGAATTATTCCCTCCTTTCCGCTATGGCCCTTACGGCTGGCAGGTGCCATTTGACGGAGGTTCGGGGATTGTTTTTCCGAATTTTTAAGAATCGGCTGGTTACTATTTTCCCTAAAAAATTTCTGCTATCCTGCCTTTTCCTAAAGAATTTTTGCTAGCTTGCCATGAGGAATTTTTCTGTTTTCGCTAAAGGTCTCTGCTAGCTTGCTTACCGTTTCAGTTTTTCTCTCTAGCTCGCTCTCTATCTCTCTCTCTCTCTCTCTCTCTCTCTCTCTCTCTCCAATCCCTCCATATTCCAGCCATTTCCCTCAATCGTCGATGGCCTCCAACGAGCGGCTACAAACTACGCTCTAAATCCAAAATGCTCCCGCCAAGCCCATTTTTGCTGTTGGGGCCCTGCTTGTTGTTGGCGACGGGTACCGTGGCACAGGTCGGTTTTCTCTCCGTGAACCGATTGCACCATGAAAAGGAAGTTTTTCCAGCTAGCTAGGGTTAACCGATTACGCCATGAGATGTTGGATTTTGAGGAGGTTAGGCATTGGGCCAATCCCGGCAGAAACCACGGCTCCCGAAGAGCAGAGGGTTAATCGATTACAGCGTCTAATTCTAGGGTATCTCATGCCCCGGTTTACCCCGATTACGTCATGAAATTCCGGGGGTTTCGAAAGGCCACACAGCGTTCAGAGCCCTAAGAAAAAGGTTGGTCGAGCGGGGACAGGATGGAGAGGGGGCTCTCTGCACTCTCGCCCTTCCTCTCGCTGTCTGCCCCCACCCCCGCGCGTTTGAATCATAAATGGCGTGTACGAAAGATTAGCCCGGCTGTCTGCTATCGCGCGCCCTACCCCTCCCCTGCCTGTCTGCCCTCGTGTCTGCGCTCTGCATCCTGTACCCAAGGGGCCCCCCTTTTCTGAACCATGTGGCCAGCGGTTGCCCGGTATCAGGCGTTGGGACTAACCGATTACGCCATATAACGCAAGCTTCTGCAGGCCAGGGCTATCCGATTACAGCCAGAAATTAACTAAGGCCAGTCGATTACGCCACAAGGGCTGCCGGTTTCGTCTTGGAGAATCGAAAAACTGGGCAGGGAGGTGAGGGTTTAAATGGTCACTGCCAGCCTGCCCTTGCCGCTACGTGTCGGTTAGGATTCCCAAAGGATCTCTGCTTGTCTGGTGGTCCGGGCAGGTGCTTGCAGCCATGTGAATTGTCAGTTCTAGCGCCCGGTAATAGGCACGTTTATTGTCTCTGTCTCTCTCTGTCTCTCTCTCTCTCTCTCTCTCTATCTCTCTGTCTATAGGAATGACCTGTCCATACATTGTCTTTTCATGTCGGTCTCCCCTTTGACCCGTTGATTGGATTTAATTGTCAGGCCAGTCCCGCCATGGGTCCAATTTTGCCCCCTGCCCCATCCCCCCTTGAATAGCGCATCCTCCCTTGCGCAACAAACAATTCATGGCCGGTTGAGGAGAGCCAAAAAAAATCCCGCAAGCAAGCTAGCAGGGATCTTTGGGGAATCGGGACCATAATTTTCTCTGCTTGCGGGGCCCATGTACTAAAAAATTAGTAAGAGTTTACAGGGTGGGCCAAAAAAAAAAAGTAAAGTTTGGGTCAAATTATCTCGCGAACGGAAACGAATCAGACCATCGTTACCTTGCCAGAATGCTTAAATATGCTGGGCATGAAGAAATAACACAAGTTGTTTTTTAAGATTTTTGACGACCAGTGGGTCGTTAAAAATTTTTGAACATTTTTGAAAAAGTAGAAAACTTTGAAGCGATAAAGTATGGAACTTTTGATGAGTTAGCGGGACTTCAAGGGTATCAAAATGAAGCTCTTGGAATGCGCTATCAAACCAGTGGTAAAGAATTTTGATCGGTTTAACTAACCGTCAATAGGAGCCCTCGGAAAAAATAGACTTTTTTGAAGAAAAATTCTAGATAAAATTTCCTTACCGTCCGATCTCGCTGATATTTTGTATTTACCAATAAATAGATAAATACTAAATTTTGGCATAACAAATTTTAAGTTCCCGATTAAAAATTTTTTTTGGCATTTAGCCAACTCGGCAGAAACCGCAAGTTTTACGTTTATATAGTTAAAAATGTAACATGATTATTTTTGGCAAATAGCATTACATCTAACAAATAGAAAAAGTTACCGTGGCAATGTGCTTTCTATGGTCAACTCGTAACCGCCCTTTCTTGAAAAGTCCGTTTTTTCCGAAGGCTCCAATTGACGGTTAGTTAAACCGATCAAAATTCTTTACCACTGCTTTGATAGCGCATTCCAAGAGCTTCATTTTGATACCCTTGAAGTCCCTTAGCTCATCAAAAGTCCCATACTTTATCGCTTCAAAGTTTTCTACTTTTTCAAAAATGTTCAAAAATTTTTAACGACCCACTGGTCGTCAAAATCTTAAACAACTTGTGTTATTTCTTCATGCCCAGCATATTTAAGCATTCTGACAAGGTAACGATGGTCTGATTCGTTTCCGTTCGCGAGATAATTTGACCCAAACTTTACTTTTTTTTTTTTGCCCACCCTGTACTTTACCCCCTCCACAGCCAAGGGGTCTCAAAGTTTTCGATATTTTCGCTAGTTTTGTCGGAATTTTTGCAACCACATTCGATAAAGCCTCGAAAAATATACTAAGAGTTGTAATTTGAGACTACAATAATGTCAAATATATATAATTTTGGAGTGTATCTCTGTGTGTGTGTGTGTGTGTGGATGTCAGGTTCGAGGCCCGATTTAAGGGCCTTCCCGTGGCCAAAATGCCCTAATTCTCCGTCACCTGGGGGAATCGACCCTCCTCTTTCCGATGGCGCTTTCAGAATCCCGATAAAATACAAGTTTACAAAGTTAAAGCAGGTTTTATTCATTTTTGGGGGTCCGGGGGCCTAATTTGCATAATGTGAAAAAATACAAATGTCTTCATTCTTGCCAGTTGCACTCGCGAGTTTGGTCGTCTCTTTGGATCTGCCTCTCGATGCCTTTCCTTCCTCTGCCCCGGGCAGTCCTCTTGAGGCATAAAACGGGTGTTTGGCGCGTGCTTCCAAGCATTGCATGGTGTAGTGGTTAGCGCTTCGCCCTTCTAATCTGACCATCGGAGGTTCGATCCTCGGGTATTTTAGTTGTTTTGCTTTTTGCTCGGAAAATGCGTTTCGGAATAGATTTCCGTGCAGGGACATTATTATGAAGTTAGTCACTCAAACCGCAGCCAATAGAATGAAGCTACCCGCTCAAGCTTGCGCCGCAGGACAAGGAATCAAGCTAACTGCTCAATCTAGCGCCGCAGAGTTTGGAACGACGCTAGCCGCTGAAGCTAGCGCCGCAGGTTAATGGTTCAGGCCGGCCCCTGAAACTAGCGCCGTAGGCTTCGGAAGGAAGTTAGCCGGGCAAGCTAGCGCCGCGGGCCCAAGGTCAGAGCTAGCCCTTCAAAATTGCGCCGCAGGTTAAGGAGGCTCAAGCTTGCGCCGCAGGCTTAAGTATGAAGCTAACCTCACAAGCTAGCGCCGCAGGCTTTAGAACAAAGCTAGCTGCACAAGCTAGCGCCACAGGCTTCAGAACGAAGCCAGCCGCTCAAGCTAGCGCCGCAGGCTTTAGAACGAAGCTAGCCGCTCAAGCTAGCGCCGCAGGCTTTAGAACGAAGCCAGCCGCTCAAGCTAGCGCCGCAGGCTTTAGAACGAAGCTAGCCGCTCAAGCTAGCGCCGCAGGCTTTAGAACGAAGCCAGCCGCTCAAGCTAGCGCCGCAGGCTTTAGAACGAAGCCAGCCGCTCAAGCTAGCGCCGCAGGCTTTAGAACGAAGCCAGCCGCTCAAACTAGCGCCGCAGGCTTTAGAACGAAGCCAGCCGCTCAAGCTAGCGCCGCAGGCTTTAGAACGAAGCCAGCCGCTCAAACTAGCGCCGCAGAAAAAGGAAGCTAATCCCTCAAGCTTGGGCCGCAGGATGAGGTAGCGACCTAGCCGATCAAACAAGCGCCGTAGGCCTAATAACGAGACTAGCAGTTTAAGCTTGCGCCGGATGCCAATACAAAGAGATGTGCATGGGAGATGCGTTTTTCTTTCTTCAGGGTAACTTTATGTGGAAGGGCGCTCGATTCATAGGGCCTAGACGGGGTCCAGCGGGGGAGAGTCGCGAAGCGGCTCCTCCCCCGCTGGTGTCAAATAAAAAAGTTTGAGCCAATACTTCCGGCTGGGAGAGGTAAATTAAGAGTATCCGAAAAATTTTGATAGCCGGCCCCGTTTCTCAAAGAATCTCTTCTAGCCCTCACCCAGTTCCTCATGGAACTTCTGCTAGGCTGCCCCTTCCTAAAGAACCTCCGCTAATCCGGAATTTTTATAAAAAAATAAAAAAACAACCGGAATTTTGCGCCAGCATCTACTAGCAGCGCTTCCGCAACTGTCGATATCCGGTGTTTCAAATCGATTTCCAGGCAGGCTAGCAAAGATCTTTGGGGAGACCTCGGGTCCCTCGAAAGGGCCGAGTACTACGCGTGTGTACTAATTGCGTTTCGCTTTCGGGGCGGAGGGTACGACAAGGGGGAGGGGACAAGAAGGGCTTATCCCCCTTCCTCTCTCTTTTTACGAGAAGCCCCCCGATTTAGTGGTTGACCCATAGAAATTGGCCATAGTAAAAAACGTACTCCGATAATGCGTGAAAAATGCCGGCTGTCAGGCTGGTTTTAAAGAGACTGGGAAGGTAGACGGGGGCTCGAGGTGGAGCAACCGATGACGGCATGGAATTCTGCGCCGCGGGGCTAGCAGCCATTCTCTAGGAAATGGCGGCAGGCTAGCAGGGATTCTTTGAGGAGACGGTTTTACCCCTTGAAAAAAGGGGCGCCAGTTCCGTGCCGGCCCCCAGGGCACAGGACACCCATAAATCTGGTGTGTGTTGGGTTGGTGGCACTCCCGGGGAGGTTCACTGAAAATACTTGAGTAGCCCAGGCGTGAGAGAGAGAGAGAGAGAGAGAGAGAGGGAGAGAGGGCCAGATGGCCATGGTGCCCTCCAATATGTGGCCCTTCCCCCCCCTGGTCTATAGAGTCCTTTGTCGGGAACCGTTCCCCCCTTATGTTGGCTGGCCTGCGGTTGGAGGGCAATATTCCCCTCCCTTCCCGATGAGGTGTCATTTATCGGGCCCCTAGCCATGGCAGAAAGTGAACGGAAAGCGCAAAAACTGCAGGATAGCGTGGCGTAATCGGTTGAATCGACTGACAACAACCCCCCAAACATAGCGGCCCAGAATTTGTGAATTGAAAATCAAGAAAGACCGCAACGCGTGCGATAGACGCGTCGCGCAATTGCGAAAGCATGCCCGCACCGCTAAACGCCTGTTGCCATTTTGCGCCCCAAGCAAAACGCATGAAGTGCGCCTTTTCCCGGCCACCATCTGGACCCACGGGCTGTTGTGCAAAGGAAATAAAGCAGCGGTACGGATTTAATTTTCGGCTTCGTGAAAGTCTGCCCGGGGTTGAAGGAGAAGCCAAATTGCCGCGCATGATCGATTACTAGAACCAGATCCGATAAGCCTAAAAGCCTAAGCCGAAGCCAAGCCTAAGCCTAAAGGTAAGCCCGTACCAGTTTCTAGGGTAGCTTCTCACAAACGGTCTCTACTAGTCTGCTGCTTCAGTCGCGTTTTTTGGCATTTCCCAAAAAATTCTCTGCTAGCCTGCCTTCAGGTTGGTGGAACCATTTTGCCCTTTCGGGACCCAGCAAGCGGGAAGCGCGACCCGGGAAGGGACTCGGCACCAATCTGCCCTCTCGGGTCCCAGCAGTCGAATGTCACCTGGGGTGTACACGAGAGAATATGCATGGATACACACACAAATACAAAGCACACCCGGGGCAGTGGCTTGACACGGGGGATCGAATTTCTCCCCCGTTCCTTCCAAGGGGGTGGACGGCAGATAAATATAGGATATCCACACCAGTCAGGGGTCACAGATTCTAGCGTCACTTGTAGCCTCCAGTAATAAATTAGGGGCAGGCTAGCAGAGATTCTTTGCGGGATTCGTAACCAGCTGATTCAAATTCTAGTTATTTCAGCGTCCTCCCGTGTCCGTGAGTGCGGATGCGCCTTCAGCCTGGCTGGTGACAGATCTTCTCCATACCGATGTCGTCATCCCATTTGAGATTCTCAGCCTTCAGCCCTCACCCGAACGACCGTATTTTGAGCTGAATAATCGCAGCCAGGTGAGGAAATTGGCCACACCATAGATTTGTTACCGGTTAAAATAACAAGGCAATTGCTCGAAATTACCCCGGGATTTCGATTAAAAAATAAATGGATCTTATATATTCGGACACGGAGATTCCGATTCTATAATTAAACTTTGCTAAATAGAAAGGACAAGAAAGTAATGAGGCTTCAAAGTCGGCAAATGGTCAAAAACGGCACCTTTACAAGCTTGTAAAAACTGGGTAGCGAATCTTAGGCAAAAATGCATCTTGTCTGTGCAAATTCGCTGAACAAGATCCACCGGTTTTTTGAATCGATATGTCGGGGGTAAGTTCGTGCACTTCCCATCCAAGGAAAAGTTAGCCGATTACGACACTTTCGTGCCGCGCCTTATTTCGCGTGGGCCAAGCGATTAATTGAAGCGAATCACGTATTTTAATAGCTTACGCTACGTATTTCTCTCCTAATTTAACAGTTGAATCCATAACAACACGTATCGCGAACATACGATCGATTTCAGATAGTGACGGCGAGGGGGGATCTCCAGCCTCGTCCGCAAGAGATTCCCATTGTACATTCTCGCGTCGAGGCCACCATTTAAAAGAGTCGTCATTGTTAATGTTATGGTTGTACAGAGGTATCGTTGCGTAGTACTATGGAGCGAGAGAGTGAGAACAAGTCTCTGCTAGCTTGCCTCTTTTCTTCAAAGGATCTATGCTAGCCTTCCATCCTTTCCAGGCCGTTCTCTTCTCCTCCCTTCACTACACCGCACACCTAAAAACGACCGCCAAACGAGACCAGGAAATCGATTTCGGCCTGCCGGTCCGGTTACCGGAATTTCCGGAACGGCGGGAGGTCAGTCGAATCTGTTTTCGGGCGCCGTCAATCCAAGCTACGCGACCGCCGCGCGTCAGAAATATGCTGATGTTGATTACGGGGAACTTTCAGAATCTCTAACAGAATTTCTAAAAAAAATCCCTAAATTTCATAATCGCTGAAAATAAGAATCCCTAAAAATGTAAATCTTTAAATTTTAGTGTTCAGATACCCACAGATTTTGGCGTAAATTGAAACTGTAACGCTTTTTTACCCAAAGTCGCCTGTGAAACTTTTCCAGGGGTTGTTTTTTGCGCTGGCTAAGCCTTTTTTCAGGACATTTCCCGTTAGTATTTTATTCTTCTTTCGAGCATGGCCTACACCTCAAAGATAAAATTTCGGGCAAGCGCATGGCGTGGCCTCTGCAAATGGCCCCAAATGGCGGGTTCTTGATAAATTTGCGCAGCACTATGCACCTGGTTACAATTGTCCACCGGCTCTATTTTTATTTCCTGGATTTTTATTATAAGACATTTTTAATTTTTGCGATTCGTGGTTAAGTTTTTCGGCGTGAGCGCAAAAACAATCTCTGAAAAAAATTTCGCACGCGACTTTGGGAAAAGGACCGTAACAGTTTCAATTTACGCCAAAATCCGTATCGGTTTCTGACCAAAGAAAATGAGCTATTTTCATTTTTAGAGATTCTTGTTTTTCGAGAGTCTCATAGGGCACCGTTGATATCGTCGAAATCCCGATTTTCCAGATCCGCTACGTGGCCGCGACGTCGATCACCGATTTCCCCTTGAAAATTGTCAGCAAGCGTGTGGAGAAGTTCGGCTGGGTGGCAAAGGTGATGATTGCGCTTCTTTCGTTTGTGATTCAATGGAGTAGTGGACCGGGGCTAACGAATTACGACTTGTAAATCGGATCGAAAATGTAAACTTGCAAATCCAAGGGCTCGCCTGCAAGCGTTGCGATCCCATCCCACTTTCGGCTATCTTTCTTCTGTCTCAAAATTCCATGGCGTCATCGAATTCGACCTCCTAACCTATTATGCCATGAATTTCAGCACCTAATCAATCACGCTAGCTAGTCATATTTTTTAAAGGGATTTAAGTCGTTTAAGTCGGATTTAGTCGTCGATATGAAAAGTCGCGAAGCGGCTTTTCAACCCCGGTTATTTTCTTAATAAGAATACGCAATAAATTCTGCGGCTTAAAATCGATTATGCCGCTTAATCATCTTTTTCTAACCAATTACCAGGGTTGAAAAACCGCTTCGCGGCTTTTCAACCCTGGACCCGTCTAGGACATCTGAAAATTTGACTTTACATAGGGCTTGCCGAATGCCGATCACCAAAAAATGAAAAGCGCACCCTTCCTCCCTTTTTATAGGCTACGGCCACTTCCGGTCAACGCTAATTGCCTCCTAACAAAGAGGTTTTTCGACATATTTACAAAAACTTAATTTTAATAGCGAAAACAGCCGATTTTCTTAAATTTTATATGTGTGCACCCATCTCGGGACCATTACGCACCTAATGACGTATCATACGTACCTTAAAGACCTTCCCCTGAGACTGTAGGTGCGGTACATACTTACGGAAGTTGCATGCAAATATACACACACAGACACTATTTTTTTATATATAGTAGGATCTTACGGACTCTTACGGAAACGGAACCAAAACCCTAAACGATGACGTTAGGTAATGCCCAAACGATAACAGGTCATTCATAATTCTTTAACATACTTTGACTGGAATACCTGGTTTACAGTCGCTTACGTCATGTAAATTGACCTAGATTTTTTGCAGGTCTACCTGACGCGTCACCTGAAAAAAGGAGACCCGACGCCCTTCGCATTCTATCTGAATGCATACGATAGAGAGGGAATATCATTGGCCACAACTCACATTGAAATATCCATCGAGAATGCCGACAACCAGGGGATAATGCCGACATTTGAAGAGAAGAAATGCCGACACAGGATGGAGGAACCACCATATGCACACACCAATATATTTCAAGTGATGGCAAGGTGGGTGGCGGGCAAGCTATCAAAGATTGTTTAAGGAAATGGAAAGGGGGCAGGCTAGCAGAGGTGATTGCGCATTTTTCAAGGTTCACAGAAGGCAATTTTTGGCCGTCTTGGGGAGCGCTGGCGCCGTCCTAAATTGTGGGTAATTTGCATGGGGTCGATCTGGGGTTGTCCCTTGAGGCCCTGAGGGTATGTTGTCATTAGTATAGACACGCAGAGAGCGAGAAAGAGGGAGAGAGATCGAGAGGAAGCGAGAGAGAGAGAGAGAGAGAGAAGAGAGAGAGAGTCCATTATTATTAGAAACCCTTATCCAGCACGCCATCCCCTCCTCACCAGCCATCAAATGGTCATTCCTAAATGGCCCGTGAGGAGCACAAAAGCCAGTAAAATTCCTCAACGATTTCTGATAGCCTGCCCGACCTTTAGAAATCGGCGGACAAGGAGACGTTTTTGAGTGTCGTCGGGACTTTGGCATGGGACCAAGTCTATCTTGTGCAGAATTTTACGCTGATTCCGAATATGGTAACCGTTTTTGCGGAATAGCCATTTCTCGAAAGTTATGAAGGATTTAATCCTCAAAACAGCCCAAAATCGGCTAGTTTCGATGGTCATAAAAGGCTTCGGGATAGGTTTTAGACAAAACCAGATAGTGCATCTTGTTCAGAAAACAATTCTCTATAAAATGTACCATCTTCTCCAAAATCATTGAAAAGTTGGAAAAATTTGATAAATTGGGAGGCCCATAATTTTACAAAAATTTTCAAAATTCCAAAATTTTTGAGTTAATTAGTTTATTTAATAGAGAATTGTTTTCTGAACAAGATGCACTATCTGGTTTTGTCTAAAACCTATCCCGAAGCCTTTTATGACCATCGAAACTAGCCGATTTTGGGCTGTTTTGAGGATTAAATCCTTCATAACTTTCGAGAAATGGCTATTCCGCAAAAACGGTTACCATATTCGGAATCAGCGTAAAATTCTGCACAAGATAGACTTGGTCCCATGCCAAAGTCCCGACGACACTCAAAAACGTCTCCTTGTGAGTTTCGCAGGGCCATTGTTCGCTGGGAAAAGCGAGAAATTCTCAAATTTTGGAGAATTCGTTGAGAAAAATTTCGTTGGAGCCAAGAAATCTAGGGTTTATACATTCCCCCAATGATCTCCACTAGCTGGCCTGGCGGAGAAAAAAGACCTCTAGAATCCCTGCCAGCTGGCCTCGTTTTTAAAAATGCCAAAGGCAGGCTAGCAGCGATTCCTTGAGAATTTATAGGGGTCTTAAAGTAGTTGAAAAGGCCAGAATCTTTGACGTTGTTCTGCAGCAGTGACGCCGGCGGGGCGATCATCTTCCGGGTTGAGCCGGAGGGTTCACCATTTGATGTGGGACCCTTGAATAGAGATGTCTACACAAAAAACACCCTCGTCAAGGGCAAGGACTACAGCTTCGACGTCGTCGCCAGCGACCGGAATGGAGGGGTCCGTTTAAAAAGCTAGCCGCAATTCTTTTAAAAGGGGCAGGCTAGCAGGGATTTTTTAGGAAAGTTGATTTGCTGGTTTACAGGAGTCGCGCCTTCCCTGTACCGTCGAAATCGGAGCGCCAACGCGAAGCCGTCGCACCCTCGAAAAAGAAATTGTCATTCGAGTGCCGGAGGATCGACCGCTTGGATATTTGGATACGGTAGGTGTAGTGTATTTTAAAAAATACCTCCCGTACTTCCAGAAAATCCACGTGAAATCCACTGAAAAGCTACTCTCCGCTCCGCTGGTTCGCGACGTCTTTACCGTATGGCAAAACGGGAAGATCGAGTTGACAAAGGCGCTCAACTACGAGAGACAACGCGAACACTCCACTATTGTCGTCTTGCAGGGTGGGTTTGATTGCTTACGGGAGATTTTTGGGTTACGGTATCGAGGTAGAACTATAGGGAAAAGCCATATGCTCATTTTTCGCTCGGCGTGCTGGGGCTTAACGTCTATTTGGAACGCAGAATAGAACAGAGATAGTACCTCTCTTTCTCTCGCTCTCTCTCGCTCTCTCTCGCTCTCTCTCTCTCGGTCTCTCTCTCTCTATTCCCCGATTTGCATAAGTACCCCATTCTTCTCGCCGATCCGACCACCTCGAGTAGCTAGGAACCCCCCTAAAAATAACGATTCTTGAGGGGCTTAAAGGGACCGGCGAGCCAGAGCGCAAGGTAGTAGATATCTCCTGGGAATTCCGGAATTTACCAAGAGCGACTAACAGTCCGTAAATCTATGTTTGTGGTAGCCATAACCTGTTACGACATAAAACGCAAGTGTAGATCGGAGGTTTCCCATTGCCTTTCCAGAGCGTAACTGGTTAGCCTTGCCACCTTTAAACTCAATCGACCGTGATTTTATGATGGGATTTGACGATTGGCGGTCGCCAGTATGGACGCAATCCATCATATATAGACGTGGCATGCAGGGGTGGAATAATATTGGATGGGAGAGAGAGAGGGAGGGAGAGAGGGAGGGAGAGAGAGAGAGAGAGAGAGAGAGCGAGAGAGAGAGAGAGAGAGAGGCAAGGGCGGGGGAGTGACACATACTAGACATTTTAATCGGGCTGCCAGAGGATGGACTATGGCACAATGAGGGAATGGCGACTGCCACCGGGGAACTAACGCAAATATATAGCCGAAGGCGTCGACCGGAGATAGATTCCATCAAATTTCTGCTAGCCAGACCCCATTTCCTCAAAACAATCTCTGCTAGTCAGGCCAATATTTCTACAATTCCCGTTATTAACGGGCATCGCGGAGGCCATTTGCGGAATTTTCATATGTTTATTTTAAAGCCTCATGGTTTAGAAATTCGACGCCTGCCAGTTGCTCATTGAAGTTGCCGACCTCTAGGCTAGCAGAGAGCCTCTGGCCTGACTAATCTATCCGATTCCCATGCCGTAACCTTTTGCCCCGAACTTCCTGCGGCCTTTAATGCGAGGTTATCTACTGGGTGGAATCTTGAACGGAACCCAGTGCAGCTCCCCGAGGGGATTCCGAATCAAGTAGCGGGTCTGGGCTAGGGAGAGAGAGAGAGACAGAGAGAGAGAGAGAGAGAGAGAGAGTGCGAGAGCGAGAGAAGGCGAGGGAGAGAGGGAGAAAAAGAGAGAGAGTACGTAAAGAGGAGTGCAACGGACTCCCTGGCTAAACTCACTTACCAACCTCTCCCTTTCTAGAAACCCCACACACCCGCATGGAAATTTTGAGGGACTAGCGGAATTTGAAAAAATCCTCAAAAAGCTCTACTAGCCTGTCCTATCACTTCTCTAGGGAAAGGGCAGGCTAGCAGAGATTGTTTGAGGAAATGGAAAGGGCAGACTAGCAGAAATTCCTTAAGAAGATTGTGGCATGTTAGCCGAGTTTTTTTGCGCACATCAGATTTTGGCTCTTCCCCCCCTTAAGCGCGATTTCGTGTGGAATTGCATAGGGTAACCGATTCGTAGATCAAAGCAGGCTAACAGGGATTCTTTGCCTCCGTTTTCCGTGGACAGTAGTGCCTCGTAGGGGGTGCATCTTTTTCTCGGGGGCCCTTCTGTCTACTACGAGTGGCCCACACACACACACACACCAATTCTATTGAATCGACGCGTAATTGAGGAGGAAAGAGAGAGAGAGAGAGAGCGAGAGAGAGAGAGGGAGAGAGATAGCCAGTGGTCACTCACTCCTCCACCCCACCTCGCTAACTTCCAACCGAATACCCGTGACGGGCAGAAGAAAATCGACCAAAAAACCACAGGGGGGCCGACCTTTTAGGTATCAGGGACCGAAGGAAACCGATTTCCCGTTCCAGACCCATCTCTGGCCAAGAGTGCCCCTGATGATGGGTGGTGACATTTGGAAAGCCCCCGTAGTCTAAAGGCACAAAATTGGGGTGCGAGGTTTTCGTGGCGGGGGTCTATTAGCTTATATCTCCAGCAGAGACTGTTTGGGGAAATGGTGGTTGCCTAGCAGAGATTCTTTGCCAATCTTGCACAACCCGATTCGGATGGCTGCTCTGGCTAGGGCGTTAATCGTAAATCTGTTAGTCCGTTGCCCTCCCCCATTGTTCATTATATCCTTAGGGATATCTCTCTGTCTCTCTCTCTCTCTCTCTCTCTCTACCTCTGTCTCTCTCATCCCTCCCATCCATCATTGGCCCCTTTCATCCGCGGCTATGGCCCCCGGATTGTATGCAAATTAGAATATGGACCCCCTGGTGGGTGGCCAAAGCCGGGGAATGGCAATAAATGCCTCCTAAATGGTCTCTGCTACATTGCCGCAGCCGAGGGGTTAGTCCAGAAGAATCTCTGCCAGCCTGCCCCCCACCACTTTCGCACTCCGCAAATTTGCATCCCAAGAATGGTGGCACGATGCTGGTGGATGGGTGTGTTGACAAGTGGCCTAAATAAGGGGGGATGATCGGGGGGTTTTTGAGAGCGAGAGAGAGAGAGACAGAGAGAGACAGAGAGAGAGAGAGAGAGAGTAAGGGAGAGAGAGAGTGATGCCCCTTCTAATAGGATTATCCTACCAGATGGCCCCCCTCTTAATGCCATCTATCCCCTCCATTCACACCCCCATGCCCAAAATAAGGAAAGGGGTCGTGGTATTAATATTTGAAGGGGGATTTGGGACAAAATATCACCAAAAATTCCGCAAAGGATCTCTGCTAGTCTGCTCCGAATCTGGCCTTCTAGTCACCTAGTCCTGGGCAGGGATGCAGAGGAGACAGAGACCCAAATTGCAGAGATTCTTTGGGCAACGCGGTAGGCCAGTCGTGCCAATTCACGAAACTTGCGGGCTAGGAGAAGCGAATGCTAACAAGGCAAGTGTTTTTGAGTCAGGTGGCGAATCTCTTTGTAATATACATCAATCGATAGAGAATTGAAAATAAATGTGAGCTTTAAATATTATTTTTTGCGGAACTCCTCTCTTTAAAAAGTGATTAGATTTTTATAAGGCCCGAGGACCTATTATCTCAAAATCGAGCTTTTTTGTTTGTGCTTTCAAATTTTATTTGAATAGCTTATCTGGTAGAGATTTTTTCTGAGGCGAATGGTATATTGCATTATTGCCGGGTCTGCTTTTTAGACAGGTTTCATGAGCCTGGAATAGCATGAAAGCGACCCCGTTTACATAGAGAACAGGAGGCCATACCAAGTATTGTCAATTTTTTCGAAATTTTCGTATTTCCAAAATTTTGCAGTTGCAGTTAGATAGCTTATTCGATAGAGAAAAAATTCGCAACACAATGGCAAGGTTTGTTTCTGCGAGCTCGATTCGGAAGGTCTAAAAATATTTGGCTTAAAAGATCGCAATTTTGGCAACAATGGCACTTCAAAACCCAATTAACTTTTTAAATAGAGGAGTTCCGCAAAAACTAATACTGTAGCCTCGCCCTTCTTTTAATTATCTGTTGATTGATGCATCTTACAGCGATTTGCCATCTGGGTCAAAAACACTTGCCTTGTAAGATCGGGGTAGGGTAGCAACGAGCTTTTGGGAAACTTGAGGGCAACTCCTTACCTCCATGGCTCCTCTCTCTCTCTCTCTCTCTCTCTCTCTCTCTCTCGCTCTCTTTCTCTCTCTCTTTTAAAACCAAAGAAATCGTAACGCGCATGTGTGTGGGCGATGACTTTGCGTGTGCGCCTCAGCCCCCCATTTGACTCCATTCCATTCCTATCTCCACCCCAAGAGAGAAGAGGGTAATGAGTCCCATAATTGGCCCACATTCCACCCACTGCCTTTCCTCCATTACACCCATTTTCGGGGCCCAACAGGCTTTGCTTGTCCTAGCTGAATCGGGGGAGCTGCTGAAAAGTCGGCTTCTCAAATGGTCTCTGCTATCGGGAGTGGGTCTCCGCAAAGCTTCGCTGCTAGCTTGCCCCGGCCTGCGAGCCAGAACCGGGCTACCAGCAAAGATTTGTTAGGAGGTTGGGCAGGCTAGCAGAGATTGTTAGAGAATTCCATTGCAACTGCTATTGCCTCCAAAAGACGACAAGTTAGCAGAGAGCCTGGCGAATCACTGGCTTAATAGCAGTGATTTTTAACAAACGGCAGGCGAGCAGAGATCCTTAAGGGCCACATCTTCACTTCCCTATGCTTTGGCTTGTGGTAATGATTGCGTAATGCTCCTCAAGACGGCACCGGGGGAGACCGGGTGGAAGCAATTAGGGACTGCAGAACGAGAGGGATATGCCTTTTGACTGGAGCGAGAGAGAGAGAGAGAGAGAGAGAGAGAAGGCATGAGAAGCCCTCCTCCTCATCGGATTAGAGCTCATCTCCTCTGGTTCTGAGGACCTGTGAAGGGGTGGAGGACACCATGGGAATTGGTATCGCCTTCAGGGTATTCAAGGTTTAAAGGGACTGAGCACCAAAGAAAGCCACTTTTCGCCAATATCTGCTAGGCTGCTTTTTCTAATGGCCCCTGTCAGATCGCCCATCTTCTCCCCCTACTTTCCGACCCCATATAACCGGATTTTCCGCTCAATTCCCATGTCCCAATCTGCCCATCCGGCGTCGAGATATCGAGCCCATAATTAACTGCGGTAATCGACTACGAGTATCCACTAGATGACAGCCATCTGACGGCAAATGTAGGCTTGGGGCAGGGAGATCTCAATTTGTGCCCCCATCGCAGGGGATAACCACTGAAAGCGAGTATTGTTGCGTACACCTGGCGCTTGGGGGTGGGGGTTGGGGGGAGGAGAGCAGCGTTTCAATTTATGGGATGCTAACAGAGATTATTGGCGGAAATGGGGGTGCCTAGCCGTGATTCTTTGAAAATATACGTGTCTGCCCAGAAGTGGTGAGCTGGCAGACACCACTCGGGAGCCGATTTAGCTGCGTATCAGCCCACGCCGGCCGTGTTCTTGAGATCCATCCTGTTGCTGTGATCTAGGCAAGCTAGCTCACTTTGCCGCTATCCAAGCAGACCGCAGCAGTTTCCGGAAGATGCCAGTGGTCATCGCATCTCTTGGGCTAACGATGTGAAGTGGATGGGGATGGAGGAATTATAAATTGGATTGTGAAGGGGTGGAGGGGATGGGTCATTTCATAGATTGGGGGCCCTTTAAAGGGAATGGAAAGGGGAGGGAGAGAGGGGGGTGACAGCGGCTGTCAACAACAATCCACACCACCTAAATAGCATAGACATTGCCGAATAATTGGAGAACGGTGTGGCATTTCCCAAATTCTAGCCGGCCCCTTCCATTTCCTCAAACAATCTCTGCTAGCCTGCCCTTTTCCTAAACAAAATTCCAGGAGGATCTCCGTTGTTTGACTAGTTCGTTGTTTAACTAGTTTCGGGAGAGGATAAAAGCATAGGTCCTAAGCGAAAGGGAGAGAGAGAGATACAGAGAGAATCAGCACAGTTCAACCCAAATTTCTAGGTCACCGTACCGAGCGTGAAGTACTTGTCCGTCTCGTCGTCGAGGATGTTGATGAGCAACCCTCCTTCATCAATGGCCCAAAGCCATATCTGGCTGTTGTCCCACTCGAACGGCCGGTCGGATTCCATATCTATAAGGTGAGAAAACTCAGTTGGGGGGCAGGCTGGCGTGGCTCTTTAAGCACAATTGATCGGCTAGCGTAACCCCTGTTTCAGTTCGACGCCCGGGACGAGTTCGGGGACGGCGATTCCGACGTCGAGTACAAGCTGATCAACACCGAACGTAAGGGAATTGGCTGCTTGTCTGTCTGTCTGTCTGTCTCTCTTTGTCTCTCTCTCCCCTCTCTTGCTCTTTCTATATCTTTCTAGCTGTCTCTCTCGCTGTCTCTCTCTGTATCTCTCTCCCTGTCTCTCTCAATCTCTCTCTCTCTCTCTGTCGCTCTGTCTCTCCTTCACGCCCAATTTTCAGCCCCCGACGCCTTTACGGTGGACGAAAAAACCGGCGTGGTTCGTACGGGCCAGAAGAAGTACGACGAGGGCAAGACGTACAGGGCCTATCTACAGGCCGTCGACAGAACTCCAAGGAGGGCAAATGAGACACAGGTACCGTAGCCGCATCCAATAGATGGGGCATTTTTTAGGTGTCCGAGGTGGCCGTGCTGGAAGTACTTGCCGGCGACCGCCCGCCACAATTTGCCAAGCCACAGTATGCCGTGTCGTTGGCAGAGGATGCGCAGATCGACTATAGGTAGCCATATTAAACTCGGATAAACTAGCAGAGAGCATTGGCGGAATCGGCCCGAGCTGGGTGGATAGCAGGGATTTTTTAGGAAACAGGGGGTCCGGGGGCCGGCTAGCACAAAACATTTGGGGAATTCCCGGCTTACGACGGACTAGGCGATGTAGCAACGATCACCGAGGATGAAAGGGAAGCTTCGCAAAGGGAAAGGGCAGCTAGCAGAGACTGTTTAGGAACTAGGGACAAGCTAGCAGAGAAAATGGAGGATTCTACGTTGCTTTTCAGCGTTGTCGACGTGCGCGCCCAGGGCTTCCGGCCGATCGATGATAGAAGAGGGAAAGGACCGATTACGTATCGATTGTATGCACTGAAGAATGGGGATGAGAGGTGGGAGAGAGAGAAATGGGGAGAGAGCGAGAGCGAGAGAGAGGGAGAGCGGTAGCGAGAAAGAGTGAGAAATGGACGGGGAGCGAGAGGTAGAGAGATAGTGAGAGAGACAGACGGAGAGAGGGAGCGAGAGAGAGAGAGCGAGGGAGAGAGGGAGTTGATCTATTTTCAGAGAAACAAGCCGTTGGTTTGGTATCGATTCACAGACGGGTATTGTGCACCTCCGGAAATTGCTCGACCACGACGACCCGGCACAGCCAAGGGAACATCGGTTGATTGGTGCGTTGACGGGATGGCGAAGGCTGGAGTTCCTAAATGAACCTCTGCTAGCCTGCCTCCTTTGATTTCCGCAAAGAATCTCTGCTACGTTCCTTTCTTTCAGTAGCCGCCCAAGAAGACGGAAAAGAATCCACCGTACCCCTCGATATCCGAATCACCGACGTCAACGACAATTCCCCCGTTTTTAGGTGCCTTCCGGAAACGTTTTGGATTAATTTCCGTGTATTTAGTCGTCCCCTGTACACAGCCCAGGTCAAGGAAGACATCCCAGCCGGAACTGTCATTTTGAAAGGTATAGGTTTGAAAGGTTTTCGCTAGAAAATCCGAATCACCCAGTTCGCGCTGAGGACAAGGATTCGGAGGCAAACGCCAAGATTCGATTCCACATTGATGATGGGAATTTCATAATAAATGATGAGGGGGAGATATCGCCAAAGGTGAGGAATGCATATTTAAAGCACGTAATCGGATAGAACCTGTATCCTCAGAATCAAGCGTCGGGGGGCGAGCATCCGCTTTGAGGTTTTTGGTTGCCAAGAGAAAGCTATAGAAAACGATACAAAACGGTGGTAGGGCGAACCAGAGAGAGAGAGAGTGAGAGAGAGAGAGAGAGCGAGAGAGAAAGAGAGAGAGAGCGAGAGAGAGAGAGAGAAAGCGAGAGCGAGAGAGCTGGAGAAAGAAAGAGGCAAGGGAGAGTGAGTGCCCATAACGTTGCGTAACCGTTTAATACCACACTTTCCAGGTGCGTCTAGACGCCGATCAGCACAAAGAGCGCTTCTTCATCTACCGTTTCGAGGTGACGGCTGAGGATTCTGGCAGTGCGCCCAGAAAATCGGCCGCTACGGTAATTTTACCTGGTTTCACGCGTACTTCTGGCCTTTTCGTTGCGTAATCGGTTAGCCGAAAATTATTGCGCACATAATCGTGCCAAAATTCGATGCCTCTATTTTCATGGCGCCATCTATTGATCCAGGTGCACATCCGTACGGAGAATACAAATGACGAGGCGCCAATCTTCCTGCCGACCTCTCAATATACGGCATGGGTAGCTGAAGATGCCGAAGGAGGGACACCCGTCGTGCAAATACAGGTACGAGGGGGCAACTAGCAGAGATTGTTTGAGGAAATGGAAACGGGCAGGCTAGCAGAGATCATTTAGAGCTCGAGGTGAGCAAACTAACAACATTCTTAAAGAGGCACTTTCCGGTTCCGCCGGTTTTCCATGAAGCGTGGAATAATTTGCATCTCTTTCCGGTTAGAGAGCACGCCCTGGTGAGAGGCGCAGGCGTTTCGCGTGTAAATTTTTCGGCGATTCGTGGAAAAACGAAGCTGCTGACATTGCCCTTTTATACGGAAAACCCCCCGATCTTGAGGCCCGTGACCCAGACCGGGACCAGGTGGAGTACGCGCTTGTACGTGATGACGGTGATGAGGTGCTAGAGACGAGACTTTTCCATATTGATCGGGATACCGGTGGGTTTAATCGATTACGCAACACATCTCCCTCTTGAGGTCTCATCAAGCTTCGTTCGGGCGTGCGAGCAGAAGATCTCCTCCTCGAGCCATCCCCTCACAATCTGACGATCCGTGCAAAGGATGATGGCAGTTGTTGTGATGGGGCGAGTCCGACTCATATCGCCATGGCCACTGTACTTATTGGTATGTAGTTTAATCTATGGCAGGCTAGCGGAGACCGTTTTGGAATGTCCCTCCTCCCATTAATGAGTGTTTATAGGAATCGAAGACGTCAACAACAATAAACCGGAATTCCGGGACTGCGAGCGATACAGTAAGGTGGCCAAGATCAAGGAGGGCGTCTATAAGAAGCATCCGCCAACCGTCATCAAGGTACTGTAGTTGGCTGGCCGACAAACTCGCCTTGTTCAGGTCGAGGCTGTCGACGAGGATTCTTCGGCTAATGGCCAAATCTTCTACTCGCTCTACTACGCTCAATCTGAATCGAGGTGAGAGAGAGAGAGAGAAAGACAAAGCGAGGGAGACAGAGAGAGAGAGAGAGAGAGAGAGAGAGAGAGAGAGCGTGGGTGAGAGAGATATAGCACCATTTTCCGGTCCTGGATTTCATAGCGTAATCGTGAATAGCTACAGCCACAACCGATTACGCCGATAATTTTCATGGCCAATAAACCTTTAATCCAATTTCAGAAAGCCGTTCATCATCGACAAACAGACCGGCGAGTTGAAGCCGTCACCCCATGTCATTTTCGACCGAGAGACAAGGCCTAGGGAGGAGGTTACTGTAAAGGCACGCATTTTGACGGTTTTCGACTTGAGGCAGGCTAGCAGAGATCATTAGGGAAATTTTAAGCGCCTATTGGAGGCCAGAATTGACGCGAGAATGCGTGGATGGCTAGCAGCAGCGCTTTGTGCAGGGCAGGCATGTAGAGACTATTCGGGAAAGCGCGGGTTCGGGACAGGATAGCAGTGATTGTTTAGAAAGGGGGATGGCTAGAAAAGAATATAATTAAGTGTTTTTTGCAGGCAACCGACCGCGGCGAGCGTCCCCTGATTGGTTTCTGTCAATTCACGGTGGATGTCGTTGACGTGAATGATAATTCTCCACAATTCGATCGGGCATCTTATGAGACTTCTGTTAGCAGGAGTGAGGCTATCGGGTAGGTGTTTTAAACGATTGTACGACGAAACCAGGAATAATCGATTATGTCATGAAAATGATGCATTACGCGATAAAAATCGTTTATAGCTATTCGATTACGCTATGAAAATCGTGGTAATCCATCGGGGGAAAAAGAAGTCGATCAGTCCATGAAAATCGGCAAGCCTAATTGATTACGCTATGAAAATCGAACAATCTATTCTGTTACCCTAGGGAAAGTCACGAAAATGAATCGATTACGCTATACAAATCGATAGATTTAATCGATTACGCCTGGAAAATCAGGAACACAAATCGATTACACGATGAAAACCGCTACAAATTTTCGATTACGCAACGAAAAGGCCGAAAATGAACCGCTTACGGCAAGAAAATGGCGAAATGGAATGGATTACGCGATGAAAATGACCAAAAAACTGCTGAAAAACCAATTTTTTCAGAACGTCCGTGGTTACGGTATTCGCGTATGATCAAGACGCTCCTCACAACGCCCGCATCACCTACCATCTCGCCGCCGATCCGACGGCCGGACCTGAGTTTTTGTGCGTTATTTTGGCTCGTAGTATGTTGGCGGTTTTTCGGGACAAAATCGCTATGCTGGTAGTTTTAGGCCTACATGCTACTTTTCACGCTTCCTAGGCCTTTGATAAAAGGATTTTCTCAACGTGTTCTAGCGCAAATTCCAGAAAAGACATCAGCTACTTCGAGCTGTTGAACGTCAACTCGGGCGAGGTGACCCTCGTCCGCCCCATCCCGCGTGATCATCACAAGGATCGCTTCCAGTTCAATGTGATCGCCACCGACAACGGCGTGCCCGAACCACAGAATTCCACCGTACAGGTCCGTAGTCTCACGGATTTTCTTGCGGATTTCGTTTTTTCTAGACCCATTTTTCGCGCCGATTCCTGTAAAAAAACCAATTACAGATTTTCAAGTTCCGCGGTTTTTTTGGGCAAGCAGAAGCGTACAACCTTCTCGCGAAATGCACTCTTACTAATTTCTAGACCAATTTTTTTGGCGCTGATTCTAAAGCTGCGGGCCATTTCCCGTCCTGCATCGTTGTTTTCCAGATACCATCAATTTTTCAGCGAAAGAAGCGGAATTTTTGATTTTCCGACAGATTTTTGGGCCTATAATGCTGATATGTCGAGCGATACGGATGTCACGCAAAGACCCCATTACATTTTTGGGAACATCAGCGAAAAAAAACTGGTCCAGAAAAGCGAAAAACTAAAAATTTTAGCTAGTAAGAGCGGGGTCTTGCGGAAATTCCGCGCTTTTCAGGTGACGATCAAAATCCACGAAAAAGCGCAGCACGCGCCGCGCTGGCAGTCGAGTCCGGATTGTCGCGATGTGGTGACGGTGGCCGAGAATAGCGTGGTACGGTATTTTAAAATTTTAAGTTATGGTCGGTTTCCAGCTTAACAAAGTGTTGCTACGCTGTCACGCCGTTGCCGGCGACGGATCGGGCAGTTCGATTGTGTACAAGTAGGTGTCACTGTCCCTTTAAAAGCACTCCAAACTACAGGCTGACCGCCACCGATCCGTCACGCGGCGTCAAAGCCGACGCGAAGTTTAGGCAGTTCAGCCGGATTGAGGATGGGCGGGAGTGGGTAGAGGTGAGCTTTTTCTTGATCTAGCCCCGGCAATTTGCCACGCTGCAAAGTACAGGCTCCAAACTACATAAATGATCACAACAATCAGAAAACTAAGCCGTGTGTAACATTTTGCGCTTTTTTGCTGTTTTCCATGGGGTTTTGGTATTTTAGGGCGCAATAGGCGATTTTGACTTTCCTAACTCCTTAATTACAGCCTAGATCACCCGATTTCCAAAAAGCAACAAAATCCCCGAGGCCGGGCGTCGAACCCGGACCCCGCGCGCGGGGCCCGGAACTTTACCAATTGCCCACGAGATTAATGGGCTTGCTTCCTCTTGCCTTTCTCAAAACCACTTTTTCCAGGTGGCCATCATGGAGACGCTGGACTACGAGCAGGCCCATAATTACACCCTCACCCTCACCGCTACGGTACGTCATTTTTGCGGTTTACGACCGCGTCTGAATACTTGACAGCCCTGAATGTACTGACTTTTTAATCGATAGTCAACCTATCATTTTGCCAAAGAGCAAAGCTTCCGCCGCGGCCGGGGGTCGAACCCGGGCCTTGCAGGCGGTAGGCGAGAGCCTTACCATGTCATCACAAAGGTTGCTTGGTTGTTTTTTTAATTTAGGTGTAAACTATAGATTTTTGTATTTCATAGGACGTCAACTCGCAAGTGTCGACGTCCCGTTCGCTGGCCGTACTCGTCGAAGACGCGAACGACGGTGTGCCCCAGTTCACCGTCGATCTGTTCACGGGAACTGTCGACGAGGAGCTGACACCGGCCGAGTACTTGGACAAGTACGTTTTATACGTCAAGTGAGCAACGGGGGGTTATCCGATTCCGAGAATTGAGATGGTTTGCCGGGTTTAATGGCGTAATTCATTGATGTATACGCTATTTAAAAGTAATGGTTTTGTAGGTATGAGCATCGGCCGATCACGGTGCTGAAGGCGCACGATTCGGATTCGGATGGGCCGCAGAATGAGGCGAGTTTTGGTTATAGCGCGTAATAGTTTAATGTCCATTTCGTGGGCCTAATCGATATGACAGGAAATTGGGCCAGGTTTTCGGGTATAATCGATGAAGTCATCTAACAGCAATCGGTTTTTAGGGCTTAGTCAATAATGCTATGGCATAACAGCATATTTAGCGGACGTAATCGGTTGCGATATGTCATAGCTAAAGATTTTCGGGCGTAATCGGTTGCGGCGTGGCCTTGTTGTCGATTTAACCGGTATAAACGCTTACGGTATTTAATGGCGACCATTTTTCCCGGTATAAACGATTATCGCACAAATCAACCATTATTTGGCGGGGTAATCGTTTTATGCCACGTTTTATAGGTTCACTACCGCATCCTGGACGTGCCGGATGCGTCGGCGTCTCGGCTGTTCCGTATCGACGAGGTCACCGGCGAGGTCTTCCCCAACGCAAAATTCGATCGCGAGCAAAAGGTTTGTGTGCATTTTGGCGAATCTATTGGCGTGGCCCGTTCGCTGATGCCCATGTAATCGCGTAACCGATTAATGGTGTATCATTTTACTGGCGTACTTCCATAACTTCCGGTAATCGACTGACTGCTAATAATTTGGTGGCGTAATCGATTGTCTGTCTGAATTTTGATAGCGTAATCGGCTAACCTCAAGATATTGTGCTTTCAGGACATGTACATTTTGACGGTCGAGGCGCGGGACAACGCTCCATCCAGTCTGCCCGGGGTTTCCGGTCCGAATAAGGGTAGGCCAGCAGAGATTTTCGCGGAAATCGGTAAAAATAGATTTTATTAATTTTTTTAGACAACGTGAAAGTGCAAATCGTTATTGGCGACGTCAACGACAACGCGCCGACGTTTGACGAGCCGAAATACACCGGCAGGTACGTCGGTATTCGCATTTTCACCACGTAACCGATTATTGGCATCGATTTTCATGGCGTAAACGTTTTTTCCTCTTTCTTTGCCACTCGCCTAATTTCAGGGTGCTCGAAAACGCGGAGCCCGGCCACGAGATCATCACCGTCAAGGCGCACGACCTCGACAAGCGTGAGTGAATTTCAGCTCGTAATCGACTGCCCATGGGGGCATTTTCATGGTGCTCGCTCCGCTCCCCGACTTAGATCACCTAATCGATTATTTAGCGGCCGTTTTTATGGCTAGCCGATTAGCTTTCGAGCCATTTTCATGGCACAATCGAGTATTTAGCGATGAGTTTCTTGGAATAATCTATTAGTTAGCTGCTATTTTCATGGCACAATCGATTAATTAGCCGGTTTTCATCGCATAATAGAATTTTCATGACGTAAACGGTTAGCTAGACCCGATTTCGACTACGTAATCGATTAGTTAGATACGTTTTCCCTGTCGTGATTGGCTATCCGTCAAGGATTTTGATGGTGTAATCCACTTTTCAGACTCAAACCTGCGCTATGATCTGACGGGTGCGTTTGGAGGGCGTATCCTCTTCGGCGTGCGCACAGACAGTGGGGCCATTTTTGTCAAGGAGCCGCTCGACTACGAGACTGTACGTTAATAGGGGCATCACGGAAAAAACCGCGACTTTTGCAGGAAAGCGTGTACCAGCTGCGTCTGGTCGTGTCCGACGGAAAGCACAACACATCGACGAGTGTCCAGATTGTCGTTGATGATGTCAATGACAATGCGCCTGTATTTGATGAACCGGCGTATAATACTACCGTACTCGAACAGGATGCCGATGTGCCAAAGATACTGTTCCGTGTTAGGGCTACTGACGCTGATAAGGTACGCACGTCGGAAATTCTAGGTTTTATTTTAGGATGAGAAATCGAGGCGTATCATCTATCGGCTGGAAGGGCAGGGGGCCGGAGAATTCTTCAGGATTGGAAGGGAAACCGGGGAGATCGAACTGTTGAAGGAATTGGATAGGTGAGAGAGAGAGAGAGAGAGAGAGAGAGAGAGAGAGAAAGAGAAAGAGAAAGAGCAATATTTCCAGAGATCCTCCCCAAGGCGTGCCGGCCTGGAAATTCATCGTGCAAGCTGTAGATGACGATGGCCGAGGCCTAATTGGCTATGCTGACGTCCAGGTGAAAGTGAAGGACATCAACGACAACGCGCCCATATTCCCCGAAAATCTTCTTGGCACTGTCGAGGAGAATCGAGTTCCACCTTGTAAGTGATTCTTTGCTGCGGTGCTTTTGCATTAGCTAAGGCAGAGGCACAATTTTTTTGGTATTAGTCGAGAAGTGCCCAGTAGCGTCATAAAATATTTTTGAATTGCATTTTTAGCAAAATATATCTATATTGCAACTAGAAAAGCTCTCTAACAACATTAAAAACTCCTGAAAAGTTGAACATTTTAGCGAAAAATCAGCTATTTTGGTCGAAAACTAATGCTTTTGTATTTTTTTAATCAAAATTTGTCAAGTTTTAGATTGACGCATAGTAAATAACCGCTTACAAAACACTAGCGCTATTTATATTTGCACGATTGCAACCTAGAAAAAGTTAGTCACCCAGAAAGAACCGAAAACGCAGCAGAAGCCTTGCTGGACCCTTTAAAACAATGCATTACGCCATGTAATCCCTTTGCAGCGAATGACGGTGTCTATATCATGGATGCGAGGGCAAAGGATTTTGACGATGCGGCCACCGAGAATGCACGATTGGAATATTCAATTTCAGTGAATAAGGAAATAGATGGAGAACCTGTATTTCGTATAGATCCGACTACCGGAAAGATATTTGCCATGGTAAGCCATTGCTGAGTTTGATAGAGTAAGAAGATGGCTTTTGGATCGATTGATGGATTTCCTAGCGTAAATAGTATGGATTCGCAGAATTAGATGGGGGTATCGATTGGAAAACCCACGATTTCAGCGTCGTCTCGATCGCGAACTGCCCTCAGAACGTCTCTTCGTCATCCGCGTCCGGGCCGTCGACAATGGAAGGCCACAGATGGAAGGTAGGCGAGCAGAGATTGGAGGAGGAAATGGAATAGGGGCAGACTAGCAGAGATCATTTGTTCTTTGCAGGTTTCGGCAACGTGACGATCCGCGTCGTCGACAAGAACGATAATGCTCCATTCTTCGAAAAATCCCTCTATGAGGGTACGGTAGCCGAGACGGCGTCTATAGGCCACCCCGTACTGTCCGTCAGGGCCCTCGATGTCGATGATGAAGCACTGTAAGTGCGGATTTCGATTCGAAAATAATCTCTTCTAGCCTGCCAGACCGAAGGAGATCCATTTCTTTTCAGTGACAACGTGTTCACGTACAGTCTCGTAGATGAGGGCAATCCCTTCTTCTACATGTCAACGGACGGGGATTCGAGTGGGGGCGCTGTCGGGGTCCTGCGCGTTAAGAGAGTACGTTACTTTCCGCTCCGCAGTTTACGCCTGAACAAAATTAGCCCATTTGAATAGTTAAGATATTTTCCGGGTCGAAAATGATTCTGGCAGTGTATAAAAATACCGCATAAACTACAGTTTTTGCTAAAGAAAGCCTGCTAGCCTGTTCCCTTTCCATTTCCGCAAATAATCTCTGCTAGCTTGCAGAAATCGCGAGTTCACGCACGTAATTTCTTTTCTGAAGTACCGTCTCGTTTTGAGGGGTCGAGTCGGGTTGAGGGGGTAAGAAAATCCCGCAAAAACCTTGTGTATTGGGGGTATTATGGGGGGCCTTCATGCCCTGAAGGCACAAGGGAACCGGTCCTTACCTAGCGCCTTCTCGGCTCACTTTTTAGGTGGAGGGGGAAATTGCAGATGGTACTTTCTCTGTCTGTCTCTCTCTTTTTCTCTCTCTCTCTCTCTCTCTCTCTCTCTCTCTCCATCTCCCTTCTCAGATCCTCGGTTGCCATTAGAACACCAGTAAACTTGCCGACCGCCCGTGATTTTCCGATTTTCGCATTCGCCAATGTTCTCAGCTAGACCTTGCAATTCCCGAAGGATCCCTGTAGCCGGCGGCTTCCCGAATGGCATTTGCTAGCTTGCCCAATTTCGATTTACTGTCTTCCCCCCCGCCAGCCGACCCCACCCACTTTATTACGACACCCCGTTGTCGTAGGAGCCGGTAAAATATATCAAAATGCTCGCCAGAGCAAGACGAACATTTTAGATACTTTGCTTATACATTTCTTTCCAATAATACGAAAGCACCGTCAAATCAAAGCAAATCATCTCAAAGAATCCCTGATTGGTCGTAGAGAATCTTCATTGCAGTTCATTCATTCCACAAAATCCCCGCTTGCTTGTCCTCGCTCTAAAATTCTAATTTCAAGGCAATAAATGTTATTCTGAGCGTTGATTTGGTGGATGACCTGTGTCCCTCCATCATAAATTTTGTCCTCCTCTATATGAGACTTCCTCCCCTCCCCCTGATTTGCATATTCTAATGACGCCATCTGCGACTGCCCCCCTCCCCTCCTTTCTGCGCCACTCTCGTTCTAGAAGCGGTTCAATCGCCGGATATGTATTTATGTGGCGTAGTCCGCTGAAAAGCGGTCGAAAAAGTTGTTTGTATGCGAAAATCCACATTTTTCAACTTCAAAAAAACTTTTGGAATTTTTTGGCTCAAACTGGAAGCCAGACAATCTTCTGTGTTTTTCTTAGCGTTCTAAAAATACCATAAATAAATGTTATAATTTTTCATAGGGTGCAAAGTGCTCGCCAGAAAGAAGGTTTAGAGTGGCAAAAATCGCAAAATCGTTAAAAATGAGTCGCGCTCGAAATTCAGCCCAGTTGGGCGTCAAGCTAAAAACACGCGGGGATCAGCGCTGGCATGCCTAAAAGGCGGAAGTTTGGGGGGTGGGGGATTTGGTGGAGTTCCGTGAGTATCCTATCACCACCTCAGGCCTTGGAAAGTCCGTTTATCCTTATTCTGTCGCTTTTGCTTTCTCTCTCTCTTTCTCTCTTTCTCTCTCTCGCTCTCTCTCTCCTTCGCCTCTATTCAATTTGGCGGCGTGTGACCCAACTAGGCTACCCCCTAAAGGCCCACAGTTGGATCCTGGGAATTCGAAATTTGAATACTGAATGCATATCTGGGGTCGAGTGTACTCCCTCGCACTCTCGATTACCCCGCCTAACGTTACGAATCCGCCGAAAATTCATGGAAATTTCTGGGTCAAACTTGCCTTAACTGCGCCTTTAAAACCCTTAGCAAATTTTTTTTCTGCCTACAGCGGACCCTAGCTCTCCAAACCCGTAAATAACCACCGACTGGCCCATTTCTGGCCTTTCAATGGACCTTTAACTGATTACAATCGGACTCTGCGGGGCTTCTTGACTCGAATTTTCCTTAACTTGCCGTTTAAAGCCTAGGCTGAGCTTTTTAAGGGTGAAGTCAACACCAAGCTTTAAAGCTCGGTTTTGACTTCACTGGACCTTTGAAAGAAGACATATCCATAAGCTAGTCGCCTCAGTGGGGCTTTAGGCTAAAAACTGCGCGGCTAGCCTTCAGCATTCCTTGAAAGCCGTGAAAGTGGGGGATTCTTGCCTTCATTGGCCCTTTAAAATCGAAGAGTCGGGGGTTTTTTGTGTCCCCCAAAAAATGTGGCCCTCAATTGACTTGCGCGTCTCGTTCCTCGAAGGTATCAACTTATCTTGGCCATCGTTTTTTCCGAAGCTTATCCTCACCCCCAGAAACCTTGCTCAAGTTCCGTTTTCCGTATCCATTCGTAATCGGGGAAGCGCTCGTCGATTTCCGTTTTTTTTTCGCAAAAACTAGCAAAATTTAGTGTTGTAGTCCGCCTAAAGTTTCTGAAATCGGGGCAAGGATGCTTGAAAAAAATCGTTAATTATATGAAATTATTTAAATAACGTCATTTTGTTTCTGGTCACTGCAAAGCCGACTAAAAACGCAGGGTTTGAGTGGGTGTCCTGTTTTAAGGGCACCCTTTAGGGAATATTTTAGGGGTCTCTCTCGCTCTCTATCCCTCTCTTTCTCCAACCAATGTTGATGGCGGAACTGTTTGCATGTCGTTTCGGGCTAGGGGGTGTGAAGTGTCCCGTTCTGTCTCTCTCCTTCTCTGCGTCTCTCTCTCTCCCCCTCTATCTCTCTCCCCTAGAAGATCTCGAGATCTCCCCTCTTCCCCCATAAGGACCCAGCCCCAACCCCGGGTCCCAGGCCAAATCATGTCCTTCCGAAAACTGTACATGTCCGCAAACTTGCAGCCCACCAGATAACGGAGATTCCTTAGGAACTTACTCAAAAAGCTATCTTTCGATTCCCAAAAAATCTCTGCTAGCTGCCCCCGGCTCCGCTGTCACGCTCTCTTCATTAACTTCAGCCGCCAGCTAGCAAAGACCTGCTTGAGAGTCGTGGTCAGCACGACAAATTCCCACAGAAATCCATGCTAGCTTGCCCGGCAAGCTAGCAACGAGATTTGCGGAAACTTTCGCTTTCCACTCGCTGCCTCTAGCCACAAAGCCGAGGCGTTTAGCGGCTTAGATCTGGGATTCTTTCCCCTCTAGCCGCATCGTTCATAGCAATGGAATGGAGTCGTCTCTCGCTCTCTCTCGCGCTCGCTCTCTCTCTCTCTCTCACTCTCGCCGACTTCCCGCTGATTTTATGACAGCCCAATCCCGATCCAAATCCTCCTCCCCAAGGCCTCACGTTTTTGGCTGGCTAATGCTCCTTGAATTCGGCAATTCGGCACTAAACTCTGCTAGCTGGCCTCCCTGCAGTGTCCCTAAAGGCATGGGGGAAAGCTAGCAGAGATCCTTTAGGACAGAGTACGCGCCATTCCGCCTGGACGCCTCCTTGGCGGTGTTTATTTTGCTGTCATTGTCTGGGCTTTTCCCCCCGGCCGCCAAGTTTATACTCTGGCCCGCTAAGGGGCTGAGGGGAGGGGGATTTGCCCCCCCCAATTAGTCGTAGTGCCAGTAGTGGTCACTCGGATTATAATAGGCATCCTCCTTTTAAGGGGGCAGAAGATGTCCAATTCTCGGGCTTTTCAAATGCCTATACGGCCTAGGGGGTGTAGATTTTAGGAGATATTTTCTAAAGAATCTCTGCTAGCCTGCCCCTTCTTTCCATTTCCTCAAACTATCTCTGCTAGCCTGCCCCCAGCGGTGTTTTCAAAGGCCACTCAGCTGGAGTGAATATTTATGGCTTCACACTCCACCGGACATCAGGGTGTAGATAGGCGCGTAGTGGAATGGGATGGACTGGAAATGCCAAAAACCATTCCCAGACCCATTTTTCTTGCCTCGGAAACGCGTCAGGTGGCGTGGCGGGGGGATTTGGCGCATCCCGGGCCCTAAGCCGAAGCCTAAGCCAAGTCAAGCCTAAGCCCAAGTCCGAGTCAAGCCTAAGCGTAGCAGATAGCACTTCGGAAATCAAATCGCCGTATCCACCGAATCCCAAACGACCATTATTCCGATGCATTCCTATCTACGGAGGGGGTGTCATTTGCTGTTGTCACGCGTACCCCCATTTCCACTCTTTTTTTGTCGAATCCAATTGTCATTCAGTTCATTCGAACGTCTTTTGTTGTCTATCGTAGTGCCGGACAAGTACTTTGCCGATATCTCCCTCTCTCTCTCTCTCTCTCTCTCTCTCTCTCTCTCTCTCTCTCTCCCTCTCTCTCTCTCTCGCCCGCGAACCCATTACAGGACTCGGGGCCCGATTTTCGGGCCTTTTTGCGTGGTTTTTTGTGGGATTTTTTGAGCGCCAGGTGTCCGACCGTATCCCAAAACTCATAGTCCCTGTACGAATTGTGAAAATGCACTGCCAGAGCCATTGAAAACCCGGGAAATTACGTAGATAAGTAGCAGTTAAGTGTCGGAATCGCTTAGACCATGAAATAGCTTAAAAATTGGGTTTAGTAACCGATTAGGCCCAACAAAATAGCCATAATTACCTTTTGTAATCGAGTACAAAATGATAAAAATGATAAAAATGATAAAAATTAGGTTGCGTAATCGATTAGGCCATGAAAATAGCAGAAAATTACGTTGTGTAATCGATTACACCATGGAACTCGCTCAAAATTAAGTCGCGTAATCGATTAGGCTATGAAAATCGCAAAGAATTGCATTGCGTAATCGCTTAGACCATGAAAATACCCATAATTAGGTGGCGTAACCGATTAGACCCCCGTAAAAAGCGTGTCATCGTTTAGCCGTTGGACTACGAGGACCCCGTACAGCGACAGGGCTGGGAATTGGCGGTTCGAGTATCTGATGGAGTACACGAGGCAACGACAACACTACGAATTGCGCTCGAAGATCGCAACGACCACGCGCCACAGATAAATGGACCGACGGAGAGGACGGTGAAAGAAGATGCACAGAGAGGGCACTTCATCGGCACGTACACCGCCATTGACCCTGATCAGGGGGATACGGCAAGGTGGGCGGAATGGGGGTGGTTTAAACTTTAAAGGGATGGTGACACTCGGGGTTTTTACAGTAGATGTCGACTGCCTTCCGTTTTATCAATTTTAGACGTTTTAAAGGGCCGGAAAGTCCGATTTTACAAGAATTTTCGATCTTAAAGGGATGGTGACACCTGGGTTTTCACGTGTAGGTGCTGCCTGCTTTCCATTTTATCAATTTTAAACGTTTTAAAGGTTTAAAAGTGAGGTTTTTCCGAGCATCCCCGACTTTGAAGGGATGGCTACACCCTGTTTTCACGTGTTTCACGTTTCGCCTGTTGACAGGAGCTTTCAAGGGACTTGGAAGCAATTTTCTACCTGGCTGGGTGCCAATTCGACAAGTTTTCGACTCTAAAGGGATAGTAACTCCCTGTTTTGACGTGTAGCTGTAGACAGGAACTTCTAAGGGGCTTGGAAGCAATTTTCTACTTGGATGGGCGCTAATTAAACAATTTTCCGACTTTAAAGGGATGGTGACACCTGGGTCCTCACGGGTAGGTGTTGACTGCTTTCCATTTTATCAATTTTAAACGTTTTAAAGGTTTAAAAGTGAGGGTTTTCCGAGAATTTCCGATTTTAAAGGGATGGTGACAACTGGATTTTGACGCACATGTGTAGTCGACTTTTAAAGAAACTGCGTAGCGATTTTCCACTTGGTTGTGTGCCACTTCAACGAGTTGTGGACTTAAAGGCTCCGTAAATCCGATTTTCCGACGTTAAAGGGATCCAGACACCTGGAATTTCACGCATACCTATCGACTGGCATCTACATCATCAACCTTCTTACTTTTTGTTGTTTTAAAGCGTTGGCGCCGGCCTATTTTCGGTCAATATGCACATTTCGCTTAATTTTGCCGCGGGCAATAGCCGATATCATCATCTATCTCATCAGTATCGACAAATTAGACACCAAAAATCACGGTAATGACATTTGACACCTAATGACGCGGCGTCATTGTAGCCTCGGGGCATTTTCTGGGCCCTGATAAGGAGATAGGGAGACTGGGCCGGCAGAAATTTGAATTTCTCCACCGCGACGTCCTTTTGCTTGCTTTCTGGCATGTCCAATGGCCCAGTAGTCAAATTACACGCATTAGATCACGCCATGAAAATCGGGTCAGCTGCTTTTTATGAAAAAAGCTGGAATTTTGGTGTGAAAGGGTAGCTTTCTGTTTGGATGAAAGTGGGTGACGCAGGGTGTCCAGGGTACATTTGCGTACGGGCTTAAGCTCTTACTTTCTCTCCCTCTCTCTCTCTCTCTCTCTCTCTCTCTCTCTCTCACTCACTCTCGCCCCTCTCTCTTTCTCTCTCTCTCGCTCGCTCTCTCTTTCTCTGTCTCTCTCTCGCCCTCTCGATCTCTCGCTCTCTCTCTCTCGCTCGAGGAAATGGAAAGGGCAGGCTAGCAGAAACCCTTTGGGCAAGCAAACGCCAACTTGTCAGTCCCTTTAAACCCCTACCAGCCGTCCAGCTGGGTGGCAACTCGAGCGATTTCGCTTCTTTCCGCCCCCCGTTTTTCCGTTTCCATCCGCCCCTTACACGTGTATGTACTCCCCTAGCTGCCCCCCTTTTTGCGCATCGCTCCCCCCTTCCACTAGCAAATCGGCGCCCAGGATTTACACGTTTTCCGCCGAGTAGCCGGGCCTTAAAAAGGAGCGTGGCCGTAGTAGGGAGGGCCCTTTTTGGGCCCTCTTTTTGGCCCTATGCCCCCCAGGGGCACTAATACTTTAGTGGGACCCCCCCCCCCCTTGTTGCCACTCTATGCCCCATTTTATGCCATCAGGAGAAAGAGAAAAGAAACCAAAAAGAGCAACTTTTAGCCCTCTGGGGACCTTTTTGCGCATTTTTCGGCTCTCTCTCTCCCACTCTCTCTCTCTCTCTCTTTCTCTCTCTCTCTTTTAAAAACCCATTCTTCGAAGCCTACTACGCCACTTGACTAATAACGCCTCGCCCGGGGTGGTCAAGGCGAAAGATGACCTCTACGAGCACGTTCTACACCTAATTGCAAGCCTTAGCTTCAACCGATGCCTAAGCCTAAGCCAAGCCTAAGCCAAGCCTAAGCCAAGCCTAAGCCAAGCCTAAGCCAAGCCTAAGCCAAGCCTAAGCCAAGCCTAAGCCAAGCCTAAGCCAAGCCTAAGCCAAGCCTAAGCCAAGCCTAAGCCAAGCCTAAGCCAAGCCTAAGCCAAGCCTAAGCCAAGCCTAAGCCAAGCCTAAGCCAAGCCTAACCTAAGCTTAGGCGTGAGCTCTTTTTCCGCCTTACCACTCCCTTTAACACGTTGTCGACCATTCCACGACGCTACTATCAGCTTCGGGGGATTTGCCGAGCCTCGAAAAAGTCTGGCATATTTGTGCTCATCCCCTCTTTTTGGTGTGTGTCTCGGAGCTGTTTGCCCGTCTTCTGAATCATCCGTCCGCCTTACAAGGCATTGCGGGGTCAGAGAGAGCGAGAACGAGAGAGAGAGAGAGAGAGGTGAAGATAGTCCCGAAATTCCACGCCATTTCTGACGCATGCGCCTCTAATTTCCATATGAAGCGGGGGTGACTCCTCAAATTTCTCACGAAAATCGATAGTTATCGGCGAGCAAGGTTTTCTCAAAGAATCTCTGCTAGCCTGCCCTTTCCTAAAGAATCTCTGCTAACTTGCCCTTCCCCAAAGAATCCCTGCTAGCCTGCCCATTCCTAAAGAATCTCTGCTAGCCTGCTCTTTCCTAAAGAATCTCTGCTAGCCTGCCCTTTCCTAAAGAATCTCTGCTAGCCTGCCCTTTCCTAAAGAATCTCTGCTAGCCTGCCCTTTCCTAAAGAATCTCTGCTAGCCTGCCCTTTCCTAAAGAATCTCTGCTAGCCTGCCGTCACTAAACTGGCGGTCACCATATCCAGTTCACCCACCGCAACCCCATTAAGTTGAGAAGCACCGCCTAGGGGGGATACGGTAAGTAGGACAAGTTTTAGTGTGGAACCCAGTGAGGGGAACCGGTTACCTTCAGAACTTGGTTCGGCTGGGCAGTTTTCTATGGGTAGAGGAAGGGAAGGAGGATCATCTCCAAGCAAAAAGAGGAGGGGAAAGCCGTTCGGTGCCTTTTCGGAGTTCCGCGCCATTCCAATCGACGGAGGGAGGACGAGCTTTCCCCCTGGGTCATTGGAGCTACCAAACGAAACGTGGGGCCTCAGGGTATCCATACGGAAATTCTAGGCGCCAGGCAGGCGGTGGAGATTCTTTGGGAAAGGGCAGGCTAGCAGTGATTGTTTGAGAAAATCCTCCCCGAAATTCCGTTCCGATACTATCGACTCCCCCCGCCCGCAGAAGCCACCCGATAAAAGGGTGGCCAGTCATCGGCCGCAGAATCACCGCCTTTTTGAATGTCTCCCCTTGGGGGCGGAGACGCCTCGGGAAGTTCCGGTACGATCCGGTCGGAATTCTTTCCCCAATTCTCTCTGCTAGCCTGCCACACCTTGGGCGTGCTGGCCGAGATCCTTCTGGAGAAAATCCAATTCCCGAATGCTCTCTGCTAGCCCCTCCATGACTCATGTCGGCCAACGCGTCGATACGGTCTATCCATCCATGCGTGTGTTCCCTTCCCCCGCCTTCTGGCACCCTTCCTTCGCCCCATTCGGTCATCGATTCAATTCGGAAGATAAGGCACACGGACTGTCCGTCGCTCTCGCTGTCTCTCCCCCCTCTCTCTCTCTCTCTCTCTCTCTCCCCGAAAAGCGCCGCGGGGCGCTACAAAGCGGACGCGCGCTTTCCTCTGGGGGGCGAAGAACCCATTCCATTCGATTCCGTTCCCATCCACCCCTTCTCTTCCGCCCGATTAGCCATCGATCCGTCTCCGTCGGGGGTCTTCTGAATCCCCCGAAAAACCCTGACACCTTCAACCCTCCAAAAACCCCTACCTTCACGGGTTTTCAAGGCAGACGTTAGGCATAAAACCAACACTTTTGCCTGTCTACAGGGTGTCCCAAAACAATTCCCTCTAGCCGGCCGCACCCCTGTGCTTTTTTTGCGATTTAGGTATCCATCGAAACTTTTTTTGCCCCATCTTCAGCATTTTTCATGCAAAAAGGACATTGTCAAAAACTGAATTCAACCGATTTAAGCGCCAGTCTAAGGCGTGCTTTCGCAAACGGCTTGCAAAAAGCTGTCGATGGGCTGTCAGTAAAGGCGTAAAAATCCTTAAATTGTGGTTCCTTGTCGAAAACCCGTTGGTCAAAAAACGCCAGAAAATCTGCACGTTTCGCAATAATATTAGTAAATGTAAAAAAATTTCAAGAATTTGTGAAGCAGGGATAGCGTGCTGGACCCGCCTTTTCGCGAGCTTTCGATAGATACCTAAACCGTAAAAATCGGACCAGGATGTGGCCGGCTAGGGACGGGCAATTTTTGGGACACCCTGGCTATAACAGCAAGGTTCCATTTCGTGGAGAATCTCCGCCAGCCGGCCCCCGTTTCCTTCAAAGGATCTCTGCTAGCCTGCGCCATTTCCAAAATTAATATCTGCTAGCCGCCTCGCCTCGTGTGGCAGGCTTTTCATAGCCTAATCGCTTCTGCCGGTGCTATCGGGTATTAGAATACGCTACAGTATGCCTTACAGTACCCCTCTGCCCCTCATATCCATCTATCATTCCGGCCAATTCCGCAATTCCGGGGGTGTCCTCCTAAAAAGTGTTTCTCCCCTCTCAGTGATAGATATAAATGTTCTACAGAGCCTTGGCCTCATTCGGGATTCCGTTTCATTCCTCCTTCCACCCCCCCGCTATTTTTTGTCCCCCCCCCCCTTTAAACGTGAAGGTCCCCCCCCCCACCCGCGATTCGAGAGTCCCTTTCAAATCCCCCGCCCTCCCGGCCCAGCCTTTTTTTGGTTTCCGGTTTTTCACGCGGCTCTGAAAGTTCAGCAGGAATCAACGTTCACTATCGGGCCTGCAACGGTTGTTTGATATCGGTATGCCGAAATTCAGAATTTCGACATTTTAAAACGCTACAATCCATAATGTCGAACTTTTGGATCTCGAATCTTTTTTGCACGTGCAGAAATTCTTATGTAAGAAGAAATGGTTAGTACTAGTTTAATGGCGTTTTTATTACAATTTAATTTGATTTCCAGCGGGAAAATTCCAAAAAAAAGGTAGGAAAAGTTTCTCAGCTGAAATTCTGAGCGGAAGTCGGCCATATTTGCCCGAAAAACCTATATTTTTTTTGTATTTTATTGGTCAAAATTTTTACCCTTTTTACGTTCCTGAATGGTAAAAAACAGTTTAGAAACACTTCCGCTATTTATATTCGAAAAACTGGATCCTTGGGAAAAAATTGGTCCCACCTCGAAAATGCGAGAATGCACCCGAAATTTAGACCTCATGAAGAGCCAGACTAGAACGCAAACCCTTAATTTGGCCCGAGAAAAGCGTAGAAATTAAAATTTTGCGCATTTTTGAACCGATTACGCCCGGAAATTACAAGTTAATGTGGGTGAAAGTGTATTTTTCAGCCCATTAACGTTGCTAAAAAGCTGCTGGGAAGGTTATGAGGCCCGAAAAAAATCGTCCGTGGCCGGTTACGCCATGAGATAGCAAATTCTAGAAGACACCCTCCGCTTAAAATCAAGCAAACATTGTTGTTTGAAGCGAAAGGTTTTTAAAAACCAGAAAATTGCTCGAATCGCCGATGGTTGATTTCCCAACCGGCAAAATCACGGCCAAATGCCCTGATAACAAGCAACACTTTCAGCACCTGATTTCCACAAAGAAACACTGCTAATTGCCCCCGGGACGACCTGAAAATATTGGCTGTCGTGACTCAGCGTCGGCCATCGAAAAGCCACCCGCGCCCATTTCGGCTCGTCTCACCCGTTTCTCGCTCATAAATTGCCCCGTTGCTCCTCCTCCTCCTTCTTTGGCGATGCTAGCAGCCAGGGAATTCGAAAAATGCTTCTCCCTCGCGCGGCCAGTGCTCACCAAGCGCCGCGACACCCCCAAGAAAACCCGAAGAGGGCGGCGGTAGGGCTAAAAATTCATTTCTTACCATAATCTCGTCGTTTCACTGTTAGCGGTCGCTAATTTTTCTGCCCTTACACTTTTTTATTCTTTAAACTATTTTTATAACGACTGATACAGTTTCTATGCGCAAAAGTTCAACTGCAAATTTATGAAGTTTTGGTCGAAAATTAAAAAAAAAACCAATCAGAACCCATGAAAAAAACTGGAGCTATTGATGTTTGGGGGGGCATCTTTTTTTTGGGGGCTTTTTCTGGCCTAAGCTTGTCTCAAAGCCTAAGCTAACCAAGCCAAGCCCAGCCTAAGCCAAACCTAAGCCGAGCCTAGGCTTAAGCCCAAGTCGAAGCTAATCCTAAGCTAGCTCTAGGCTAAGTCTAAGCTAAGGCTAGGCGACACCTAATGTAAGCCTACACTAAGCCTAAGCTAAGCCAAAACCAAGCCTAGGCCTAAGCTTAAGCCTAAGCCAAGCCTAGGCATAAGCTAAGTCTAAGCCAAGCGTACGCAAAGTTAAAGCTAAGCCTAAGCTTAGACCCAGGCCACCAAAAAAAAATGCCCCCCCAAACATCAATAGCTCCAAAAAACTTTTGGTTTGAAGGTTCTGAAGAGCTTCTTGGTAGGTTTTTAATAATCTAAAACCAAATTGTCGAAAAAGAGCTTACAGATAGACTATCTTTTCTTTCAAAACATGAATCGGGTGAACAAGAAAAATTGGCTACCGTTCCCCCGCTAACCGGGAAGTTTGTTTCGTTAATTAATATACATTTTAAAGAACGCCCAACAGCTAATCCCCCTTATTACGAGGCCGATTCCCGACCGGAACCCCCCTCCAATGGCCTGGCTAGGTGCCCACCGGCCCAGATTATCCCGGATTTGCCCGGCCGGGCCCTAAAAAGCCTTCACAATGTTCTTCCTGGGGCCCTCAGCTGTACGGGGCCCCTCAGCTGGGTCAAGTACCCTTTAGGGCCCATCCTTTTGCAGCCCTTTCAGGCTGATAGCGTCTGAAAAACGCTACAATCCCCATTTAGCGCAGAATTTCAATCTCTTCTTCTGGTTATGTGTATATAATAACCCATGAAACCTGTAAAACTCTTTTCTTTATCATCCTCGCCCTTCCTCGCGTCGTGGCCCCCGCAAAATAGTCATAAATATCGAGCTGCGGCCATCCAGCGGGAGGCTGATAAGGAGAGTCGCGATGCGTCAGCCCGGCTTCCCGCCTCGATTCGCCCCGGAAAGGCAACTTCATTTTCGAAAGAGAACCCTCTCAAAATTTGAACTTGCTTTCCTTCTTTCTTTCTTCTTTCCTTCTTGCTTTCCTATTGCAGGTGCGTTTTTAGCTTTCGAACACTCCAATTTACGGATTTCGTTGGGTGGAATTAGGCGGAATTGGATTCAGGATTTTCGTATTTTTCACCAATTTTGTAATAAATTACTAAAATTTATTAAATTTGTTTCTATATTTACTTTATATTACGTCTTTTAAACAGTCTAAGAGTTCTTCACCGTTCGTTAATCTCATTTTACGTAGTTTTCGCCTGTTGTTGAGTTTATGGCGCTGCTTTTTCTTAGCCATATGTTTTGCAAGCTTGCTCGGCACCGCAGTAGGGCATCATTTTGGCGTTTCAGCTTCAGCGTTTGCTATGGAATTCTCGGCTTTACGTTAGGCTTCTCCGGCGTTATTGTCGCAACCCCCTCCACGCCTCAGCACCATATATTCGGCATGCAACTCATGGCGCTGACGTTTCTGAATCCACGGACCGCGCATTTACCTCCCCTCACACCCGTATCTGGGATCTCACCTTGGTGGCGCGAACTGCGGCGGTACTTCGGCGCGAACTTGCGGGCGAATTGCGGCGACGAACTTTGCGGCGCGAACTTGCGGCGTGACCGAGCCTACTAGCCATAGACCCAAATTTTTCACTCGGGCTTCAGCAGCGCAGTCTGAGCTTTTACTACAAAAACAATCATCCAATCTTTCCTATTAACGGGATTAAACCTAGTTAAATTTGAGCCGCAAAGTTCGCGCCGCAAAGTTCGCGCCGCAAAGTTCGCGCCGCAAAATTCGCGCCGCAAAGTTCGGGGAGCCTCACCTTTGGGGGAAGGGACCCGTTCCTTTGTGGCTCGCTCTGGTGTGCTGCTGGCTGCTGCTGCGCGCGGTGGCCTGGTGCGGGGGGTTGGTGTGCTCGGGGCTAGAGGGCCTGAGGGGCTGACCTTCACCTCAACACCACTATGAAGGGGGGAGGGCTCTCACATACCTGGACAGCCTCTGCTTCTCTCCCCCCGCCACCATCCCGTCATCCCCGTCCTGGGCGGTGCACATTCGCTCGCGCTCTCTGCACACGGAATGTCCCGCCTCCACCCAAAAGCCGCCCAGCCCACCAATCTCTCGCTCTCTCTCCCCCCATCTCTTTCCCCTCTTCCCCCTCTTTCTAGCGCCCGAAGGGGAATTGACGGCCGGCCAACGAGCCTCATCCCCTCCTTTTCTAGCCCCCCAAAAAAACCCCGCTACATACATCTCGGACGCTGGGACAACCGTTTTCTGCCTCCCTACTTCTCGATGAATACATTTATCCATCCGCTCTATTGCCTTTTTTGTTTTCTAGAGCTAGTTCATGCCTTTTACAGAAGATAATTTGCAAAAACGGCCTGAAGATTGACCAGTCATCATGTTTAGCTCATTACTGTTATGGATGCCCGGCTTTCGATTTTGATTGCCGGATAGTAGCCTAGAAGTTTCCTCCTTGTGCTTTTTAGACAAGGATCGCAGAATCTTCTTTTTTTTTCTCTGTGGAATGTTCAGGCTGATTTCTAGATATTTAGGCTGGCAGACCTCAAAAAAAACCCGCTATTCCTCGAATTTTGTATTTTTGCCGTACTACCAGCTTCTTTTTCAAGCCCGAAAAACGCCCCCTCTGCACGCATTCCGGGCTTCTTCTCCTCCTCTCCTTCCGGGCAACCGTTTTTTCGTTTCGCCATGAATACATTTAGCGGGGCCGGCGCTAATTTAGGGGGATTTTACGACTGGCTCATCGATGAATTTGGTCCGAATTTGGGGGGGGGGGGGAAATGTGGAAAGTGCTTTTCAGCTATGCCATGGTTTTTGTCCTCATGAAATATTGCGAGGGCAGACAAATTGTGTTGTCCGTAAAATCGTCAACTAAAGCCTTGAAAGCTTGTAAACGCGTTCTTCTTTTTCAGCTCGTGATTCGTGTTCTCCATTCTTTCGCTCTCAATTTTTCATTGCCTGATCATTGTCGTGTTTTTCAGAGTCCAACTCTCGTTCCCCTACACGGGAACCCCGCCAGCCATCGACATCCGGCCCCCCCAACTAACATCTCACACCACGGCGAGAGACAACAAGAAGAGAGAGAGGCGCGAGATAGCAACATCTTGATCAAGACGGAGCAGCAGCGCAACGACAAGGCCAAGCACATCCAACAATTCGCACGGACCACCACTACAACATGCGGGAAGTCGTGTGGCTTCTCCTGCTGCTCCCCGAGCTACGAGCATGGACGGGCCAGGAGCTGAGCCTCCCCTTCGGGCTGGACAACTCGTTGGCGAAACCGAGGTTTTCGACGTATTCCGGGGCCAAGGCGCGCGACATCCACGTCTACGTCATGAAGAACATTTCGGAGAACACCGCCGTCGGCACCGTGCTCGACACTTTCAAGGCGCACGACAAGGATCTGCCCGGCTTCAACTATACGTGAGTTTATTGCATCGATTTGTGGCCTCGTTGGGCGGCGAATTGACTTTTCATGTGTCTATTTTTGTGCTGAATCTCTGCATCTCACTTCCTTGCCTCTCTAATTTTCTTTAGGCTTTTGGTTAGAAAGCGCCGAGCCTCGATTTAGCTAGAAAATAAATTTTTGGCGCATTTTTCCACTAATTTTATACTCTTTATCTAGTTTTGAGGCTTTTCCCCTAATTTTCGAAGCTTCAGGTGTCGTTTTTTTGGGTAAATAGCTGTGAAAAAGCTGAAGCTTCATTTCTTGCCCTTTCCTAGTTAGGATTCACTAATCGCTCTTTATCTGGCCATTATTTTGAGTCTATCTTTCAGTCTTTTGTTGGCCTCGTAAATTCAAGAATCCGCTCTATTTTTCCCGTCTTACTTTTTTGGTTTCTCCCGACTCGTAAACGCGCGTGAAAGACTTGTACAGCAATGTTGGGGTGTACGTGGCGGGGAACTGACTGACCAGCCCTCTGGTGCCCACCACGTCTTGTATTTCCGGATTGTGTTTGATTGCCCCTGGGTGGATCCGGGTCCCCTCCCCCCAGCCACGATGGCCAATGGGTATTCGGTTTCGCGCGTCCTCGTAGCGCGGGGCTTTCCACGACCACAGCATTATTCGAGCCTTCGGCCCTAAGGGGGTGTGCATGAGCATTGCGATACTCGACGGGGGCTAGCCCGTAACCGGAAGTTGCCCGGCTTTTTTTGGGGGGCGCCTAGCAAGCTAGAGGGCTCAGGAACGGGCGGCTGAGTCAGATCCGGCGTGTTAGTGTAAAATTGACGTGAAATAGGAGCGCGGGACAACTATCGTAAATTCTGGGGTTTCAGATAGTTTTTTTTGCAGCGCGTCACCGGCCCCTAGGCAGATTTTTAGGCTCATAAAGCTCCCACCGCGTTTTGGTGACCGACAAATTTTCCTGCCAAAATTTTGCCCATATTTACCTACAAAAACTCGGCGCACCAGCCCATTTCCTGCCGTTATCCACTAGCTTTTGATCGTTGCGTTGTGTAGAAGGAAAGGGGCGGTTGAGTGGCTCGTAAAGTGTCTCATAACACCGAATCCCATCTATATGATCGAGGAGGAGCGGGGCCGCGGGGCGGGGATTGTCGTAATATTGGGGGCCATCCATCATATCGTCTGTTGATCGTCGCCATTCCGCCGTTTTTTGTACGGGGGAATCGGTTTCTGGCAGAAGGTAGAATTTCGACAGTGATAGTTTTTTGTAGAATTTAGGACTGTAGACCGGAAAGTGCATTTTTCAGTAGAAGCCCATTCTAGGTTTTTGAGCTTTTCCCATCTACTGCTCACCCAGCACCACTTTGACATGGCCAATTTCTCTGTACACTGTTGCCCAGCGTACAATACGGACACCGAAGTACCCATTGCGTAGTTGACATTGTCCGCAGGAGGTCACTCGATCACCGTATCCATTACTCCATCCATTGTCGCTCATCGGCCGCCGGGCGGAGCACAAGTATTTGGTCTCCACGTCCGCCCGTTCCCCGCTATGGGCATTTGTTTGCCAATTGGCCTGGAGGGCATCTCGCTCGCTATCTCTGGCCCCTCTGCCCCCTCTAGCCCGATTGGCCCTCGGCCGGTAGATGCTGCATTATTTGGATTGGGGGGCCCATCATTTGGGGCCTCTTGTTTGGCAGAGCCGTGTGTGGGCATACAAATACACGCGGAAACACCGGGCATGCGTGTTGTGTGCCATATTTAGTGAATACCCTCGAATAGCAGAGTGATTGTTAGATTTAGGTTTCTTGCGTTTTGTGCGCGAAATTGCGTCGATTTTTTGGCAGGCATATAGATTCCAAGGCGAGAAGCCGTCTGTTTTAGCCCACAGCACGCGTAGAAATTTTCAAATAGTCAAAATTCGACGTAGCATGATTTTTTTAGATCTAGTGAGCCGTTCCAGCAAACCTCTAGCTTCTACCTCTCCTCTCCGTGCTCCGCTGGCGCGCTACAATTTTAGGAGCTGTCATCCCGTCGATATCGCCGCTCCACCGGCAAGCCTAGCGTTTGGCCTCCACGCATGCAGCGCGCGATGATGGGGCACAAAGTGCGGGAAGCGCGCGCAGCGTGAGCTGGCCCTAATGTGACCTGACGCCCCCAGCCAGCGCGCTCACCAACGGCTCGTCACCCGCACCTCCTCACCCGTCCCGGGATCGAGACCGCGTGCACACACACAGCCGCACAGACATAGGACTCCGACAGCCAGGGGAGAAGAGGTGAAACCGAGACGAGTCTCTCTCTCTCTCTCTCTCTCTCTCTCTCTCTCTCTCTCCGTCTCCTTTCTCTCGTTAGATCCCCCTAGGCGCATCTATTTGCATATCCACGCGCAGACAGACACAGCTACACGGGGGGTGTCCCCACGGGCGGATCCGCCAGGTTTCGACTCGCGCTGCAATTCGGGGGATGTAAAGAGGAGGGAAATGTAGCGTTTTGTAGGTTAATCTCGTAGTTCGTAGCGTGTTGCCTGACATTAAAATTTAACCTAGGTCGTATTGCGATTTGTCCGCCACTCAAGCGCGCTTGCTTTTCGGCTTCCGGCGCTTTGCAAGATTCAATGATGAGTGAAATGTAGCATCCTCCGATTTTTCGTGATTATTAGATTGAAAACAACGTGATTTAACCAGCAGGCTCGATGAATGAGAAATTTGCTCAACTAGTACAGCTTGCTTTTCGACTGATAACACTTTGCAAGATGTAATGAGGAGCGAAATGTAGCGCTTTGTAGTTTCTAGCGGTTTTTAGAATGAACATCACCTAAATGCGTTGCTGCGTAGGTGCCCACCCCGGCGGAACGCAAAAGAAGCGTATCAGCTTAGGCTGTTCGTCTCCCTTTCGGCCTGGCGACCCGCTGGCCCCAGAGCAGCAATGCTGTTGCGCAAAAAGGGCGTGTGATACGGTTGCGTGGTGGATGATGCCCCGGGGGTACGGCTCGTTTGACCCCCCTTTTCTGACACCCTGAATCTGCTATACTGCTGGCCCCGCTGGCGTTTTGAATGTGACCGCTCGCGGCGAATGTTTTGCCCTGCGGCCAGATCACACAATCGATGCGAAGGCCTGGGCGGCTACACGGGCCAATGCCCTTCGTTGACCCGCCAGTGTTGGCCATATTTGTTCCCACACGGGACAAGGGGGATACCTCCAGGGGGGTCAACCCTTCACGGGGGACTTATCTATCAGAGGGACCGGGGATCTCAAGTTGTATACAATGACTGACTTGTAACGTTGTTAGCACCAGGTTTTTCTTTTCGGAAGTGTTTATCAAAATATGGCTAATTTTGATTTCAGGCCGATTTTTTACCTGAGATACTGAGTTTAGGCAAAGCAGAAGCACAAGCTTTTCCTTTTCTGCGGCATTTCTAAAAAATAGGGGCAATTTTGAAGATTTCATCCAGGTTATTTCACCGCCCGCGCCTTCCCAAGCCGCCCAAGCCAAGAATGCCCTTTTTTAATAAAAAAAACAGGGTCAACCCTCGCTGGTTCGCGGCCCTTATCTGTTCCCAACCTTGCGCACCGGTGCGACTCGCGCGGCTCAGCCAGTCGACCTTCACTCCCCGGTCGGCGCCCTTCCCTCCAACCCCCTTGACCGCTTTGAAATCGAGATCCGGGCGGCTGATCATCGCTTTTCGCGGGGGGAGCCCTCTGGGAAACACGCGATTAGGATGGGGGATTTTCGCCGGGTAGGGGGGGGGGGATTTTGCTAGCATACGGTTGGGGAAAGGGGACCTGAAATCGGGATTTGGAACCGGTCCGGGTTTGATTATCAGGTTCCAAAAGGACCAAAAGTTGACTATGATTTTAGGCCACGAAAAGTCGTAGCTAAAATTTTGCCGGTGTCGTGTCCGCAACTCCAGTATCGCGTGCTTCGCAAATTCGAGTAAGAATCTATAGCCCGCATTTCCACAGCCACGCCTTGCTCATCCCTTCAAAAACGCTTGAAACCCGCTGAGGTAATCCCCCTCGATTGAGTCGATCCGGTGGCAGGTGCTGGGAATGGGATAAGGGGCTCGTGTCGAGGTCGCGCGAATCGCTAAGTGTTTCCATATATCCACCCCTGCTCCTCTCGATTGCACCGGGGGGCACCTGGCCGAGACCACGTTCGGCTGCGCAGTAGAAACGGGCTGCGGGGGGCCCGGCTAACGTTTTTAGGCACGCTCAGTTTTGGCAAGGGGTGCCCCGCAGCGGGGCCGAAACGTTCGGTTGGTTGCTCGCCGTCGCGGCGTGTGTGTGAGACCCTAGTAGCGGGGGGACGGGTAATTAGGGGGCAAAAGGGGCAGGCTGACCGGATGACCTCGCTCCGACTGCCACACCATTACCTAGAGAGGGGGGGACCGGGGTGCTGACCCCCGCCGCGGATCCGGGGTATTTGGGTAGCGAGCTTTTATGCATCCCCCAAAAGGACTATCTGAGCTTGCCCCTAATTTAGGGAGGGCCGAAAAATTGGACTGGGTGGGCTGTTCTAAATTTGTAGCACGTAAAAAATTTGTAGTATTTGATCTAGATCGGCTTGAAATCGGCGGAGTTTCCGTATTTGGCCGTTGAAGCTCCGTAGTTAATGTAGCTAATGCCCGTTTTGCGCTGCTTTTTGCTGATACCAGTCTGATCGCGCGGTGCGTAGAAAAGTAAAAACTCATGTGAAAACGTGACTACCTGAAGTGCTTGTAAAATTCGCAAGATTTCATACCCTCGTTGAAGTCAGGTCTAGCCTTCCGGTGAGGCTTACGACTTTCATGCGCTCCTAAACCACTTAAGTTAGCTTAGCAGAATTCTTAGCAGAAAACGTGCATTAATCACGCAACAATTGCCCCGGGCACTCAATCGACTCTCTCGTATAGTAGTAGCCGCCCGCCATCAGTCATCCCCGCCAACATTGACGCCGGGGAGTAGCCCGATTTTTCAATGGTCATTGCCAAAGGCCGGGCGACCGGCATATATCGCGAAGAAGCGCTCCCTGGGGGCCGGGCTCGAGAAGTATGGGCTATGTGTGTGTGTGGCGCGTAAACGAGATTTGAGTTGTGCCCGGCCCCGGATCGGACTTCTCTTTTTTTTTGGTGGGCGATCTCCGCCAACGGGTCCAATCGAAAAGGATTTTGGGAGGCAATAGGTTTGGACCGAGGTGGGATGCATGGTGTAGTAAAACGGGTTCTTTCGCATTATCGGGGGACCTGATTTTTTTCTGGAAGTCTAGTAGAATACCTATTAACGAAATAGGACGGATTTTGCTATTGTTTTTAGCAATATTTAACTATATTTTAGTGCTAAAGCCAACTCGAAAAAACTTATAAATTTTTTAGTCTATCCCAAATTACACACTGGTCGAAAATCTATATTTTGTAGTTTTCTAGAAAAATTTGTAGAGTTTTACCTTTAGGACTAGTAAAAACAGTTTCGAAGCCTTATTATTTGGTTTTGGGTTAGAAAAAGGTTGATTGCCCCGCTCCCGATAATGTGAAAGAACCGGAAAACTGGTTAGAAGCATTTTCTAGGCTTGAAAATAGTGGGTTCTTAGATATTTTTGAGCTGGCTGATTCAGCGTCGTCACCCGGAATTCCCCGGCTTCAAGCCCGGATTTTTAGCACTTCTGCAAGTTGGGGTGTTGCTAGGCGCAGCCGGAGGCTTATCCCATTAGTATCGGGCGACGGCGCGGCTTGCAACAACAAAGCAACCCTAAAGGGCGCCCCTAAACAATGTGGCCCTCGAGAAGCCGTCGCGCTCTTTTTGGTGCGGGACCCTAGTTGAGATGAGGGGTGGGGGGCAGCAGCAAGAAACATCTGTGCCATATGGGCGATGGATGCAGTCTGCGCGCGGGGGGACTTTATGCCCGACTAATGGGTCATTTATGGCTCTTCCCCCGTCGGGTTGGAGATGATCCCCCGAGCCATGGCGACGACGGCCGGTTTTTCGGGGGCTGCTGGCGTTTAGGGATCAGCTAGGCGGCTGGGAAGGTAGAATTTTGTGGAATCTGGAGTTATGACTTGCGCTTTTTAGATATAGCGAAAATTATAGGAAAATTCCTGCTTTTTGTGCAGCTGTAGCCGTAAATTCGATGAAATTAGGCTACAATTGGCTGGTGTGGTGCATCATCCAGTCCCGGAATTATGACGTACGACCTTTCCTCGCGTCCGGCTAGGCGTCGCTGAAAAACGCGAAATTCCCATAAAATTCGAAGCGCGATGGATCTTTTGTAGCTAGATTTTTTTGCCACCTTCAGGTCATGCTCCCCTCAAATCCGAGTCCTCCTGCTACGGTGGGCACCGTGTGGTCATTGTCCTCCTCTATGCGGGTTGTTGGCCTTGGGGGTGGCCGTTCTCCGTGTTCCTCCTCCTCCTCCTTCTCCCCCTCAGCACACCATGGCCATGGAAAGAATGGCGTCTATTCAATGGGGGGGGCCTTTTCGTCAGGGTCACCTTTCCGACGGCGCGCCCAACACCAACACTCCACCAATTCCACCACCCGCCGCCCAATCAATTACCCTTATTGAGGGGGCCCGAAAGTGGTGCCGCGCTGCCTGGAAGTAGCGTGAGAGATGGAATGCGCTGGAGGGACGCAGCGACGTCAAGTTGTGCAATCGAGTTACCGTCCCCCGTCATGCCCGTTCATCTCGGTGCGCCAGTTGGGGTACAGACCCCCGGCGCGTGCCCCTCGGAAATGGCCACTTAGCCTCCTTCCACATCCATCGGGGGCGCTAGTCTCTACTCTTCCTCTCCTCCATCTCCTCCCCTTCGCGTTGTCCACTATTGCACACTAACTAAGGGTAATTACAGGGTAGAGCCACTGGGCGCAGCGCCGGGTTGGAGACGCGCAGAAAGGGGGTGTCTTGGCATCTTCACGCTAAGGGTTTTGCGGTTCTGATGGGTACGATGCGGGGGGAAGGGCCCCACTTTGCCTAGATTAGTCGGCTGGCACCACAGCGTCACTAGTTTTGCGGGTTCTAAAGCATTTCGGGGACTGAAATTGTCGTTACAGCTTACGTAAAATCGCTAAAAATGACGGGAATTCTATTAAAATCTAGAATTTTGGGACATCTTTGCTTTTTAGGCATTTTCGGATTGGAATTTAAGTAATGATCTAAGGAACTCGAATTTCGTGCCTCAAAAACAGCTCCCCGCCGAATCGGGCGCTTCTTTTGCTCATTTCCGCCCTAGAAATTCCTCTAAAAATCTTCCCTAAAGCCGTAAAGAGTGCAATAACCTCCTTCTCCTCACCAATTGGTGCCCCGTTGAAATAACGATTACGTGGCACTGATCGCTGCATCTGATGAGTGGAGGATGGGCACCTGTCACTCCTTCTGCTCGCTAGCTACCTACTCGGCGGATTTGGCTGTCTGTCCACCCGTGGCCCGTTGCCAGATATACAACCTTATCCCCCGTCCTGGCTATCTTTGTTACGCCATCGCCCAATCCGGGCAGCTGTTCGTTTCGGATCGGCAATGCAAAGTGAGAGTAACCGGGGCCCCTCTCCTGCTCCCTTGATAATTGATGTCTTGGGTGTGGAACAAGCGGGTGATCGAGAGATTCGCGAGAAAAAATTGCTGCAACGCCGGCCAAGTGAAGCCTAGAAAAAATGGGGGGTTGTTGAACAATGTGAAAAACGGCGCAAAACCTTTAAAAAAATGTTATTAATTCCTCTGTTTCCAGGTTCCGCATCAACCGCGAGTCTGACCCGAAGCGCCAGTTCATGATCGACCAAGATGGGACGCTGAAGGTGGCGAATATGCTGGATCGCGAGGACATTGCCGTCTACCGGCTCATCATCGAGGCGTTTGATGCCGGTGAGAAATTGTTTATTTACAATCAAATTTCTGGGGGATTTCTAAGAAGCATTTCGGTCATTTTTTCCGGATTCCTGCAGACTTTTCTAGTGATGGACCTAATTCCCATTTTTTTCAGCTGGCAACGTCGGCTCTCAAATGGTGATGGTCTACCTGCAAGACGTGAACGATAACGGCCCTATCCCCTACACGCAGCCCGACCCATGCATTTTCATGGAGAACACGCCGCCGGAAGCCCAGCCCGTGTGCATGATTTTTGCCCGCGACGCCGATACAGCGTAAGGTTTTGCGCGATTTTTGGTGCTTACCGCTTATCGGGGGGACGCCAACCCCGTTTTAGTGATTACATGCCTACTTAGTCGTTTGCATAACGAAAAATTATAAAGATTTTTGGGACGTTTTTCATAAATTCTAGCAAAATAATCAAATTTTTGAACGTGTTTTTGATGTTTTTATGATTAAAAACGTGGTCCCCCTCCGTTAAACGGCGAACACCGCCATTTGTGTCGAACTGTCGAATTGATCCTGCGATGAAAATTACTATTACTTTTTTTCCAGTGAATACGGGCCGCCCTTCCGCTTTGAGGTGAACCAAGGCAAATTCAAGTACCAGAAGTACCTCGGCATCTCGTTCGACCCGACCGGCGACGGAGGCAACGGCTCGATGATCGTCCGCCCGACCACCCAATTCGACCGCGAGGCCGACGAGCCGGGCAAGATCCTCGAAATCCCGCTGATCCTCTCCGACAAGGCGGGCAAGACCAACGAGCAGAGCGTGTACATCATCATCGGTGATGAGGTAAAAATCGCGGTTTCTTATTTTATAATCTCAATTTAGAACGACAACCCGATGAACGACGGGCAGAAGGCGATCACGGTCAACTCGTACCTGGGCAAGCTTCAGAAGACCGTCATCGGGCGCGTCTACGTCAACGACAAGGACGACTGGGACCTGCCGGACAAGCGCTTCACCTGGAAGAAGTCGGTGCCCGGCTTCGACTTGAGCAACGTCGGCGGCGAGGTTCGTTTTAATTTTTGCGCATTTTCGAATTTTAATCAAGTCTAATCCCCATTTTTCAGATTACGATGGACGCCGACATGCGCCCCGGGACCTACAGCCTGGTCGCCGAGGTGGTCGACGTCGTGCGCAACGAGAGGGCTGAGGGCCGAGTGGACGTCTCCGTACAAGCCGTCGACCAGACCGAATTCGACTCGCAGGGCTCGATCCAGCTGCTCCTCTCCCACGAAACGGCCATCCAATACCCGTCGGATTTGATTCGAGTGAGTGAATTTTTCTGTTTTAATTTAACTTTTTCGGTTCTTTTTTCGCATTGAAACGTACTTTTGTTTTGTCTAAAAGAAGAATAAAATGCTTACGAAATATTTTTCGTTTCAGGACTCTTCCGGCTCGTCACCGCTCGACATTTTCAAGAGCGAAGTCGCCTCATACATCGGTGCCGGGGCCCTCGTCCAGGTGTTCGCTGTCCAGCTCGACCACGCCACGCTGCAGACGGGCCCACCGGTGCCCGTTGTGACCGTTCGATTTGCGGTCGCCGCCAACAACCAGTACAGGCGAGTTTTTACGGCATTTTTCTAGGGTTTTGAAGCGTTTTTCGGCAAGCATAGGATTTTTGACTTTATTGCTTTTTCAGGGATCCTGCTATGTTGCAAGGACTGCTGGCCTCCCGTCGTACCCGTCTGCAGCAGAAACTCGGCACGATCGTCGTCAGCGTCGGCGTCGACATGTGCAAGTTCACAACTTGCGACACCGGATGCCGAACCGAGAACACGGCCACATTTGTAAGTTTTCCACTTTGTGGCGCTGTCCTTGCATTTCGGCTTTTATGGCGTTTTATTCTTTTTCCAAACCCATTTTTAGGATGGCGTTCTCGTCGAAGCCAACGCCACCGCGTTCGTCGGCGTGAACGCAAAGTCGACGGACAAGTGCGAGTGCCCGGTGTGGGATTCGCCCGCTCAATGCCGCCACGGTCTCTGCCACAACGGAGGCGTGTGCCACAACACGAACCCCGGCTTCTTCTGCGAGTGCCGCAACGATGAGCTGAAGGGCCTGCGATGCCAAGGGACCACTCGATCGTTCTCCGGCAACGGCTTCGCATGGTACAAGAATATGCCCGCCTGCACGGCCCTCGACATTTCCCTCCAATTCCTCACCAGGTGAATATATTTTTTTTATTTCTGATTGGCTATCTAGCGGTGATCTTTTGAGAATTGGCTGGCGGCTTCAACGACCATTTTTCAATCATTCGTTTTCCAGCCATTCCGACGGCCTGCTCCTCTACAACGGTCCGATGTCAGACAGCTCGGATCGCTACGAAATCGAATACCGCGACTACATCCTTCTGGCGCTGCGCGGTGGCCAAGTCGTGCTGGAGATGAACATGAACGGGCAGGCCTCCTCCAACGTCACCGTGCAATCCGGGTCGCTCAACGACGGGAAATGGCATGATGTACACATACGACAAGACGGCCGCTACATCGAGCTGGTCGTCGATGGGTGCCGGTATTTGACTGGCGGAGCTGATGGACAGGTTTGTTTTGTTTCTGCTATCTTGCTGTCGTTTTTGGGCTCGTTTTACCCCCGCTTTTCCAGGTCGATGATCGGTCGTGCCGCGCCACTCTGGTGACCCGCGATGACGACGAGCGCCTGAACATCGTCACCCCGCTACAGATCGGCGGCCTGGCCCCGCTGCAAAATCAGAACTACCCGCCGATCATCGCCCAACAGACCGGACTGCAGGGCTGCGTCCGGAATCTGATCGTCAACAACGACCAGTACGATCTGGCCACACCCGCGTATGAACAGGTATTTTTCGCGTTTCAAGCTTTGAAAATTGCTTTTTTTAGAACTCGGAGCGCGGATGCAAGCTTTGGGGCTCGGCGTGTGACGCGAACACGATCGACTCGGTCAGCCACTGTATCCACGGCGACTGCTACGCGGATGTGGAGGCGAGTTTTCATTTCATTTCATCCGCTTTTTTCTGAGCTTTCCATTACAAATCCTTCTTTTTCAGGGCACACCAAAATGCATCTGCGACCCCGGCTACGGCGGCGATCGCTGCGAGAAGAAACTGGACTGGGTACAATTCGGCGTGAACAGCTACCTGGAGTACAGCGTGATGAACGCGATGCTGGACGAGCAGTGGACCGACGTGGATTTGCTGTTCATCCCCGGCAGGACGGCCTCGTCAGCGGAATTGTCGTACGGCTCGGATGGGCTGAGCAGCTACGTCTCTAGCTCCGTCGAGGGCCAGATCCCGACCGCCAATATTTTTATCCAGGTGCGTGGTTGTAGTTTGTAGTTTTCGATATAAATTTTTGGATCCAGAATTTGTCATTATTTTCTCCAACTCATCCTGAGTCCAATTTTTTAGAACAACGCGCAGCCGGGCACCACACCGATCACCCTGCAACTACCGGGCGTGCAGCTGAAGGAGAACGTCTCGTACTGGATGCAGCTGGAGCGGAACCCGACTCGTGCACAGCTCGCCGTCGACGGCTCATACATTGATCGACAACCCTTGGACCCTACGAAGCAATCGTTCGCGTTGGCCATCAAGGATTTGCTGTTCTCGTCGAAGGGCCAGGGATCGGCAAGAGGATTCCAGGGATGCGTCGGCACATATAGGTACGTTTTTAATACGGAATATGATTTCTAACTTGTTCATTTGAGATGGAACAAGATTCAATTGCCGCTGACGAAGGCCGACGACACATCGGCCAACGCGCTCATCCACCTGGCCTCGGACACGGGCGTGACGAAGGGCTGCTCGCTTCGCTCAACCTGCCAGACGGTCCCCTCCAACTACTGCGGCGGCTCATTCATCTGTCTCGACTTCTGGAAGGGCCCGTTCTGCACGTGCCCCGAAGGTGCTAACGTCATTCTCGCTGATGATGGACAGGTATCGCACTTTTTCCACGTTTTCCCGTCGTTTTGCATTTCTTAACGGCAAATTAATTTTCGTTTTTTAGGTGATCGGTTGCGGGGAGCAGCTAGCCGTGTCTCGGCTCGGCATCTCCTCGCCGGCCATCATCCTCATCCTCGCCTTCCTGCTGCTCCTCATCGCGCTGGTGATGTCGATGGTGTTCTACTCTCGGCGGCAAACCCCTCCATTCGAGCAAGTGCGGCCCGAGGATTTGAACAGGCAATTTTTCAGCTTTTTTCCAAATAATCCGTTTTTCTCCAGGGACAACCTGCGCCCGTACGCGATCGAGGGCGGCGGTGAAGCGGACACGGATCAATACTCGTTGGCCCACTTGCGGAAGCCGGTAATGCCGTTGGATGGAAGTAACGGCATTGGACACTCTATCGCGCCTCCCGTCTACCCAGATCGTCGAGGGCCAGTCGGTACGTGATTTTACCAGTTTCTGATACGTTGTTTTCTCTTCTTTCTCTTTTCATAATTCTGATCTTTCAGATGACGCCCTTCGATCGAGACTACGCGAGCTCGAGTCGGACCCGAACTCGGCGCCTTTCGACGAGCTGAGGGTGTACGAAGATGAGGGGGACAACGTCTCGATGGTCACCCTCGAAAGCCTCGAATCACAAGTCGGAGCCGGAGCTGGAGGAGGAGCGCATCCGGCCGCCACACAAGAATGGGGTCCTCGATATCCATAGTTGTGTTCCCCCATCTACACGTTTTGTACCTTGCTCCTTTGTCCATATCGTGTTCCCACATTGCTTGCCCTTCCCCTTGCATTGAAAAGATTTTCACTTGCTGTCTCTTGGCCGGGTCGTACGGGTATACTATGTTGCTCTCTCAAGCCATCTTGTGTTTGCTATAATGTTCTCTTCTTGGTTTCTCTCGCCTACATGGTGCCCCCCTGGTGAATGCGTCGTCCCTTCCTATTTATTATTTTTGTATGTTTATATCCTTTTAAAGGAGCTCTTCAAGAATCCCTTCCTCTTCAAGAAGCCAGGTCACACTCCTAATCCCTCTATTCGAATCCATCCATTTGTGATTTTTTTTTGGCTCTTTGCGACGATCATCTCCATCCAATGGTCCTTTTCAATTTGTGATGATGAGTGCACGAAATACATTTTATTGATCGAGATACGTTGTATGCGAAAATGCAAATCGTCAGTGACGCAAAGAGTATTACAGAGCTACAATTTTTTATTCATGGCGCATTGAGAGTTGAGAGAATGACTGGGAATTCATGGCGCCGTCACGTTCTCTGCGCGATTCACTCAAATCCCCATTCGACTTCGATTCTTCGTGCGACAAAGGGCCATCGGCTTTTCGCGCAACATCCTTTCCGGGCTTTGTAAGGGCGCTTAGGATATAGAATTATTCTTGGCTTTTGTAGCGATTTGGGGCAATTCCTGGCAACTGGAGTGAGGAATTCTGGTTCATCGTGCGTGATTTAACCCAGAAATTAGGCATTCGACTCTTCGGTTATGCACACAGCAAATAGGGTAGAATTCTAGCGCAACTTGAGGCAATCTTTACTGAAAGGCCCACATTGGTATAGTATGTCGTGAGGACGGTTTGGGGCTTTATTGCCTTTTAGAGCTCGTGCGCGCGCTGAGAGGCCGTCAGCCCATTAGTAAGCCAGAGACGTTCATTTTAGGTGCGCGTCAGGATGGTGCTAAACGCTGCATTTCTGGAATGTTGTAACGGTGGATCAACCGTTGAGCATTTCGATCTAAGCCTTGTAAACTTGGGGCGTGTTTTTCCCATTTGCACCTATACTGACGCCTTTACATATATAGCGGCGGTTCTGGTTGCATCCGTTGCCTCAATGCCGTTTTTCAGGTGAAGGTGAACGTCTTTTCACATTTTCATCGCTGCCCCAACTTTATATTCAATAAATACATGGGATTGATCGGGATACGTTGGATGCCAAAATGCAAATCGTCCGTTACGAAAAGAATATTACAGAGCTACAGCTTTTATGCATGGCGCATTGAGAGTTGAGAAGATTGGAAATCCATGGCCTCACCTCCCCTTGCGCTAACCCAAATCATGCCAGTTTTTTTGTTCGACACCGCGCTCCATAGACTTTCGAAGTATTTAGCCGTGTGGTATATTTGGCCATCAGGGCGTTTTTACAGTTCTTGATGGGCCTTTCTCGAGTTTATAGGATGGGATGCCGGTCTTTAACAAGGCTGTACGGGAACGGAGAATTTTTGGCAAGCCTGACGCGCGGAACGATGATCCTTTAGGAGAGCGGATTGACGAGCAAAGGGCTAAGGAAGGATCAGCGAGCGGAGATTCTCGAAATACATCGTCGCAACTGCCCCCCTAGTCGATATCCATCGGCAACGCGTTGTTGCTTGTTATTCAAGAGCTTTCCCCGACTTATAACGAAAAGGAAAGGTTTTGGTTGGTGGGTTGGGTCGAGGGCAACGTGAAAAAAGTCAAGTGGGGCCCAATTTTGGCGATAAAAGTTAGAACTAGGTGCATTTTCGAAGCCTGGTTTAAGAACTGCCGTCTCTAAAACTAATTTTGGTTCCTGATCGCGCTTTTACATGCCTTAACGGCTGTTTTCTTGAGCAACGATCCTCAGGTGCCATACCGGGAGCGCTGAACGTTTGCAACATGCCCAATACCATCATATTGACCAATTCCCCGAATACCGCCACCAGCTCGCTTGTTTTTTTTTTTGCTGTTGTTCCAATTTCGACACTGATTATGGCCGGGGGGGAAGCGCGAACGGGATGCGGGATAGGAAACGCCTTCCGGGTGTATGGTATCTGGGTTCTCACGGTTTGCAGCTTGCCAGCGCCGCTGAAAGTTTCGAAAGAAAACCCCTGATTGTTTTTGCGATTCTATTCTTTTTACCGGCAAACTTACAAAACGCTACGCGCTTACGGGAGTACGATTACACCAATGACGAATTTCGTGCGGTGCAGTGCAGTGGAAAGTAGTTGCCCGGGTTTCGCATTTTTCAAAACCATTCGTTGTGCTCCCCGCTTTCAAATTCTTGCTGTAATCTATCTCTACTATATCTAAATTTTTAATGTCCGTACGCCCGACCGATCGGGAATTCAATCCCGCCGCGATCCCCGTACCCTAGTTGGCGGCTCAAAATTTTCACCGGAGCCGCAGCGTTTTGTCTTTTTGCCCCGCCAGGGCCAGGGCAGAAAAATATCGTTTAAAATGGGATTCTAGCCATTCAGAAGTTTTAGGATGTTTTTATTATCTAAAAAAGGGAAATAACTTGAGAGTTGAACAAGACAGACCTGTTGGTTGACATTTTTTTCTTTTTCGGCAGGCATAGAATTTTTGACTTTATTGCTTTTTCAGGGATCCTGCTATGTTGCAAAGACCGCTGGCCTCCCATGTTACCCGTCTGCAGCAGAAGCTCGGCACGATCGTCGTCAGCGTCGGCGTCGACATGTGCAAATTCACCACCTGCAACACAGGATGCCGCACCAAGAACACGGCCACATTTGTAAGTTTTCCATTTTTTTTGCTGTCCTTGCATTTCGCGTATTATTGCTGTATCTTTTTCAAACTCATTTTTTCAGGATGGCGTTCTCGTCGAAGCCAACGCCACCGCGTTCGTCGGCGTGAACGCAAAGTCGACGGACAAGTGCGAGTGCCCGGTCAATTCGCCCGCTCAATGCCACCACGGTCTCTGCCACAACGGAGGCGTGTGCCACAACACGAACCCCGGATTCTTCTGCGAGTGCCGCAACGATGAGCTGAAGGGCCTGCGATGCCAAGGGACCACTCGATCGTTCTCCGGCAACGGCTACGCATGGTACAAGAACGTGCCCGCCTGCACCGCCCTCGACATTTCCCTCCAATTCCTCACCAGGTGAATATATTTTTTTATTTATTTCTGATTGGCTATCTAGCGGTGATCTTTTGAGAATTGGCTGGCGGCTTCAACGACCATTTTTCAATCATTCGTTTTCCAGCCATTCCGACGGCCTGCTCCTCTACAACGGTCCGATGTCAGACAGCTCGGATCGCTACGAAATCAAATACCGCGACTACATCCTTCGGGCGCTGCGCGGTGGCCAAGTCGTGCTGGAGATGAACATCAACGGGCAGGCCTCCTCTAACGTCACCGTGCAATCCGGGCCGCTCAACGACGGGAAATGGCATGATGTACACATACGACAAGACGGCCGCTACATCGAGCTGGTCGTCAATGGGTGCCGGTATTTGACGGGCGGAGCCGATGGACAGGTTTGTTTTGTTTCAGCTATCTTGCTGTCGTTTTTGGACTCGTTTTACCCCCGCTTTTCCAGGTCGATGACTTCCCATATACATCGTTTTTTTTCAGGGTACACCAAAGCGCATCTGCGACCCCGGCTACGGCGGCGATCGCTACGAGAAGAAACTGGCCTGGGTACAATTCGGCGTGAACAGCTACCTGGAGTACAGCGTGATGAACGCGATGCTGGACGAGCAGTGGACCGACGTGGATTTGCTGTTCATCCCCGGCAGGACGGCCTCCTCGTCGGAAGGGTCGTACGGCTCGGATGGGCTGAGCAGCTACGTCTCTGCCTCCGTCGAGGGCCAGATCCCGACTGCCAATATTTTGATCCAGGTGCGTGGTTGGAGTTTGTAGTTTTCGATATAAATTTTTGGATTCAGAATTTGTCATTATTTTCTCCAACTCATCCTGATTCTATTTTTTTTAGAACAACGCGCAGCCGGGCACCGCACCGACCACCCTGCAGCTACCGGGCGTGCAGCTGAAGGAGAACGTCTCGTACTGGATGCAGCTGGAGCGGAACCCGACTCGTGCACAGCTCGCCGTCGACGGCTCGTACATTGATCGACAACCCTTGGACCCTACGAAGCAATCGTTCGCGTTGGCCATCAAGGATTTGCTGTTCTCGTCGAAGGGACAGGGATCGGCAAGAGTTTTCCGGGGATGCGTCGGCACGTATAGGTACGTTTTTGAGATATTGTTTCCTCTAGTAATAAATCATAATAGCAGCGTCCTACCTTGTCCCTTTTAGATGCCAAGGGCCGTTGATGTTGTTGGTGATGTTGGCGTTGATCGGATCGGCTTCTGCAGCTGGGCTTCAGTGAGTTAATACATATTTTGCTGATGAATTTCCCTGGTTGGTATGTAATACCTTTTTCAGAGAATGGGAGCGTCTCAGCTCAACCCTTTGGGCCTGGTTGTGGACACTTGTGGGTGTTTTTGCGGGACGGCCCGTCGATGAGCTGATCAAGAGTTACTCGCTGGAGAGCCGGGCTTATTGGCTGGGAGTCGGCCTGGGCGCCGGCGCGGCCGCCTACCTCTTTTATTGTTGGGTAGCTTATCGACGGACCGCGGAAAGAAGCCCATATTTCGAATTGGTGGGTGATTGCTTCGATACTTGCTTTATATCACCGCTTCTAATTTTGCTTTTTTACCGTATTCTATTTTTAGCCCGTCCCCCTGTACCGATGCGTCGCGAGAAACTGCCATTGCCCTCCTGTACCTGGTAAGTTTTTGTCCGCTCCTTTCATGGTTTTTTAGAGAGACTTTGCCTCGTTCGGGAATGCGAAGAGCTGGGCTGCCACCGCCTTTTTCACCACGATTGCATCCCGATTAGTGTTTTGGTGAGCGCTTGGCTACTTTGAATTCATGGTTCTAAAAATTTTAGCTGGCCCAGCGCGCTGGCGAGGATCGAAAGCTCTACTGCAGGGACTGCCTGCGAAGACGCCAATAGAAAAACAATTCCTTATTATTTATAATTCCTTATAATTACGTTGTTTTTCTCTGGTATTCGGTCAACACTGTGATTTCGTGATCTGTTTTTCTGTGTATGCCCGGGTTGGGTATTCTGTGGGAACTCTGGTATTCGGTCAATTTCTTAATGTGTATGCCTTCTTTCTATGTGTATGCCCGGGTTGGGTACCGATAGGGGGTAGCCGTGCCGGTAGAAGGATTTTTTTGTCGGGTGAAGAATCAATCGGTCACGGTTCAATTTGGCACGCTTTCTGGTCGTAGCTTATTAGCTATTTAGTTTCGACAGTATGTGAAGTTATGTGGGTTTATAGTTTCAGGTGAACTTTATGTGGGTGCTTTATTCCGGGAAGGTTTGGCTTTGTTAGGGTAATTACAATTCACGATTTGCGCATTCAGAAAATCGCGAAAAAAGTTCACGATAGTCGGATTTTTTTAGCTAGAAGGCTACTAGGCTACGGGTTCGAAACGTGCCGGACATTGTTAGGACGATTCATCGAGCATATTACTACCGTTAACTAGCACAGCCGAATATCGCAAGGGTTTTGCCCTCCTGTTGCGCAACCTGCAAATAAAAAAATCCATAAGCTATGAGAAAAACCCGCGTTAGGTGTCGCCGCGGGCGATTCATACCTTCAGTCGGCAAAAAACAAAACTTTTGATAGATTATACCTTCTCCCCGCAGTGTTCTGAAACTGAGATTCATTCATATCTTCTGCAAATTTTGATACCTTTTACCGGCATATATTCTCTATCCGTGCAAGTTGATGCCCAATTATCGACAGCGCAAATAAAAGATTTGCCTTCTATCAAGATTACCATTGCGCTTAATGCCATTTAGCATAATTTTTATTCCGCATAACTGTCATCTCGCATGACGATTACTCCGCATAGCGCTATGGATTCGAGAGAGTGAGAGAGGTATTCGTTTTTGGTACTATTCAAGTTTGGGGCGGGGCAAAAATTGTTTAGGTGATTTTTTAGGCTACTTGATTAGTTTTTCGCGGCTGATCAAGCGAATTGTTCTACTCCTAAGCTAAGCCAAGCCCTCAGTTAAATCGTGCTTAAACAGAGGAAAGCCAAAGCCAAAATCAGTGAAACTATGAAAAGCTAAGCTACGGCGAGGGTACTTCACACCGCCCAGAAGCTAAGCCTAAGCTTAGGCTAAGCTAAGCCTGCGCTTAAACTAGGCCATTACTAAGCTAAGCTCAAAGAAAAACTAAGAATAATGACCAAAAATGACCCTAAAAAATCTTGCCCCCCGAACTTGAATAGTACCTCGTTTTTCTATGGATTGCCGGTATCGCGGGGGGGTGCGGGGGTGGCGTAATATTTTGATCTAGAAATGCCTAGCAACTGAATGGCCAGTATTTTATTAGTTTTTTTTGGTAAAATATGTTTATTTTGATAATGTTTCTAGTAGTTTCCGCTAACCTAAAATTTAAAAAACAGTTATCCTAGAGTCAACAAAATGTAGGGGTTTAGCTAGTTTTTAACCATTTTCATACGCGTTAGACCGAAAAGGCAAAAAATTTCAACATGTTTATGATGGATTTTTTTAATTTCTCCTCCCGCACTAACCGTCCGGAACCACTTGAAACGGCGTACAAGCCTATAAAAACGGTAGACTTTACTTAGTCGACCGGCAGAAGATCATAGAAAAACCTTTTTAGTGTTGCTTTCTAAGGTTTTATAGGCATTTTCGCTATGCCATTTTCTGTTTTTTTTTGCTATTTAAAAATTTATTGCTAAATTAAAAACTAGAAATTTTCTTCCCAAAGTTGCTAAATTTGGCATTTTTTCAAATTTTTGGAGGTTTTTAACCTTTCAGAACTATGGTAAAAACACTAAAACACGTTGCGAAACTGAAAACGCAAATTTTCCGGCATTTCGAGGGCATTCTGATGCTGAAAAAAAATAATCGGACCCTAGTCCACGCCACGTCTAGCGTTTCAACCTCAAAAAATGTTTTTCAGGACAGCTCGATCGTGTTGTGGGAGACAGAGACGGGCCTCTTTCGCCTCAACGGCCACAAGGAATCGATCACACACGTCGAATTCACGCGCGACGACAAGCGCCTCGTCTCGGCCTGCAAGGACACTTTTGTCAAATTCTGGGATGTGGCCTCGCAAAGCTGTTTCTACACGCTCACCGAGAGTCGATCTGAGGTGCTTTTTCATAGATAGCTACTAACTTTCATTTTTCTAGATCTACTCGTTTCTGCTGTTGAAAGAGGACACGATGCTCATCGTCGCCACCTCCGAACTCGAGCTGTACATTTTTGACCTGACGTGGTTGAGCGGGGAAGAAGGTCATCTACCGCCTGGCGAAGATGGACCGGATTCGAAGAAGCCGAAAGAGACGCTGAAACATCTCGACGGCCCACAACTGCTCGGCGATTGCGAGAATGTGAGTGTTCTGCTGGTTTTGGTCCTTTTTTTCTTCCTTTTCGAGGTGTCGACGTGTGAATGTCTCGAGAAACCACGGCATTCCACGGGGGCACGGATAGGACCCCCCGGGGCCGCGGCGCAATCGGTTAGCGCCGATCCCAAATCTCAAACAGAGGGTCCGGGTTCGACCCCCGGGACCAACGTGAAACCGCTATTTCTCCCCAAAACCTTTGCCAAGCTTTTGCGTTTTGCTTAAGAACTGTGCTCCAGCCATTGAAAACTGCTAAAACAATAAGGATCTGGAAAAATTAACCCGATCAAAAAGAGACGGTTGATCCACTGGCGTACATTTTCGCAAAACAGTCACTTGGAGCCATTTTAAGCGTCGATTTCACGCACTGGGGGGTAATCGACGTTGATTTTACCAAATCTAGGCTCAGATTTCAGCGACAATGCTTGGTTTCTGCGCTATTTAAAAACGCACAAAATCCTGAACTGAACTTCAAAAGACCATCACAAAAAAGTACCAGAATAGATTTTCGATAGTTAGGTCTCAAAATCTGCGCCTTGGCGTCTAGTGTATTTAAATCTAATTGAGTTTCTAATTTTTCTATTACATTTCGAGAAAAATCCAGTTTTGTCCAAAAGTTTGTTGATTTTCGAACAAAAACGTAGCGAGCGCGCTGTCCCCTTGTGCAAGGGAGCCTGCCGTAGCCCAAAAGCTATCCGTGCCTGCCTGTTAAAGCCTGGAATGGCGTGAAACGCGACGCGCACGAGGGACCGATTTGGGCATTGGTCCGACTGCCAGACAATACGGTACGCGACTCGTCTCACTCTTTCCAATCCCCCATTCAGGGTTTCGTGACCGCCTCCGCCGACAAGAAGCTCAAGTTCTGGGGCTACGACCTCGTCAGCGAGGGCACACAGTGAGTTTCGGGCTGCTGGGCGTGCGGACGCGTCGCATGTGCCCTTCTCTATGGATTTCTGAGGTTTCTGAGGGCAAGCGACGCGTCCGCTACGCGTTCATCGGCCGCTCTCGATTTATACAGGATCCCAAATAATCCCTTGGAAAGGCGAGCCGAAAGTTGCTGTCCGGTTTTGGAATTTCCCAAATTGTTTTTTTTTAGATATTCGATCGAATTCCTGTGTTTGGTTTTTTTATAAACCGTTGAAATTAGATTGCCGAGCATAAATTTACCGGACGCGGCGCAAATTCGCTATCAGAATATCGAAATTTCACAATGACAAAATACGTAGTGAATTTTTTAAACAAAAAAAAATCGCTCGAAATACACATTTTGAAATTTAACCTCTTAATGTTTGAAATGTTAGAATTCATCTTTTTCAGAAATAACTGCTTTTGTTACGATGCGCCTCTGGAAAAAGCTTTTCCTATCAAATTCCTTTTAAAGCTCGCAATTTCTCATTTTTTAAATTGTAGGTGGTTTTGAGAAAACAGAGCTTTGGCCGATTAAATATCGGTTTTTCCAAGTTTTTTTCAAAAAGGGTCTAAAATATGGCATCAAAAATACGAAAAACGGCGCGCAATACAGCAGCTTTTTTTAAAGAAACGATGTTTTTTTAGAAACATTTTTCTTGCAGAAAACGGCTGGCGATGCGCGAGAAGCGTGTGCTAGAGTTGCGGGACGAGGCGCGGTGTGCCGCCATCACCCCCGACGGTCCGTTTGCCAGCATTCGCGCGGAATTCCCTCGTTTTTCAGGCAAATTCCTGATCGTGGGCCTGCTCGACATGACGGCCACCGTGTTCTTCGTCGACACGCTCAAGTTCTACCTGTCACTCTACGGCCACTCGATGCCCGTCACCTGCTGCACGACAAGCCCGGTATGGGGGGTGGGGGGTTTGCCGGGGAAACGGTGAAAATGCCGACAAATGAAACGTCGATAGATGGATCTTTTGAGCGCCGAAATACCGACAAAGGAAATTGCGACACCCCAAAATGCCGACAAATTGCAATACACACAAGCGCGAATTTTGACCGCATCATTTGGGCCGTCGGCATTTTCCTCTTCGATATTTCGCCTGTCGGCATTCCTTTCCATTTCCCAACATTTTGGCGGTCGGCATTTTCGCTATCGCAGTGTCAAAAGTCACGATTTTCCACCCCGCGGCCTTCCAAATGTCGGCATTTCAGTCGTCGCATTTTGTTTTGTCGGTATTTCCAGCTTTGATCCCGGGATTGTCGGCATTTTCATGTCAGAATTTCACCTTTTCGGCGTTTTGGCCGTCTGTATTTCAAAAGCGATCAGCTGTTTCAAAAGGAATCGAGCTTTCGGAGTGGGGGCAGGGGCAGGCTAGCAGCGGAAATTTGGGTAAAATTATCGATTTTTCGTTACTAGAGGCGCTGTTCGGATTTTGTACATTTCAGGACAACAAGCTGGTGGTGACCGGATCGGCCGACAAGACGATCAAGATCTGGGGCCTCGACTTTGGCGACTGTCACAAGAGTTTCCAAGCCCACGATGAAGCGTCAGTTTTTCATTTTTCTCTTCCTCTCTCTCTCTCTCTCTCTCTCTCTCTCTCTCTCTCTCTCTCGCTCAAAATCTATCTTTTTTAGCGTCTCCGCGGTGCTGTTCTCGCCAAGTGATGAGATGCTCGTCTGGTCGGCGGGTCGAGACGGAAAGGTGAATTCTCCCGTTTTTCTCCGTATCTCTAAATTCAGATTCGGCAGTGGGACGCCGTGAAATTCGAGGCGGTGCAGAAGCTGGACAGACACACGGCCGAGATGAGGGCCCTGGCGCAGACGAGCAATGGAAATATGCTGTTGACGGCCTCACACGATCGATCGATTCGTGGATGGGAATTGACCGAGGAGATTATTGTGCTGCAGGAAGAGGAAGAGGTCGAACGCGAGGTATCTCCTCATTTTTACGCTTTTTTTGCGTCCCGGTTTCCCTAATTTTTCTGCTAATTTAATGTTAATTGAATTCTACTTTGGCCAAAAAGACGATAGCTGACTCGCAAAAATCACCGATTACGCGATATAATTCCACGAAAAAACCGGTTACGACATCTAATTCCGCGAGACAGAGTCTAATTGATTACGCCGCAAATTTGGGCAAGGGACATTCGATTACGACGTGTAATTCGGTGGTGGAGGAGGGGTAATCGCTTACGGCGTTCAATTTCCCGGGCAAATGGGATTATGATCGGGATTTCTCGAGGGGGGGACCTGATTAGGGCGTGTAATTACACGGTTACGTTAGAATCGCTTACGGCGTGTAATTATTAGGGTAAAATCGCTTACGGCGTTCAATTCCCCGGGCGAAATCGATTACGATAGGTTTTGCTCGCGGGCGAAATCGATTACGGCATGTAATTATGAGGCCTGTGTTGTAGTCAATACAGGATTTCTATGTAAAGTCGTTGGTTTCAGAAGCTGTACGAGGAGAAGCTGGCCGATGACGAGGATGTGGTGGCTGGAGAGAAAAAGGATAGTGAGGCCACGGTGGCTGAGAGGAAGAGCGAGCACACAATTATCGCTGTCAGTTGTTGTCTGGCGTACTGTAATCGGGTTGTTTTTAGACGGAAAGCATCATCGAGGCCATCGACATTGTCCGAAAGGAGCGACAGGTCGACAAGGACGATTTGGAGGTACTTTTCCGGTTCTTTCGCATTATCGGGGCGGGGGCGATTTTTTCTAGAGTCTAATTTTTTAAATATAAATAGTGGGAGTGTTTCTAAACGTTTTTTGCTATTCCTAAACGTGGAAATCTTACAAATTTTCAGTAAAAAAATCAAAAACATCGAGTTTTGACCAAAAATTCGATTTTTCAAACATTTTTTAACGTTTTTAGTTAATTTTTCTGGTTGAAATATTGTTAAAGGTTGCTAAAAACACCTTTAAAACATTTTGTAATGACTTACCAGGCATTTCTAGACATAAAAAATCGTACCCCCCCGCTAAAAGTCCAGTACCCATATCTTCCAAAAAAACCCCGAAAATCGCCAATTTTCCAGCACACTCCGCACCCGCTGTACCTGGCCTACCGTAGCGCGAGTGTCGACCATTTTGTGCTGGATGTGATTGGGAAGATTCGTGCCTCATATGTCGATCGATGTCTCCTCCTATTGCCCCTCTCATATCTGGGCGATATTCTGCAGGCGATGGCCGGATGTGTGGCCAACAAATACAAGGTCGAACTGGCCAGTCGTATCGCCCTCTTCCTCATCAAGTACGTTTTGCGTTTTTTTTATTGAATTTTTGCGGCTCGTTTTAAAGGGACAGGCCAGGCAAATTTGTGAAAATTTTGGAATTTAACGGCGCTAGCGGCGCGCTAACAGTGATTGTGTTTGTTCAGGATCGAAATTTTAACAAGCCGATGTTGTGCGGAATTTTTTCGCTGATTCCAAATCTGTTCTCAGAATTTGCAGAATGGCCCTTATACCAAAGTTATGACGCATTTTTAGGGTGTTTTTGCACCGAAAAATTGCACCTTTAAATCCCGATAAAAATGTCGGAGACCAAACAAGTAAAAGTTATATGGCTCAGCAATAAACGTGCTTTCAGATGAGGTGCCCTGCCAACATTCTGCGCTAAACCCGGAAAATCGCTAGAAATTTCCACGAATTTCAACGGGCTAGAAGGCGCTTTTTTGAAAAAGTAACAAAAATTTTTATATAAGACTCACATGAAAGCGCGCATCTTGCTGAGCAAAATGCGCTTTATACCTTTTGCGTATTTGGATTCTTACGATCTTTAGGAGTTTTTTAAAAGTCGCTATTTTATTTTGTCCAAAAAATCTTAAAATTCGCTCTTACTTTCCAAATAGGTCGGCGAAAAATTCTAAAAAATTCTTATTTCGAATTTCCGTCCTGTACACTTTACACTTTACTGTAGCGGCCATGAAAATCTATTTCATCCATGCATTACGCCATGAATGCGTGTCGCCGTCACGCCAAAATTTACGGGCAATCCATGACCGTGCTGCCTTGCCTGTCCCCTTAAAACCGCCGTTTTTCCCTAGGTTTACGCTAAACTTTTGAATTTCCAGAATGCACCACTGCCACGTGACGAACAGCGTCGAGGTGGTGCCCATCGTCGGGCTGTTGCGCGCCAATTTGCCCAAGGGGATTCGGCAAATAAAGGTGGGAAACTCTCTCTCACTCGCTATCTCGCTCTCTCTCTTTCTCTCTCTCTCTCTCTCTCTCTCTCTCTCTCTCTCTCTCTCTCTATTTTCCCCTCTTTTCAGGACACGGCCAGCTTCAACTTTGCGGCCCTTCGGCTGCTGGCCAACGAGATTGAGAACAGCCAAGAGGTTGGTCAGCTACCCCTTTCCGAACAAGCACAAATTTCCCCGCGGCGGGGCGTCGAACCCGGGTCGTGCGGGCGGCAGATTGTAGTTTTTTTTGTCTGTAGGCTCCTCTCAGCGCCCATCCCGGAACCCATTACGCCATCTAAAAACGCCCACCGAATTCCATGCCGTAATCAATCCCCCAGGGTTATCCGATTACGCGATGGAATTCCGCTACCCGGGTTCGACCCCCGGCCGCGGCAAACTCTTTGCTTTTTGGAATTTAGACCTAGATTTCGATGGAAATCGGCAAACTCGCACCAAATTATAGACTATAGACTACAGGCTACAAAATGACCTCTAGCTACCCCGGGTTCGATCCCCGGCCACCCCAAACTTTTTGCTTTTTGGGATCAGGTCCTGCATTTTGGTGAAAATCGCTAAATTGACGCTTAAACTACACAGAATATAAGCTACAGGCTACAATCTGCCCTCCGAACCGCCCGAGTTCGACGCCTGGACACGACAGAATTTTTTGCTTTTTGCCGGAAACTTTTCTGCTTTGAAAGAAATTTATTTTGCCGCCTTTTTTCAGATTCGCGTCTTCTCGGATCTGTCGAAAATCGAGAAGAAGCAGAACAAGAAGAAGCAGAAGCATCAACAGCAACAGGGCACCAACAACAAGAAGGCCGTCCTCCACACACTCGCCGCCTGATTATACCAAGCCCGATTTTCGTAGTTTTTATGATTATGTTGTTATTGGAAATCTATAATTTCCCTTTCGTCATTTCCGTTGTTATTTCATTTGAGTTTCCGTTATTTGTCGCTTGTTATTGTCATTTTGTTGTTATTGTTATTGCCATTTTGTTGTCTCGTCCGCGATTAATAAATCTTTATTTCCAACCTCCAAAAATGCAGTAAATTACGGTAGAATTGGTCGTCATTTAGTCCTCGTCGCTCCACGCGTCTGCCCGTGCCGTTTCTTCGATGCCCCGTCGTGCGGTTGTGCCGAGCTTTTGGCCGAGGGCACCCCAGACGAGCAGCTGCTGATCACCGCCGGCTGATAGCAACTGAAAAAAACGGCGTTGACACGGAGATTCTTTACAAAATGTGGGCAGACCAGCAGAGAACTTTGAAAAAGATCTGGGATATTTTGCATTATCGGGCGGCGAAATTTTTTTTGCATAAGTCTAAAAATGCCTGGTAACTTAATATTAGGCTGTAGAAAAAAATAAATTTCTGTATTATGATCCATTTTCTTGAAATTAATCTGTGGACCTGACTAGGGTTGTTATATGAGTTGACTTGAATGCAAGTTAACTTGCCAAAAATTATGCAAACGGCGACTTGCCTTCGAGTTTACTTGAATGATTTGAGCTCATTTTCGTGCAAGTTATTTTCAGGCAAGTAAACTTGGGATGCAAACTCAACTTGATGGCAAAATAACTTGCCAAGTTTTGACTCGAATGCTGGCAAGTTTTTTTGGTGGCAAGTAGAGTGAGGGAGGTCTAGGCTAAAGCCTAGGCTTGCCTAGGCTTCCTCAGGCTTTTCTAATTCGCATCGCCTAGGCTGAGCCTGGGCTATGCAAAGTACGCCTGACCTCTAATTAGTCAGGCTTTATCTGGAAATTTTATGTAAAGCCGTATAATATTCGAATTTTTGCCGAAAAAATAAGGATTTTTTTGAAACTTCCGGGGGTCGAAGAGCTGTATCGGGTCCAAGAATATTCTACAAAGTTAGGGTACTGTTTTTGACAAATCTTACGGCACGATTCGTTACTGGCACGTGGATACACAAAAGCCAAGAGGCGGATCAAACGGGCGGGGGATGCAATTGCCTCTCCTGATATCTTGCCTATATGTTTCCCACCTTCGGCCTCCTTGTAATTTGTTATTGCGACAAAAGATACCAACGTTTTAGATGCAGTAACCAGATTAACATGTTGCACGCATTCAGGCCCGTAGGAGGGGGCCCAGGGGCCCTGGGCCCCCGAAATCGGTCGAGGTCCGGAAAATTCATAAGGGGGGACCCTTATGATTTTCAGTTACAAAAATTTTTCTGCCTGCGGCGCTGTTTATTACTGTTTTTCTAACAGTTTTTGCTTCTTTGAAGCCTATTTGTTCAAAATTTTTAGCCTGCGGCGGTGGTTTTTCATTGGTGAATCAATTGTTCTTAAAAAATTTTCGCCTGCGGCGCGTTTTCTGCCGTGTTTTCACACGAATTTGAGTATAGCGAACGCTTTTTTGCTTTTTTTTTTGCCTGCGGCGCTGTTATTGACGCGATTTTCGGATGTTTTAAAAGTGGCGGCCGGGGGAGGTCACCAAAATTTTTGGGCCCCCGAAATTTCGGTTCCGCTACGGGCCTGCACGCATTGCATAAAAAGCCTGCGTAAATCCTTAGGCTTCCGCCAGGCGTCGGCAGGCGCGGAAATGCAATTCGGCCCAAGAAAGCCTGAGGAGGCCTGCCGCTCCCTCACTCTAATCAGGACTGAGCTTATTCGGCTAAGATTCGACTAATTCAACTAAGCTTAGTCGAATTACGGATTCCTTATTCAGATTCGGATGTCCTTAATCGATTAAAGGATGCTTATTTGAATATGGATGAGCCGAATCGACTTAGTTGAATTTCCGGTTTAGTCGTATCTGAATAAAAACATCTCTACCCCGAAATCGTTTACCCCGAAAAATGATAGCATTGTTTTTCCCGGAAAAATCCAGTTTGCATGTGGTTTTCCTATGAAAATCATGCAAATTATTTCGGGGTTGTGACTTCACCCCATTTAAAAGGCCGTCCGCGGGTCACCCGAACAAGGCTTGGTACAGTTTTTCGACCCGGTTTTTTTTGACGTCATCTGAAAGAGCAGGGTCGAATTAGTAGGGTGGCACTATTTTAAGATGTTAAAAAGTTTATTTTCCTAGTTAAATTTGGCTCTAAAGTTGCAAACCTCAAAAAATTATCTCGGAAACTACCGGACCGAATCGGCTCAAATTTTGTGACTAAGCCTAATTCGGGATGGGGATCATTTTTCAAATACATTGCGACGCACGAAAATGGCCAGAACATAGGTATATTGCGTGCTAAAAACAGTTTTTTTGCAGTTTTCGACTTGATCGGTGTTCGGCCGCATCATGAGACTAGCATAGAAAGATGCGCCATTTTTTTCTGCATCGATTGATGTACTTTTATCAGGCGGCCAGACACCCATTTGCTGGAATATTCCATTTAGTACGCTCAAAACGCACCAAAAATGTACCCGAAAAATGCATAACAAAAAAATTTTGGATTTTGAAGCATGAGAATACATCTAGAAGACGAGTTGGAGCGATTGCAAAAAATAGCAAAAAGAAATTCAGCTTTTTGGAGGGGGCTGGGATTGAACTGGCGGCAGCTCTGGTTTGGTACGCCGACGCTCTACTCACTGCGCCACAGGGCTCCCAGGCGGAGGGTCCGAGTTCGATTCCTGCCGGATTTCAGACCCCTTTTAAAAATGGTTTTAACTTTTAAAAAAACCAAGCCATATTGGGGACAGGTCGGGTGAGCGGCGGAACGTCTTTTAACATAACTTGATTTTTTCGATTTTTGGGTACGAAACTGTACTATTGACGCTGGTTACGACCGAAAATTCATCACAAAATTCCATAAAGTGACGATTTTTTGCATTCGAGGGCCTTCCAGAGGTGATAGATAGCCTGTCAAAAACTACTGATTTTTGGTGGTAAATAACAGGGTTACGAGGCAAAGTGCAAAACCAGGCCAGAGCCGAGGTCCTCGGGTCCACCCAAAATCCGGTTGTATTCCACCTGGATTTGGGGTAGAACGCATGGAAATCGGCTGGATTCCGGGTGGACGCATAGGAAATCGAGTGGAAACACGGCGCAACGCGTGCCGCACGCGACGCGGCAAGTGGAAATCGAGTGGAAACCGGGTGGATCCGGTCGATTTCCAACTTATTTACCGTGCATCGACCCGCAATCCGGTCGATTTCCACGTGGAATCCGGTCGTGTCCGCTACTGGAATTCCGATCGATTTCGCGAGCAGATGCCGACCGGATTTCGGGTGGACCCGAGGACCTGAGAGAGCCGATTTTGGGTCCGAGTAGCCGGGTCAATTTTCGAATTTTTAAAAATAAAAAAACCGTCCGGGTCTTATGGATACGATTATAGCTTTGGGGTTATTATTTACGCCCGTCAAATTTGAGGGCAATCTGTTTCAAAATTATGGTGACTATCAGCCAAAAATGGAAAATCACCCTGTTCCAAAGTCAAAGTTTAAAATTCTTTTTAAATTTTTTTCGACGTGAAATTATCTTAATCTTTGCATAGTTTTATTCAACTGATAGCACTGACTTACTGCTCAAAATATCCCTACGACTCCACCTTCCAAATTTCGGTTTTTGAATGAATTTTCCTGGCGGCAACGGTTGGTTAAAAAAAACTCATGAACACGGCTTTAGGATGCGCTATTGAAATGATATGTCCCCTTCTTTCCATTTCCTCAAACAATCTCTGCTAGCCTGCCCCCTTCTTTCCATTTCCTCAAACAATCTCTGCTAGCCTGCCCCCTTCTTTCCATTTCCTCAAACAATCTCGGCTAGCCTGCCCCCTTCTTTCCATTTCCTCAAACAATCTCTGCTAGCCTGCCCCCTTCTTTCCATTTCCTCAAACAATCTCTGCTAGCCTGCCCCCTTCTTTCCATTTCCTCAAACAATCTCTGCTAGCCTGCCCCCTTCTTTCCATTTCCTCAAACAATCTCTGCTAGCCTGCCCCTTCTTTCCATTTCCTCAAACAATCTCTGCTAGCCTGCCCCCTTCTTTCCATTTCCTCAAACAATCTCTGCTAGCCTGCCCCCTTCTTTCCATTTCCTCAAACAATCTCTGCTACTCCAACCACTCACCCTCCAAAAATCAGACCCTAACTCCTTTTGGCGGCCGGGAAGCTGCCGGACCTACCTTTTTTGGGCAAATGTTAAGGGTTGTAGAAGCGTTAAATGTAGGAATTTCGCCAGAAAAAAATACATCACTGACAAATTCCCCACGTCCATGTCAAATCAACTCGAAATTCGGCTTGATGGTCGAGAAGTCGGCTGTACCGAAAACGCACATACCTTTTTCGCTAATAGGATCGGATGCTTCATCTCTACAGTGCCCCCATACAGCACGTCGTAGTCTGAAGTCTGTCGAAGCTCCCTTCCACATTATTAATGCCATTCGACCTGCCGGTTTAAATCTAACGAGTGGGTGGGGGTATATAGCCCAATCCTGTGCCCCCAGGCTATATTTCGATAGATGGCCCGGCCGGCCCCTCCTCGGCCCCTTCCCGCCCAATTCATATCGATCGACCATCATCGAAGGATTTCCTCGTAGCATCATTGCTGCTCAACCATTCTTCTCACAAGGGTCTAAATTCATTATTGTCACTTCGATCACCCCCTTTATTACCTTATTTACTTCGGCATATATTTTTGGCGTTATTTTAAATGACATTTAAAGACCCTTGGAAAGATGGCCGGGCGTCCCCAGGGTTGAGGGACCAACGGGGCGATACCATGCACGCTTTACATCGCATAAGGGCCCCAAAACCCCCGACTGGGTTTCAAAAAAAAACCAGATTTATCGCTATAACTTTTTTGAATGGCGATATTTTTGGCCAGAAACTTCCATAGACATAGTTTTTAGGCATCCCCATCGATGGTAAAAATTTGAGGCTGATTGG